CACCATACACAAGAGCCGTACTCTAAAATCGAACGAACAAGCGAGATAAAGAGAGTCTTCGTTATACAGGTGTCGTCAAATTCCTTTGACCACCTCTTTATAAACCCAAGCACGCCCATGGCCTTATTTATTTATTTTACCATGGTAGAAATGTGTTCAGAAATCTTTAACTTGGGGTCTAGTTTAACACCAAGATGATCATCAACCAAGGTAATTCTCTCAAGAAAACCGCAAGGCTGTAAGGAGCCAAAAAGGGGCTGGAGCGATGAAATGTCATTACTTTGCATTTCGAGGCATTTAGGTGTAACATATTTGCACAACACCATGACTGAAAGTTATTGAGATCGGATTGCAAGCGAGAGTGAAATGAAATGTCCTTATACTGGACACAAAGTTTAACATCATCCGCATACATGAGTGTTCGAGAGTTTGTTAATACTGGCAGGTTATTAATAAAGAGTTTGAAAAGTAGGGGGACTAGATGGCTGCCCTGTGGTACTCCAGAAGTAACCATAACAGGTGAAGAGAAGGAGTTTTGGAAGAGGACTCTTCGAGACCTAGAATGAAGGTAGCTACAAATCCATCTCAAAGATGGCTGTCACGTTTATCTGAGAGCGTTGCTAGCAAGAATGTCCAGAGTTGAGGCAAGAATTCAATCGAGAAAAGAAAATGGAAAATAGCACCAATACAAACAAAGATACTAAGAATATATATACTATAAATTTGTAGAAAACGAGAAGGAACGTGTGAGTCGCTTCTAGGGACGCGACTCTACTTATACCGGTACTCAGTCAGTATATACATTTTTGAGCATATGATTTTTTTTGAATTTTAGAAAAAAAAAAAATTTTACATTTTACATTTTTTTGCTACATCTGTTATCTACATCTACATATATTATGTATATTCTACATCTAATAGTAGATTATATATGTACCATTTAGATTCTACATCTCCTCCGTTAGGGGTTGCTCGCGCACTGAACGCGGCAGAGTGTGCGAGCGAGAAAGAGAATCAGAAGCGTCAGCAGCGCTGGAGAAGGAGAGGGAACCAACAGAAAATTAATTTCTTCATTCTGGCTATGATTATGATCCGATCTGATTCAGATTAGGCAATCTGGTAGATATGGGCATTTTCTACGATACTGCGCTTTTAGTTTTATCGTATCTTTAAAAATGTTCCTGCCACAGATTTTCGTTCTTTGTGTGGGCGGAAGGGGGCGGGGCGAAATTTTGAAATACACTTGTAGCAGTGTGATATCACATAAGTCTGGAAACCAAATTTGGTTGCCCTAGCTCTTATAGTCTCTGAGATCTAGGCGCTCAACAAGACGGACAGACAGACAGACAGACAGACGGATAGACAGACAGACGGACAGACAGACATGGCTATATCGACTCGGCTATTGATGCTGATCAAGAATATATATACTTCCTTCTCTGCGTTACACACATCCACTTTTACCACAAATCTAATATACCCCTTAACTCTTTTTTGAGTACGGGTATAAAAATCTGTGTGCAATCGGCTATGTCCGCAACGCGTGCACCAAATTGCATGTTTTTTTTTAAATGATGATGTGACATGGTTTGCACAAACAAATTTGTACTTTTCTATAAGTAATATCCTCAAGAATTAAAAATTAATCAACAAAATCTTAAATTTGGTCTAAAAGGGTCTGTTTGAACGCCTATTTCATTTTATTTTTCCGCAACGCGGGATCTACCATCTCTACTTCCCAAGATGGGACACCTACTGCTGACTGTCCACCGTAACCAATGTCCACTGTACTGGACATGACAAGACAAGGAAGGATAGACAAGGAAGGAAGACAAGGAGAGAGAGAGATAGGGATCGACATATAGCAGGAATATTTAAAAGAGCAATGACAGAATAAAGCATTACTTTTAAAACTAAAACGATACAGATGTACAGATTTGTTTCGGAAGAGTTGTGTTTATTATTTGTCATAGCAAATAACGGTAATAATACGCTCCCATAAATGGTTTACAGAATCGAATGATTTACTGAAATCAGTGTAAATAACAACCGTCTGCAAGTTACCTTGGAACCCTTTAATGATAAAAGAGGTAAACTCTAATAAATTTGTGGTTGTTTATCGTCGCTTTATAAATCCGTTCTTAGATGGAGATATAAGTGATTTGCAGAGATGTTGCAAGTGCGGAGTTAAAATTTTTTCACAAATTTTAGGAATATCGGATAACTTAGATATGTATACCTCTATAATTATTTGCATCAGACTTGCTTCTTTTCTTATGGAGCGGAATAATAAAAGATTTCTTTCAGATTGGGGGGAAGCATGAAAAGTTAATGGATAGCGTGAATGCTTTAAGCTGGGATCCACACAGAGCTTCGGCGAAGTACCTGAGTACACAGCCGGGAACTCCGTCAGGACCTGGCTTAACTACATAGTCGAAGATCATGAAGCCGTGAGCTTTCATTTAACAAGGGGCTGGAAATGCCGTTCGACCTTGGTAAACTGTATGGATACGGCAGCGATCGTTGCCCTTGGAGTAGCAAACGTAATCAACTGCTGCACTTAAAGAGTGGTCGGAGTAAGTTTTTCGGATGCTGGCGGACACAAGGCAGTCGGCACTTGCAAGTCGCGCGGAGTTGACTTCTTGCACCTCGGAGAATCTGCCAGCAGCTGTTAACTGCTGAACTGAGGGTCCTTGGCCAAGAGCCGATCATATTGCTGTTTAAAGCCCAGCTCTTTGAAGCCATTCCGCGACTGCCTCATGAACGAACGCATGTCGTTTTCCACAGCACGGCATTCCTCACACCTATAATGCAGGCAGTTGTTTTGGGAAATGGCATCTCCTACACAGTCCGAGATCCCTACACATTTTGCGTGCACTACGCTTTCGCAAAGCCATATTGGGCTGGTCATGGGTGATATGCTTCTTGGAGGTTTTTTTGGCACAGCCGACAGCAAAATCCATAATAATAAGTATTCTAATTATACCCGTACTCAAAAAAGAGTTAAGGGGTATATTAGATTTGTGGTAAAAGTGGATGTGTGTAACGCAGAGAAGGAAGTATATATATTCTTGATCAGCATCAATAGCCGAGTCGATATAGCCATGTCTGTCTGTCCGTCTGTCTGTCTATCCGTCTGTCTGTCTGTCTGTCCGTCTTGTTGAGCGCCTAGATCTCAGAGACTATAAGAGCTAGGGCAACCAAATTTGGTTTCCAGACTTATGTGATATCACACTGCTACAAGTGTATTTCAAAATTTCGCCCCGCCCCCTTCCGCCCACACAAAGAACGAAAATCTGTGGCAGGCACATTTTTAAAGATACGATAAAACTAAAAACGCAGTATCATAGAGAATTCCCATATCTACCAGATTGCTGAATCTGAATCAGATCGGATTATAAATTTAGCCAGAATAAAGAAATTAATTTTCTGTTGGTTCCTCCGTCTACTTCAGCCAGAGATCCGCTACACTATCTCTTTCTCGCTTGCACACTCTGCCGCGTTCAGTGCGCGAACAACCCCTAGCGGAGGAGATGTAGAATATACATAGTAGATGTAGATAACAGATGTAGCAAAGAAATGTAAAATGTAAAATTTTTTTATTTTTTTTTTTTTTTAATTCTAAAAAATCATAAGCTCAAAAATGTATATACTGACTGAGTACGGGTATAAGTAGAGTCGCGTCCCCAGAAGCGACTCACACGTTCCTTCTCGTTTTTTTCGCGAAAAAAAAAGTTTAAAACAATTAGCAATCAGACCAACGTGCATAGCAAATGCTTAAAGCGATGCTTAAAGCGAAATCGGAAAAACTGAGATGAGAGAGGAGAGTGGTTATACAGCTTATAAGTGAGAGCGTTACTCTACAGAAAGTTACGAGAGCGAGAGAAAAAGAACAGTTATTGAGATATAGGTGATAGAGAGAGAGTGATAGACGGCAATAGCTACGACAAAGACTGCTACAACTGTATTTCAAATACCCCACGGATTATGGGCCTTACACTACTACACAAACGACCAAAGAGGAGGTGAAGAAAACTAATGGACCACGCTTAGAACTGTATGCAGCAGGTCTCGACAGTGCATTGTACAGTCTGAAGCAGCCGGTTCAAGAGAAAAAGAATCGCGGATACCAGGACTGATACGGTCGCCTGCAATGACTTTTGATGCGCTAATTTTTCCACAAATGTCACGTGGTTTAATGAATGGTTTAACACTTTTGAAGCATATTATTACCGTATTATTACCGTTATTTGCTATGACAAATAATAAACACAACTCTTCCGAAACACATCTGTACATCTATATCGTTTTAGTGTTAAAAGTAATGCTTTATTCTGTCTTTGCTCTTTTAAATATTCCTGCTATATTTCGATCCCTAACTCTCTCCCTCCTTGTCTTCCTTCCTTCTCTATCCTTCCTTGTCTTCCTTCCTTGTCTTGTCATGTCCAGTACAGTGGACATTGGTTACGGTGGACAGTCAGCAGTAGGTGTGCCATCTTGCGAAGTAGAGATGGTAGATCCCGCGTTGCGGAGAAATAAAATGAAATAGGCGTAGCACTAGCTGCGCGCTTGACGGCAATTATTATGGTTCGCGTTTGATGATAATTTGAGCAGCGATGCGATGGGTTAACAACTGAAAATTAATTTTATTATTTTGACTATAACATTAATCCGATCTGATCCAGATTCGGCAATCTGGTAGATATGGTCATTCTCTATAGTCTCTAAGAACAAGACTGAAAAACGGACGGACGGACATGGCTATAGTATATCGACTCGGCTACTGATGCTGATCAAGAAAAAATATACTTTATGGGGTCGGAAACCTTTCCTTCTCTGCGTTACACCCAGCCACTTTTATTAGAAATACAATATACCCCATAACTCTTCGAGTACGGGTATAAAAATCTCGCACGCTGGAAGACATACATAGCAAACTGGATTTAACAGCATCTGATGGAAGGATCTTAACCTACTGTCATGGTGTAATAAAAGTAGTTAGCTGTTGCAATTTTTAAAATTTATTACATTCATTTACAAAATGAACGACGCCGAAGTCGGGTGTGTACGGTAATACGGTATATGAGTAAGTGTTGCGTATTAGCATAGTTTTAATAGTGTGTTACACAAACGTCAAGAAGGTTATCTAAAATATCATCGCTGCGTCCGAACTCAGCGGTGATAGGCAGGTAATGAAACGGCTCATCAATGCTATCCATTAGGGGTCGAAAATTTGTGTAGTCGTAATTTATAGTAATGCTACTTGGATGTACAGGACTACAGATATCAGATGTTATTAAAGTTCCATCTAGTTCCTCATGAACATCTAAATTTGCTGATGTGGAAGCAAGCACTGGTGTTATATTAGACGCAATGTTTACGCTTTCATTAAACGTGGGAATGTCGTCCTCACTGTATATCTGATGAAATAGAGACTTAGATAATACCGTTAGAATTCAAAGATATGTACATACAGCAATAGTCTTACCATGCTAGTACTTCCTAATTTGTCAGTTATAAGGCAATTCAAACCATTTGACTCGTCGATAATTTCCGTAGTGCTAATAATAATTGTGCCAAGCTCAAATTGTTGCTGACAAATGTCTTCGTCAGCAATGGTTGTCATTGGGACCATATTAGATCGAAATGAGGTAGTAACCATATCATCCACATGAGAAATAGGACCAGTAGATAACGAAAGGCCTACTTCGGTCAGTGTAAAAGATGACGACCCAAGATTCTTCGGTTCCTTCATTTCTGTTAAGGCATTTGGTTGAGGCATTTTACAACTTCTTCTGTAAGTATTTTGAATGGATTCCCCATGCTGTATTGGTTCCAGTTGAGTATATTCGCCCGAAACGCTTTGAATATTGGGGTGAGGGTTATTCCAGTGCGCCCAGCTTCTTTTTGGAGTTTGATTTATTTTTTTATGTGACAACTTTCGATTTCGTATGCGCTTCCTTTCACATTTTTTTGGGTCCACTCCCAGTTCCCAGTAACCACCTTTCCCTTTCTCCTCTCGTTTTCGATTACGAAAGCAGTGGTGAAGCGACAAGTTGTGCCGAATCGAGTTCTAAATGACAATTTCTATTATTATATTTCAGATTCCTACATAACTATGTCAATTACATATTACAACTTACATTCCACCTTTTTCGCACTCGAAAAAATGCAAACTTGGATTCAATCCATGCACATATTTGCTGCAAAGTGACCCGTCCATTTACTAGCATTGCCATTCCAATTATATGTGAATAGTTGAATGGTGGCTTTTCCGTCACGTCTGTTTCATACTTTGATGCAAACTTTTCATATTCTGACAAATCTCTAGAAAAGAAACAAAAGTAAAAAAAAATAAAGAAAATAAAATAAATATGGGATGAGTGTCGCATTACTCACCGTTTAATTTTGTTAATAAAGATTTCATATCGCTCTGCTGGAGTAGGGCGCTTCGGTAATGGTGAGGGTGGTAGCATTTTGAACTCGGAAAGTATATTCGACTTAGAGACAGGTTTTTTTTTTAGCGAGTTCTCTTCGAAGTAAATCTGTTTAATTTGTTCATTTTGAGTTCGGAAATGTATCCCTTGTGTTATTGCTTTCGAATTCGCATTTGTATTAAAATCGTCCTCGGTGATTGTGTCAATTGTTTTCGGCCATGTTAAGTTTTGATTTCGCAAGAGCCAGTTGAGATTTGTTAACTCGCGCTCTTCATCAGAGTCGTCTTGTTTTTGCACTCTAGTGCTGCATTTCATAAGAGCATTGCTCTTTCTTTGATATGTTAACATTGTGTACCTGTGTGAGCTTATTGATCTCAGTTAATATTAACCCAACCTCAAAATATGGATTTTGTATCCGAGCGTATATACGCATATACTTTTCACCATTTTATAATACCCTTTTTGCAAGTGTACACAAATTCAAGACAGCTTTAGGACGACAATGTTAGTAGTTTGACTATTTGTTTGCCAAAAAAAAATCTCAAAACCTATAGTTCATTACTTGTATAGATTAAAATAATGAATTAACCGTAATTTATTGAATTCTATCGTATTCTCCAAGAACACCATTAGCTACACCTTTATACAATTTGGAGTAAATCGAATATTCACTCATCGGCATTAAATGGATTCTATTTTTTTCTAATAGCATGAAATGCGCGGTTATTTTCACGGTGGCAAGTTTGTTTATCAATTTCAAATAACCAGAAAACCCTAAATGTTTTCTTGGAACTGCTCCTTTGTTTCTTCTATGTAAGGACAACGATGTTGTGATTGGCTCTCGCGAACTTCTATGGAACAACATGATTGGGGCCAAGGAAGAAGTTGCGATGAGTAAGCGAACTGGGGTGAAGAAGTCCCTGCGCCATTTTGAAATTAGAATTCCGAGTATACTGGTATGTATTTATGTACATATGGGCAACACGCGAGTGAGTCATGAAAGTATGAGGGAAGTAATTTTTATTTGGTCCAAATAACATGTATAAGGATGTAAGTCTGTTGTATCCACCGCTTGAATTGTTGCAAAAACATATTAATTTGGTAGCACATAATTTTACTGAAGATCTAAAGATACATGTACTATACATATATACATTCATATACGTGTATAAATATGTAAATAATATCTTTATTCACTAAACAGTAATGAATGTTCGAGTCTAGTATGACATCATACTCGTATCACCTAGTTTTGTTTTTATTCAATATACATTTTGTTTATTATTTGACCAAGTACTTTTAACGGCTGCGACGAGTTAATTTTATTTAACTGTTTCGAACGGACAGCTAGAACTGTACTGCATTGGTTGTCGTTGCCTTTACACCTGTATATCCACTTAATGGTCTACAACCAACCCTCTTTTTTCTACTATATTGGGAAAAATTGGTAGGTGTTATTGCTTGGCCACGGCCACATACAAAGGGGCAAAGTGGACGGTAGCTCAGGTGTTTCCTTTCTGCAAAACTCAGTTTAGTTTTAATACCCCAGGCTCAACATAGCGAGTTGTACGTTATACCGCAGTCTAACGTCTCCGAGTGCTTAAACTATGCCGACAATTACCGACCGACCATCGACCAACGTCCACGAACTATTTGATTACCCAAAGGTCGCAGCAGCAACCCCGTTTTCACCCCATTTGTGCCGGACATAGGCTACCAGTACGGCTACCACTACGGCTACCACTACGGCTACCACTTGTCAACGGGGTCGGTTTCCTCCCCTAGGTTTACAATCGTCCTTTTTGGCGGGTTGATGTTACATATGTTGTTTTAGGGGAATGGGAATGAGCACAGCCTGTATAGCCGATTCAAATATATCTTTGGTTATCTAATTTCGCTCCGTGAGCTATCGTTTACAAAAAGAATCCTTTTGACAGCCACCAGTACTGGTATTTATAAACAAAAAAATTCAGGATGACACATTCACAATTTAAAACAGAATTCGAGAATTGGAATAAATTGGGACACCGAGAATTCTTAATTTCCCTAAATTCTGAAATCATATTGGGATTTTAAATTCATGTTATTTAACAATGAATAATAGAAATCAATTCCACATTATACTTGACCACGTCGCCACAGTGGGGCCTCAGCCGCAAAGAGGTGGCAAAAGTTGAATTTATTCAACGCTTTGAATAAATGAAAACACAAATCCAATAGAAAATTGGCCAGAGCTTTCAAAATTTTAAGTTTCAAGAAAATTTGACTTTTGGTTCAGGATATATGAGCACACAAAGTCGAAAATTTTTGGTATTTTTTACTAGGTGTATTCAATTTGATCAATATCAATGAAAAACTGGCACGTTGCATAGACAGTTATAGAGAAAAACTTATTTTCCAAACCATCAAATTTTTGGGTAGTTTTTTAACTTTAACTTGGAATTAAAAATATATATCCTTAAATTTTCCAGAGATTTTTTTGTACATGCTCTTTTGAGTTGTTCGGCTTCTTCATCGATAACATTGACGCTACCTCCCACAACAAATGGTCGCAGCTCTATTTCCCATATAAAATTAAAATTTCGTGTAAAGATTGGAAGATTTTCCTTTCAAATGCAGTTTATTTCATGAAAATATGTTGATTTGTTCAGAAGATATGAATTTAGCAAGATGAAATGGCCGAAGGCCCCACAGTGCGTCGCCTAATCCAGAGAATATAAAATATATAAAGTATTTAAAAAAAAATTTATTTTTATTAAAAAATAGCTTTCATATTGTCATAAAAATGTTTTCAATAATTTTATAATGAATAATAACAATTTGCGTCAAAATAGAATCTATTGAATGTAATTTGCACGAAGTTAAAATTAAGTTGTCTTATAATTTGAAACCCTCAAAATCTTTAAAAATTCGACAGCCGCGATTTGGTGACTATGCGCACTCTTATAATTTTTACTCGGCATCTGAAAAGACCCATGTAATAAAAACAAACAAAAGTTTAAAGAAATGGCAAAGTCGAAGAAACATGAAAAATGTGAGAAAACTTAAACTTTGGCTCGCTATATATCAGGTATTACCATTCTTTCACCACAAAGAAAAAATCCTGGAGCATACATTTTTGTGGATGCCGAGATGCGCTGCAGATTGCGTATAAAAATTCACAAATTCGAGGTTTTATAATTAAACAACCTTTTTTAAGCATATTGCAAATTCGTCCAGGCCTATAACCCAATTTTTGTCTCGTGCAAAGCAAAAAATAAGTTTTGAACAGTGTTATAGCAGACAGCGGCATTCTGTACATTTGATAAAATATACTTATTATAATACATCGTTTATTAGAAAAATATTTTGACAAACTTATTTAAAAAAGCTGGCACAGATTACATTCGAGTACAGAAATTTTCTATATACAAATATATGTTAAGTTTCAAAAAAATGGTTTACCCTTTTTTGTACTTTTTGTATTTAAATTATGAATACAATGAATACCTAATTTATATCCTACATGATGATTAGCTCGCTGAAAGCAATTAAAAAACTTAAAATCTCAAAATATATACTCTTAGAGTACAAAGATACCTTAAGTTCCTGTATTTCTGATTTCTATAAGTATATACAAAATTCATTAATGCAAATGGCAAATGGCTTTATGATTTCGATCGATTTTGATTATTCGCGACAGCATAAAGTACGAGTATGTATATGGATAGGAGTATGTATTATATGTTATTGATTAGTATTAGCCGATATAAACAATCCCATTCTCGTTAAAATACAAGTCGGAATTGGCAAGATCGAATAAAATCGTTGAGAGCACTTGTCTGAAGCGGGGTTGGGGTTGGCTTGTAACATATGCAAATTCCCGAGTCAATTTTCTACTTATATAACAATTGCAGTGATTGCGCCAACTAATAATGACTGCTCCCAAAATAAAAAAGCGTGCGCACCGCTAGCGTAGCATCAGCTTTTTTTGATCTTCAGTGATACAGAATTCTGTTATTTTTTTCCTCCCTATTTCGTCGGCTTTTCAGGAGGAGATGTATTAACTTCCCAAATATTCCATTATATCATAGAGCTAATATAGAAAATATGCCCGAGAATGTGGTTATGCTTTTTAAAGGTGTCCCAGCATTTACACAGAATCAAATCCAGAAAACTCACTAGGTATCTAAAAGAATTAATTAAAATTAACTATTCACTTAAAATATTTTATAATTTCACAAACCTTTTCGGGCTTATATAGATGCGTATGTGGCAGCAGAAAGGTTGAGCCCAAATCTCTTTCAGCCATTGTGTTAACTTCCTAAATATTCGATTTGTGTTTCCATATATGTAAGTACATTATAAATATTTTTCTTAAGCTACAAAAAATGTACCTCATTTGTATGGTTCTCAATCTGCATGCTTAATTTGAGAAGAGCGGGGATAGTTACAGCTTCAACTGTTGTTTCGTCAAACGAACGTACGCCATTCGATCTAATAGAGACCACATACAATTGAAAAATTGTTGTTATAAATACATTTAATATGAATTTTCCTGACCAAATGTTTCACCACAGATTGATTTTCGATGATGGTTTTTTGTTATACTTAGTTTACTCACTCAGAATCTAGTTTTACATTTTGTTGTGATTTTAGTTCAACATTCATGGCTGATACGACGTTGACAGGTTCGGCGGTGGGATCGTTTACAATTGCAGATACTTCATAGCCAGCGGAAACTAGTGCACTAGTGGGTGTGATGCGTTTCTGAGCGGAACGCTCGGTTGCTTTTATAATTTGCTTCGACGTGTCCATAAAAACAGATCGATATTCCAAGCCCCCCTTTTTATGCAAATCTCCCCGAGCTTCTTTATTTTCCAAATATAGATTATTATTCAGCTGGGAATGCTTTAAAATATACGGTTGGCGGAATTTAGCACGTGGTATCATAAAGGTGAGAGAACGATCGGCTTGGTCTGTATCAGCATCAGTAACACCTTCATCCATGTTATATGATGGAAAGTCCTGTTCTTCAATTGGTTCGCTTAAATCAAGTACGTCATACATATTCCGGATTGAAGTAACTTTGTATTTTTGAGCTGCATTCGTTTTTGGCAGTACTCCTGGTTTCACCTTTGACTTTTTCACCCCATGGTCTTTCTATACTTAAGGAACGAGACAATAAGTGTATCCAAAAAAGTAATTATGGGATGTTACCTTATGCAAAACAGATCCTGAGCTATAACTTGATTCGCTATTGGAATCATTTATATATTCTACTAGTCTCGATTTTCCAGAAGACGTCAGTATGCTAGGATGTATATTTGATGCTGTAATAAATATGGAACTTGCAGGAGCGCCCTGGTTCTTACGCTTTGTGTGTATAATCAATATGCAAAACAGGAGCAAAATAAACAGCACTGTACCGATGGCAATCAGGCAGATCAAAAGTATCTTAAGATTTAGTTGGCACCTCGTTCCTGCATGCCAAGGAAAGCACTGGCATACCGTAGTTAGGCTCGGCACTTTATCCAGCGTCGTTGTAATACATTTCCCGTGGTAATTGCACTTTTCACAGCCAATTATGTTATCTGAGCATTTTCTACCCGGATAAATGGCGTTATCAGATATATCCACATAACCATCCAGGCAACTGCATGTGTAACTGCCACCCAAGTTAAAGCATTGAGCGTTGGTAGAACAGTCATGAAAATTTTCGTGACGGCATTCGTCGAAATCTGCGTAAATAGAAACAAGTTACACACATATGTAAGTACAATGTACTAGTACTAGACAAAAGTATCACCTTTAAATTCTAATGAATTAATTCCCTCTTTAGAAGTATATAACTCAGTGCCTCCAATGCTAAAATTGCTTTGCCGCAAATATTTTTTAAAAACGAATGATAGTCGCTTTTGATCGCTGTTCTCGGACAACTGAAATTAACACAGAAATCATTCAGTATTCAATATTAAAAATATGATTTTCCAAGCTAACACCGATACACCGAATTAAGTTAAGAGTTAAGGAGTATATTAGAGTTGTGGTAAAAGTGGATGTGCGTTACGCAGAGAAGGAAACGTTTCCGACCCCATAAAGTATATATATTCTTGATCAGCATCAATAGCCGAGACGATAGAGCCATGTCTGTCTGTCCGTCTGTCCGTCTTGTTTGTCGCCAGGATCTCAGAGACTATAAAAGCTAGCGCAACCAAATTTTGATTCCAGATTCATGTGATATCACACTGCTACAGGCACAATTTTAAAGATACAATAAAACTGAATCCGCAGTAACGTAGGGAATGACCAAATCTACCAGATTGCCGAATCTGAATCATATCGGATCATAATTATAGCCAGAATGAAGAAATTAATTTTCTGTTGGTTCTTCCGCTACTTATCTCTTTCTCGCTCGCACACTCTGCCGCGTTCAGTGCGCGAGCAACCCCTAGCGGAGGAGATGTAGAATCTAAATGGAACATGTACAATCTACATGTTAGATGTAGAATATACATTGTAGATGTAGATATCAGATGTAGCAACCACATGTAAAATGTAAAATTTTTGTTTTTATTCTAAAATTGTAAAAAATCATATGCTCAAAAATGTGTATACTGACTGAGTACGGGTATAAGTAGAGTCGCGTCCCCAGAAGCGACTCGCACGTTTCTTCTCTTTTTATTCTAAAATTCTAAAAAATCATAAGCTCAAAAATGTATATACTGACTGAGTACGGGTATAAGTAGAGTCGGATCCGGAGAAGCGACTCACACGTTCCTTCTCGTTTTATATATGTATGTACGTTATGAACCAATTTTGAGGTTGGTTTAAAAAAAATATATTTATAAAAAGTGCACAAGCTCAATTGCCCTTGTAATGGTATCAAATTCATGTCAATCCATCAAGCCATCTATTTTTTTTTCTTTTTCAATTAAGATTCGATTTGTTGTATAAAAAGCCGCCTACTTTTAATTTCGGTGATAAAATATGTTGCCATTTTGAAAACCGAAAAGTCTTGCGTTTTACGAGGGCGGCAGCGCCTGACTTTTCGTTTTAAAAAGTAAATCAATTTTTTTGTGTGAAAGTGAAAACCGGAGCCTGCCTCATTATGTATGTATGTGGTACAGTGGGCAGTGCAAATGACAAACAATTATTGCAATTACCACTGGCTATAATCTATGTATTACTTGCAATATCTGGCTGCGTAACCAAACAATTTTATTTGTTAAAAATCGACTAGTGGTCAACATAGTCGATTCATCCCAGAAGCAAACATTTAGCTTAAACCTAACACGTCAAAATAATGAAAAGCTCTTTAAATTAATGTCCACCTACAAAGCCAAATTTATTATACATATCTGATTTGATCATCCGATATTTGAGACGAACAGAATACAGTATTGTACAAGGCTTTATACTAGGGACACATACATTTTCAGTTTTATGGCTGAAAACTTGTCTGGACGTTGATATGCAATGACTGCACCATCAAGTCGCCCATGCGACACCAAGCCGAAGCCTGTTACGCGCGGAACCCAGGCAGGAACGCAGCCCTCCTCCCGCCCAACCGACCGAGGGGCGCTGCCGCATGACGTGCGACGCGGGTTACCGAACCGATCTCTCTTTAAATTAATGTCCACCTACAAAGCCAAATTTATTATACATATCTGATTTGATCATCAGATATTTGAGACGAACAGAATACAGTATTGTACAAGGCTTTGTACTAGGGACACATACATTTTCAGTTTTATGGCTGAAAACTTTCACAGCCCTATTATTTTTCTGCTATTACGTGCAGTGTCAGTCGGACGGAGGGGCCCACCTAAAATTTAGCTGCAATAGGAACATTGGGTTGAAAACTCACCTGGAGCAAAAATTTACTAATACTATTATCTTGCTTAACAGTAATGCTAATTAATTGCTGCAATAGGAACATTCGGTTGAAAACTCACCTGGAGCAAAAATTTACTAATAATATTATCTTGCTTGTTAGCATTAATGCTAATTAATTGTACACCGTGATAAACGTCCCGAAAGTCAGATTGCATTATCATGCGGTCGACGGCATCTAGTATAATTCCACTAAGGTGACGATATTCGTTTGACGCATTACTTTTAAGTCCATCGTTGAACTTGAGGATATAGTTTCCAACTCGGAGAGTTTCCATTTGCAATTCGTAGGTATATGTGGCTGAAATGTGAATATTGTTATTAATTGTGGCAGTACACAAACAATTGAATTTGAAACATACGCTTGCAAGGTCGGTCCGGAAACATCCGCCCAAAACTTGGTCGACACGCACAGTGGCTCACAGATTCATCTCCATTGCTCATTATAACACATATTTCATTTTTTTTTGACTTGCACCCTGGACTGCAAGAGCTATCTGAGCTTAATTTGTTGATATGCTTAGTTTTTGAAGGTGTATCAATCAGTATGCCACTTAGATGTATACTTCTGGAGTCGATTGGGGAATACATTTCCTCATCCTGTACTGGATGAGTTAATAAAATGGGCGAAATATTTTGTTGGTCCATAACAGACGTTCTTTTGGAGATTTCTATTAGCGTTAGACTGTTTATGGAATCTTTAGTCGCAATCCTTTGATACAAATCTGGTCTCGTCTTAATTACAGTGCTTACATTTATGATTTCTGGCTTGAATCCATTTAAATTTTGGGGCGGTTTGTTTGTTAATGGATTTGAAAACGTAGTCTTTATTTGCGGGAAGCTTGAAGTATATACTTTCTGAGATATTCGCGCGATATCGGGCGGCACTGTCTCATTTTTTCTAGACATCGCTAATAATGTTACCGGTTCTTTTGAACTCTTTCGGGTAGGGAAAATCCCCAAAGATGATTCAGATTTAGTTCCATTAAATATGGAAGGGTGGTTAGTTTTCGTAGCGTTAAGAATATGTGTGTTGGCAGGAATTAGTGCACTGCTCTGTATGCCCTGATCGGGATGCCTTGATCGAAAGTGCTTTTTAGTGTCAGTAAGCTGAGACAATTTTCTTAGGTCTTGCTTAATAGATATCGAATATGTTGAGCTCCAGTTATAGACACTTATTGTATAGTTTCGAGTAGGTATCAGAGTGACTTTGAAAATCTCGGATGAATCCAATGTACTCATATTTGAGAGTAACGGCACATCTACACTCAGATATTCTTTTGTTTGGCTTTTTTTTGTTTTTGTCGGCTTCAATAATAAAACATTATCTACTGTAGAGAATAATAGTTGCGTAGACTTTAAAAGAGATTTTTTCATTGTAGTGAAGCTAGTATCCGAATCCAGTTTATTTGTTAATTCAGTTGTTCTTTTTAAAATAGTTTGAGAATAGTCATGCACTAGTTCAGACGGCTCCAATCTTTTTAGATCGTGTGTAAGCGGCTGGGCGGAACTATTTTCGGAACGGTTGATTTGCAAATTTACTGTTTCTAAGTCAGAGCTGAGCTGTCGAGTGTCAAACTGTTGGACTCCTGCCGACACGAGTGGTGAAGAAATGTCAAGCGATGCATCGTGCGTCTCAATCGACATTGTAGAATTTTGGTTATGTCCTATGGTTCTGAATGGCGGAAATGTAGCTTGATAATTTTCAGCGGTATTTTCTGTAGTCGATGTTGTATTAACATTTGACCTTGGATTTGAATGTTTTAAAAGAGTCTTTGTAGTATTAACGAAAACACTCTTTTGATGCGTTGCAGTAGAAAAGGGATTCATAGAAATTGGGATATGAGTTAAAAGTGTCCTTTTAGACTTATCAAACTCAAACTGAAACTCAGATTTGGCTAAAGTTCCCAAATGAAAATGTTCTCCTGTTGCTAGAAAGATCTTATCTATTCCCCTTGTAATCATGTTCGAATATTTTCTCTCTATAACCGTAGAGCTATGAGGAGCAGTTATAATTGGTTTACTTTGGTGCATAATTAGCCACATGTCTGAGGAGCTATCAAGATTGTTCTTATAAGATGAATTGTAGAATCGAAGGGAATAGTTTGAGTAATCAGCTTTTTGATCCTGTTCTGAGGAGAAACCAATGTCGCCTTGACGGAACCCTTGAGCCGCCTTTGTTTGATTGCGGTATAACATATCTGTATATCCGAAGATCGATTCATATTTTTTCGAAAGTTCATTCGTTTTAATGGTCGAAGGCGTGTAGTTGTTTGCAAAAAGGTTTTTGTAATTTTCGGACGCTTTTTTTTCAGAATGTGATTTGTTAGCAGGTTGACCGACTGCCAAATTGCTTAGGTTTTGATTACGTTGTTTAAATTTGTTGTCAGTTGAATCTGTACTTAAGTTTTTGTCAGGTACAAGAACTACTCTGTTTATTTGGGGGGACACTCGTACATCTACTTGAGCTTCGTTGACCGGAATTTTTATCAAAGGCATTGACAAATGAACAACATGGCCTCTAATGGCAGTTGCATGCGGATACTGTTCAGCTTCTTTTCTAAATGTAAGTGGAGGTGCATGCATGTTAACTGTATGACTAAGCATTTCCTTTCTTAGATTAACTTGATGAAGTCCCGAATATGTAGAAGCAGATGATGACGATCTCTGTGTCCCAGTCGGCTTTAATGGGTATATCAGAGAATTTGGAATTTGAGAATAAAGATAGGTGTTTGATATCGCCAAATAACTAGTAATGGCTGGCAGTTTTGTACTAAATATTTCCGGTATTCGCCTTATCTCTAAGATCTCATTACTGTGCAGCTCCGAATTCAAACTGGCGATTTGTTCTGCAGCATAATAATTATCACTCGGATTCTTGTTCTGCTCAATAGGAATCGGGAGCGGGTACTTTAATCGACTTTGCGTTAAAACTGATTGTGCAAGCACAGGGGTTGGATACTGCAGAACATTTTTTGGAAATTTACTCGCTGGTTGGTTACGTATGGGCGGTGGCGGCTTTAATATGCTTCCATACTCGTCAAGAGCTCCCCGGTTCAACTTTAGAGAATCTAGGCGATCTTGGTTAGACTTAGGGGGATGTAAAAATGGAACACTGGGGTATAATGTTTTCGAACGGATTAATTGACGGTAAAACTTAGGAACTAACAAGTTATTTCTCATTTCGAGTAAGTTGTGTCGTATAGCAGTATCCCTTAGAGAATCCTTCATGCTAGGTCTGCCAATTATAACATCAGCATTGGCCGTTATAACTTCACCCGGACGTATAGGAATACCCGTCCTAAGCAAAGAGCTTCCATAAGCATCCTTCGTATCTTCTGCGTGTCGAGGAAACAAAACATTCTTCGCAGTTTGTTGGTTGGAATTGTGTTTTTGTACACTCTTTATCTTTGCTTTAATGACCGCATTAATATTAACCGAACCAGCCGTATTCTCGTTGCCATCATGAGAGTGCCCGTTTGTAAAATGGTCTTTCCCAGATTCTTGCAGAGGTATATAGACTGGTCTCTCAACAGTTCTAGTTACAATCTGAATTACATTCGTTGTTGTTATATTATTTTTAAGATTTCCTTGATTATAAGTTTGCCTGCTGTGATCTGTACGATGCTTGTTTGCAATATTTTTCTTAATTAAGTCGGCCATAACATTTAACATTGGCCTAAATCGTTCTAGAGCCAAAGGTCCAACAATTTGCGAGACATTGGAAGATACTGGCAACTTTACTAATGCAGTCTGCCCTAATGAATTGGTTTCTACATAGGGCTCTGGATATACATCAACATTTTCAGACTCCGATAAGCTGAGATCTTCGTAAGTTTGAGGATACATCTGGATTTTTTCAGTGGATTTGATTGAGATTTTATTTATTGTGGAAGATTTTTTTGTTGCAGAAACTTTAAGTTTTTCACCATGGTTTGCCATGCTGATCGGCGAATTATTAATATCGTTTACTAAATTAAAGTTCAGTTTTGATTGGATGTCTCCTAAAATGGCTTTCTGACTTGTGTCCAATTTGGTCATGGTTTTCAAAGCGGTTATTTGCATTGTTTGGCCATCTAACAAAGTGACCATCGTCACAATAACATTGCGATCATTTTTCCCCTTTTTCCGCATAAGTTCTGTGCTAAACATAGAGACTAATTCTGGCCTAAGCAACGAATCAGCCACTGTGCTGGTCACGATATTTTCTATTACTTGAGTGTGAAGCTGGGCATTGATGTACTCTTGTTTAATAAGTACCGTGGGACTTTCATTTTCATACACCGTCATGGGTATCGGAATCGGATCATGCAAACTAATTCCACTTATGCTCTTATTCAACAAAGTGGTGTAAAAAGTTAACGTAGTTAAGAGAGTTTTTGTGGCATATATGTGAACAGCACTCTGTTCTTCTTGACATATCAATGCAGTGGGGAAATCAGTGTTCAGGTCTCCGTTCAGAAACAACCCAGTTTTCTTATTATTATTTTTTATCTTTATTTTGGGATATGTCGGTGTGATATTTATGGGTGTTGGCAGTGACTCTTTAATAGTTACTTGAGTTAGAATATCTTCACTGGTGACGGTATTTATCTTTTGCAGTTCATCTTTAACTGTTTTCGTTAAGAAGATTTCACTGATATAAGTGTTTGTATTTTGGGAGGGCGTAACTTCCTCTGATGGATGCAGAAAAGTTATGTAATTATGTGGTCCACTGATTATATTTTTAAAGGAAGTCTTAGATGTAATTACTATTGGCCTCACTTGCGTCTTGTCCTTTGCAAGTGCGTTCAAAAATTGATAAGTGGTTGGTAACATTCCCACAACTAGCTCAGGCGTCTAAATATGAGTTGGAATAACAATTATTTATTTACTTTATGCAAATATTCAAATATCTCAAATACTTACTCCTGAAAATGTCAAATCTGTTGCCAATAGGGAGCTGTCAAGCAAGTAGTTTCGCTCTTCCGTATGGCTATTTGATATAACCGTTTTCTTTTTTTCAACACTGGTACTTCCATTCGCAACATAAGTCGTGCGATATGTGTAGGTGGTCAAGCATATTTTTGTAATGATCTGATTATCATTGATAGGTATCGTAAATTTTTCCTGTGACATTTCAACATATTAATATGAAACTGCTGAGCAGGATTGTAATTACCTGTTTTTCTAAAGGCATCGTCAAAATCATCTGATTTTTTAGTGTACTTGGAGCAAGAGTAAGAGGCTTATGATGAGATTGCGTTGCTGATATCGTACGACTTCGAATATTTGATAATATCTGCGATGTTATCCCTTCTTGTTCTACATACTTTCCTTTTTCGCTTGCAATTATCAATTCAACTCCATTCATTACGTGAGTGGCCAGATTATACCTCGCCTCGTCTAATGTCTTCTGCGATACAGAGCCATCTAACACGACGACTCGATTTTCATAGCTCACTATGTTCCTTGCCTCAATCGTTTCGGGGCTGATGTATTCTTTAAATTTCGTAAACTTGTTTCTATGATTGTTCCCTGCATTTACATATATTTCAAAACAGGTTTGATTAAAGGCATTTATTTCAGAATCAAAATATTGGATTTGATATTTAATACTCCACTATAAGGTACAATTTTAGGCCACGAAAATATAAATTTCGGGTAAATATAAGTAGAAGGAAAGGTTTTTGTTAGGTAATTTATCTTTATTAAGTCAAAATAATTTTATTGGCGAAAAAGTGTATAAATATTTGAAAAACGAACTAGCTAGTATGTAAATTTTTTATGAATTATTACATATATATATATATATAAAACCAGTAATTATCTCTATATGTATATGTATTTACATACTGAGAATGTAAAAATAATATACCCATAAAAAATACTCTGATATTCATACACATGTATGTATGGATGTACAATGAACATGTACATGTACATATTATGATATTCATATGTACATTTAACATAATTAATGGCTAAAATTAAAACTATGTAATTTACATATATATTTGTATACGAATTTATATTTATTTAAATTATATTTCCATACGATATACAATAAGTGTGTGATAATTGGCAAAAACTACCTTCCCTCATAAAGATATGGTTTATTTCATCAATTTATATAAAATATTAAAATGTATCAATCTTCGAATGTGGTAATTTTTTATTTTGTTTCCCTGTCATTGACTCCAGAACTGGAGACAGAAAAAAACGTTTCAATATAGAGAAACAGCAAAGCAAACGCCGAGACAGAAAATATAAGGCACATCCTCAGCTCTTTTACTTTTACTATGGACACAAGCAAAAAACCTGTGTAAATGATATTGATTCTGGGAAGTTTAGTAATTGTATTTTTCCTTAGCATTAGACTCCGTTTTTTTTATTTATTTCATTTTAATCATAAGTCTAGACACAAAATTTACAAAAATAACCAAATAAAAATGAATAAGTGTATGTACATTTTCTTATATACGAGTATGTAGGCATTCAATGTTAGGTGTAGAGGCTGTCTACCATTTCTGTGGGCATAACTGAAACATTAGTAGTTCGGCTGGATGAGATAGTCAGTGTGATATCGAAAGTTTTGGTAGTGACTCGGATAAAGGTAGAGTGCGTCTGTACTTCGTGTTGGTTGTTTTGTACGCGATCAACGACGTATGTGAAGGTGCGTGTAAGCACTTCCGTTCTAATTGTGGTAAGGGTCGATAGGTCATACACGGTCTTGGGGTTGCTTCTTTCTGAATGAGTTAATATAATTGGCTGGACCTGGCCATGATTTTCCTCTTGATTTCTCGGTGATTTATCCTCTATGTGTTTGCTAGGCATGATTTTTTTCTGGGATTTTCCCTGCCTAACGGGAGTCAGTGAAACATCACCTAGAGCGATCTGGAATGTGCCTGTTTTTTCTAATGCAAATTTTAGGGTATCTGGTAGTCTACGTTTCAATATTACAACACGAAAATTCTTTGGGTAAATAGTCTGGGATGAATGCGACTGTGGAAGAGGACTGCCTTTTGCATTTGTTGTTTTATTGACTAGTGATTGCAATTCTTCCAATGGTTTCCGGCGAACAAGTACCTTTCGCAAGAAGCGATTTGTTATATTTTTAGATGTACCAGAATCAGTGATAGAAAAGTTGGTATGAGCTCCACGTCGTGATCTTTGATTTCCTATTAAGGAAATGGAAGTGAGTTTCTGAGGATAAACTATGACAGAATATAGGTTTGTGACCTGCGACTGTAGCGGGGATAGCTCAGTGAGGTCTTTTAGGCTAAAAAATTAAACGTACTACTGTTATCAATCGCAATGGAATCTGTTGTCGAGGACAGAATCATTGATTGGCTGGAGGATTTCGAGTACCAAAGGTCTACATCACCCACAATGCTCTCTAATGATGCAGTTCGACCCCTTATATCATCACCAAAAACTTCTGTTGAGCCAACACCATGATATACATCCAACAATGTGTCGAGCGTATTTTTATCGAGCTGTGGGTGATCTTGTTTGGGTGATACAAAAAGTATGACATTTTCACTCTCTTCGGCGTCATACATATCATTGTCTTGCGTCTCTCCCAAAGCAACCGTTTGTCGTATTTGTGAATGTGCTTGTCTCTTTTGCAGGGCAGCCGAATGATCGTACCCATTCTGCACGGTTGACAATACTGTGCTAAATTCTCCGGGCCTACGGCCCGATACGTATAATGTCACTACGCTAGTGTCCTCTAGCGGAATATCCAATTTCTGTTGCTTGCTTCGTTTGTGTCCCTTACTCGCCTTTCGGGACTTCTTTCGATTGGGATTGCGATTCGTGCTCTGCATTTCACTGTGGATCGGCAATAACTCATCGTCAATGACACCCAGTGCATCCACTTGTGTTGCTGTCCGGCCAGCATCGTCCAAATCCTGAAGGTTCTCACTCAAAAACAATTGTGGGGATTGAGTATGGGATAAGCCCTGAGGCAACGAAAATGGCTCCTGCTGTTGCTGAAGAAGCAACTGCTGCAACAACAAACTGTTTACCTGCGCTACAGGTCCAATTGATTGTACATTTTGAGGAATTATAGGGGTGTTCACTATAGTATCTACACTGTATTCCGTAGCTGTTATTGTTTGTGCGGTAGTATCGTAGACAGTAGTCAGAATCTTTTTCCCTTGAAATGTCAGTGGGAGTATGGTAGACTTTCCATCGAAGATGGTAGTTACATATGTGGAGGTGTGAGTGCGGTACTCGGTCACAGGCTCAACAGAGGTGGAAACTATGGCTGATATCACACTCTGTTGCTGTCCAAGCGCACCAATTAAGGGATTGGCCGGCAAATTAAGATTGCCCAAGAGCAACTGGGAGAGCAGTATATTGGCGAGCGGAGCGTTAGCAGATATTTGAGGTTGTACTGTGGATATAAGATGCTCTACAGAGTACACAGTAGACGGAAGAATGTGGGAGAAGGATGTCTTTCGACCGCGGATGGTGGTCGGTGTAAAAGTTACTGTTGTTGTTAGAGAATCATGCAACAGATATCTAGTCAGCTCTGTAGCACCTGCATTGTTAATACTCGATTCTTCTCGCGTAAGATATGTCGACGTTTGGCCGTTTGTTCCCAAAGTCTCCGTGTATTGATTTGGTCCCAGCACCTCGGTGCTGGTCTTCGCAGTCACTATATTCTTATATTCTGTTATTTGGCCATTTATAACAGGCACCGTGACCTCGGCTGGTATAAGATGAGTAACCGTGATAGTTTGACTAACCAGCTCAATTGACTGCAAATCTGGAGCATATTCATTTCTGTTTCGGCCACGCACAGATCCTCTTCCCCTATTCAACCCATTTGAGTTTCCATTTCTTGATCGAGACGTACCTACTAAGCGCCCGCTGTCAGCATTATTGTTGCTGTTATGACCACTGTAGCTCTTCAGTCTACGACTGGTGCTAGTTCCAGCACCTATAGTGCGTCTTATAGAAGGACTTCCGGTTGATGGTTGACGTCGAAAATTTGATGATGTACCTGAACGCTTAGCTCCATTTAATGTTGCATCTTTCTCTCTTAGTGTAAACTGGGTGCGCGGCGTAGTTGGCCTTGTTGGACGAACAGTTCGATGATTTGCAGCGGTGGAACTGGGCTGAGCTTTCTGACTATGCGCCTGTTGGCCACGTGGCGATGGAAACCTTGATCCGAATCGAGAACTTTTTTTACCGCGGGAACTGGCTGTGGTTTCATTTATATCGTCACTATTCGAAGTGCTTGGCTCTTCTAGTGAAGACATCGTTGACAAGTTTGGTCGCCGAAATCGAAACCGGCTCCTATTAAGAGCATCTGCTTGCCGTCGCACCCGGGAGAGAGTTTTACTCTTTTGCGATTTAGAATTCGACCGTCTACTACGATTTACTTCGTCTAATGCGTCATCTTCCCCATCATCATCGGCATCATCGTCATCATCGTATTCAGAATCATTTTCGGACTCATTTTCGTTTTTCTTCGTTTCTTTTTGAGGTTCATCTCTTTGCTGTGTCTGAAAAAGCCCTCGTGGTGGAAAGAGGCTGTTTTGTGGCCTAGAGCGTGCCTGAAGGCTAGAAATTGTTGGTCTCTGAAAGCTGCGAGTGCGGGGCTTAGCAGTCGTTGTAGTGGTAGTGGTTGTAGATGTTGTCTTTGCCCGGGCTGACAAAGGATTTCTTCGAAGTGAAATGGCAGAAGAGCTGTTAACACTCGGACGTGGGATCGGTGTAAATCCGCTTGGCCTATTAATAGGTCGACGGAGTCGCAGCAATGGGTTCTGATTGCGTCTTGTGCTTTCTTCTTCGTCACCAATCTGTACCATTTCGTCAGTGGAATTTTCATCTTCAACACTGATATCTGAACTCAATTCTTTTGAGAATGTTTTCGTTGTCGTCCGCTCACTTGTTGGTGATCCCGATATAGTTGGCTTTACGCGAAATTTGGAACTTCCACCAAGTATTCCAGAAGCACGAAAACCTGGGCTATTAGATGGGCGATACGAAGAGTTTATGTTTTGTTTTCTGCTAGTTACAATTTGTGTAGTACGTGAAGAAGATGCAAATCGATTTCTAGGGGGTACGAATGCAACATTGGACTGGGGACTGCCACCAAGTTCGCTTAATACAGAACTACTCGATGACTTTATCGGGCGGCCAAAAGTTCGTCTCGACGACTGAGGGAATCCCAATTCATTTTGATTTATTGGTGCGTTTGAAATAACACCTCGTCTTGAGCTATATCTGCCAGATGTTTTTAGGGCAGGAGTTGCCGTAATGGTTGGTGTTATATCTGACCTTGTTATAATAGTAGCACTACTTGGACTTAACGTTTTTTGTTTTGGCGCGAAAGTAGGCCTATTCCGTGAAGCAAATGGTCTTATCACGGGGGCAAATGTGCGCGTTGATGTTTCAAATGGGTCCAAAGCTGTTGAGTAATTTCCATCATTGGTAGCTCCTGTTGTATTTTGATCGTCTTCATGCTCGATACTAGGGTCCGCAGGGACATTCAAATTAGCCGTTTGTGTTAGCATAACTGTCGGCAATAGCGCAGTATCTTCAGTTGTTTTCTCAAAGAGAAAACTAGACGTACTTTCAATAATCTGCGCGTATCGATTGTCTATTACAGTTCCAATAACCTTAGACTGGTATAAAGTAGTTGTACCGTTTCCGATTCGCGTACCTTCAATTAGACGTACCAGGCCAGTTTTGAAAGACCTAGAGCTAGATAGGCTTTCATCATTTAATATCGTCATAGCTAAACTAGACTTTTTCATTTCGTCAACATGCAAACTCGATGTACTACTTGTGATTTCTATTTCAATTCCCTCGCTGTTAAGCGTTGATGCCACTTCTGTTGTAAAGTACAATGTACTTACTTCATCCGCATCAACAATGTGTTTATAGTCAAACAAGACCAAATCAGATGGACTGGCTATTATATAATTTAGACTTCCCGTAAAGAGCTCGCTTGGCTGAGTCATCGCTGGAGTTTTCAATATAGTATCTGACATCAATGTGCTAACATCCGTCGGTGTAACCACATTAGTCACGGTTTCGAAACGAGAGTTTGTAACAGTCTCATTTACTTCATATGATGTGGTATAGTACGTATATGTTGTGTAATAAGTGGTAAAGTCAGATCGTAAGCTCTGATCAGTCATACCGGAAGTTACAATACTTTCTGTATCTGTTATACGACGTTGCTGGATATCTTCATCGCTTGGATCTAGGGAGCTATAAGAATTGCCTGCCGTCCGTAGTGTTTCGTCTTCATGAATTGACCCGTGATTTGTCGGTTCAATTATATTAGATAATGTTTCTTCTCTGCTTAGTGTAGTAATCTCACCATCCTTAGCTAACTTAGTCCAATAGGTAAATGTAGTAAAATAGGTAACAGGGAAGGTTGCTTCCTCTACGCTTAACATTTTTGTGGGCTTAAGCGTTTCAGTTGCAACGTTAGTAACTGTCTCGAGGCGACTGATAACGTTTGTTTCATCGCCGATGTACATAGTTGTGTAGAAGGTAAACGTCGTAAAGCTTGTTTGAAGAAGCAGAGTAGCTGATGGTATTATCTCATCGGTATTACTTTCCGAGCTCACTTGGTCGTCCACGGGATCTTTTTGGTTTAAAATGACTTGCTGGTTTCCATTACCATTACTTGACCGCACATCCATGACTAAGGTCACATGTTCTTCCTGTTCGACGCGATGCTCTGATGATTTAAATTTAACCAGATTTGACGTCTGCAAGTGGGTAGTGTTTTGAGTGTCTATGTAAGTTGGAGTATCGGTAAAGTAATTATTTAACGAATTTGTAGTTATATAATTTGTTACAACCTCAGTACGCGACATTACATCTGTGTCATTATCGGCGAATATCGACGTATAGTAAGTGTAAGTAGTAAACAATGTGTTAGTATACTTAGAGTCATTAAGATATTCAGTTTGCTGTTTGGTACTCATACGTTCATCAACAACTACACTTATTTCTTCCCGTTGTTCCCTTTCTGGCTGCAACAGACTGACAATCTCTTGCGGAATTGTATACTTGGAAGGCAAAACTGAAACTTTAATTTCCGATTGTGACGATATACTTGCAGTATCCAATCCAATCTCTCCAATCGAAGCGATAGCATCTGTTGGTTTTGTTATCTGATCTACTTCAGTACGAGCCGTAGAGGAAATAAGATTGGTGACAATCTCCGTATGGCTTGATACCGTAGTAGAAGTGCCTTGAAAGAAGGTCGTTAGGTATGTATAGGTTGTGTACAGAGTCTTATAAATTAGGTCAACCTCATTAGAACCATTATCAGTATCGTAATCATCATCTTCACTGTCATATTCATTATCAGTCGTTACATCAAAGTCCTCCGACTCGTGAACTGTGGATTCCTCTATCTTATTCGATATCTCTGTTAATTCTTTCTGTACCTCTGTTGTTGCATCTTCACTTACTACGCTCACTAGTTCCATTTCGGGCTTTTCGAGCTGCTGCACCTGTGTCGCCTGTATGCAATAGTATTTAGTGGTCTGAACAATATCATATGCCGAGAGTGGGTTTTCATCGCTTGATGGACTTGATGGATCTTCTTTCCCAGTATTTAGAGGCAGAGATCCCAATGACTTTGGTAATTGTGTTAGGAACACTTGAGATGTTGTGTGATCACATGTTTCTGTGACATTTTTGTTATTATCATCTATGGGCAGGGATGGTAAGGGTTCAGTAAGGGGACTATCAGACAAATCTTCGGTTAAGTTTTCAGTTGCTACCGTGGTTGTTAGACTATCTTCTTGGTCTTCTTCAATTGGCACAGTTGATACGTCTGTGCCTTCAGAGTTGTCACTGCCTTCAGTAACTGTTTCGTAATCGAGTTGATCTGTTGATAACGGAATAGAATGGGATACTCCCGTAGGATCTACAAAGTTGGCAAAAGGATCGTCATCAATATAAACGGTTGTGGCACCTCCATGTACTTGAACGCTTGATACATTTAAAATTGTATCATCGCTGTGTACTATGGCTGTGCTGTGTGATGTGTTCTCATTATCGACTATTGATTCCAATCGATCGCCAGTAGACAGTAGGCCAGAAGCCATATTAATTGTTTCTGTTGTTTTAGATTGACTTGACAAAGCCTGAACTGACGTAACGTTGATACCGTAATTCAGATTTGGTGCTATGTTTATTTCTGGAGTGGAAAACTGATTTGAATTGCTCGTCTCATCAACTAAATTTGATGAAGCTGATCTGGTTCTTGTGTCTTGGTCAAAGTTCCATTGATTAATAGTAGTGGATAAAATTGGCATTTTTTCGGAAATAATTGAACCGGAAACATTTGAAGACTCGGTTCTTAAAGTAGGCTTTCCTTTAATAGACGTAACGTGGCCATAGTTTTGACTGCTTTGAATAGTGCTAGGAGAAAAAACAATCACGCTATCACCTACAATCGTTGTGAAATCTGCAAAGCCGTAGTAGGTTACTGTCGCCAAAATTCGTTTTTTTGCTGAAAGAGCTGGAGCTTTCGAAATAGAGGTTCTTTGCTCTATCATTGGTCCACTATGTTGTTTTTGTTGAAAGTAAGATTTCGGAGTCCGCCCATCGTCCACACTATCTGCAATAATCTCAGATGAATCTCTATCAGTTGGCTTGATTCCCGAAATTTGCTGGAAACTCTGTTTACTCTGTTCGAAATAATTTTTAACTGTGATGGTTGGCAAATATCCTCCAGACAAAACATGCTGGTTAGAAAAGGTTTTTTCTCTGTTCTCAGCTTTTAGATCAGATTGCAATATAGCTGCATTGCTAGACATATGTATCGATTTCAAAGAAGAGGTAAAGATATTGTCTAGATACGAGGCGGTCTTTATTGTCTCCAACGCTATGCCTTTTGTATTTTGTAGGTTCACAAAGTCTGTGTTCCCCACAAATTCTCCTCGATGAACACCTATATTATCGTCAATATCCTGCCAGTCAGGGGCTTCAGCATTAAATAGATCGTTGTGATTCTGCAGAAACGAACGGGTTTGTAAATAATCACCACCACCACCCACCCAACTTGTAACAACAGAAGGAACGACACGGTCGTTCTCATAGAGAACCCTTGAACTTTTTTTTAAATACTGGGCATAGATGCGACCATTATGTAATGTTGTACCCACAACCTGGGTAGCGAACTCTGTTGTAATTCCATCCTGAATAAATGTTCGCGCTGTTGAAGTCAACAGTCCAACCTCTGGACGCACTGTCAAGAACCGTCCATGACTATCCCCCAATCTCCCAGCCCCATTATTCACCAAGAGCACAGTAGTAACATCTAATTGCAAAATATATAAATATACATACAACGGTACAGAGATTGCGTGAAATAAATGCGTCATATTCATTTTCAGTAGGAGTAATAGAAAGGAGTCAGATTGCCAAATATTTACATTATAAGGAACATAAATATACATTTACATTTACAGATGTAATCATTTGGTGCAGAAAAGAATTGAAAGTTTAAGTAATTAGTTCATATTTCCAGAATGTACAGCCAAAAAAGATGGTGAAATCATATACATAGAAAGATATAAAGAAAAGTAATGTAAAGAAAATTTAAGTACAAATTTTTTCATGATATAAGGATGAATATATGTTTATGTATATAAGTCCAAGCTTATTTAAATTGTGAATTTTGTCCTATTCCAAATTTTGTTTAAAACAGTAAAATAATATCAAAATAAGGAGTAATTCCCTCAGTGACTTCGTTTAAAGCCCAGTCCTTGGGCTCAGAATGTTAGGTACTAAAAAATCTTACCATCAGCGCCTACTACCGGTAATGTTGGTGTTGGATTCACTACGTAAGGTTCATCTGAAATTATAGGTTTCCATGCTAAATTAAATCTCATAATTATTTCATCTTATTTCGTAACATATCCTATTGATGTAATCTAAAAAATGCAATTGATAAACGGGACTTTATTGTGAGATACATATGAATGTAGCTTTCAACAACAATATGATTATTCCCAAAAGCTCTATTAAATTGCGAACAGGTTCGAATAAAGCTAAACTAGTTTTAGTTGGGTTTTGTACATTTTATAAAGTCTATCGAAACAGAAATACATATAAATATTTACATATGTACATACACATATGCATGGCTTTCAAAACTAAATACATAATAAATACTAATACAAAAGATTGCCAGAAAAAAATAATGGTCCCACAAGAAAGAAGAAATCAAGTCTATTATCTGTACATGGAATGAAGCAGTTTTCTTTCTGGCTTTCAGTCAGTGGAAGCTTGAGTGAATCGAATGAGATATATAAATGTAAATATGGAGAGATGTATTTATGTATATATGTATATGTATATATGTATGTATGCATACATACTTGTGCATGTGTATTTGACACTGCTTCAGACGGTAAAAGAAAAGAAAGTGGTAGAAAAACTCTAAATGTGTATGTGAAAGCCGGAATGATGTCAAGCCGACCCATCTCCCTTTTCAACACTCTCTCATCTTAATTTTAAATCAACTTTCAGCAGTGTCACTCGGAACGATGGCGATTGCCATGCACAAATACTACTATTTCGCGGGCATAAACCAACAGGTATTTTTGAAAGCTTTTACTGAGAGTCATATATGAAAATACATATGTATGCACATACATTCAGCAGGCGAAGACCTGTCTCTGTCTTCATTTTGTGTGCACTATACCAACAAAATCACATCCGCAATTAGCTTTAAAAGGATGCAATTGCTCTCACAATTGCTAGTTTTTAAGACACAGTGCCTAGCCAATTCTTGCTGTACACAATTATATTTTTGTTAAGTCCAACAGAGCATATTCTGTCAAACTTTTGCGGGCTTTTAAATGTGAAAGCTGACATAGCCGTTAAGATATGTTACGCTGATGAGCTGGGTAATTCACTTTATTTTATTCTTAACTGTGCAAGGAAAACATATGTACTATATGTGTCTGTGTTCAGTTTTCTATTTATTTGTGACATTGTTTTTTTAATTGTATACCCGGCACTCGGTATTCTTTTCGTGCATGTGTACAGAACCAAAAGCACATATAATTATCGGTGACTATACTCGTGGGAGTTAGAGTAACTGATTATCACATACTCACAAAATAAATTTTATTATTGTCTGACTCACCAACAGTTTGGGCAGCTCCAAATTGTACCAAAAACAAGAAAAACGTGGCTAACAAAGTTAGGCTCAATATTTTATCTTTTGATCGAATGACAAACGTCTCAGAAATAGAAAAAAGTCCATCCTTACGTTCCTTCCAGTACATATTATTGTTGCAGTAGGTTTGTGATTTGGTGAAGTTATCCTCGAAATGTTTTATCCTCCGTGTTATACGTGGTTGCAGCATTTTAAACTCCCTTAAAACAGAGCAGACAAGGAAATATCCACAGATAAGCTTAACACATACAGATATGCATGTTTGCAACGGCACAATGTTTACAGTTTTGTCCTTATTTCGTCGTTTTAAACTCCTATATCAGCAATATATTATATAAGCACATACACATACAATCATATGTACGTACATATATTTTTAAACATTATTTAACGATATTAATTGATCATAAGTATTGTGTTTAAAGACACACTGCAACAATTTATTGAGCGCTAGTTTCGTGTACATAAAAATGTGTACATATATACTTGCAATATTTGTGTAGGTTAGTACACCGCTTACTCTTTTAAGGAACACGCACGACCATTCATGCAAACGAAAGCCAGGGAACTGAGTTGGCCAGCATAACCACTTCGCTGGTTGTTCAAAGCCAACCCCGAAGAGCTTGAGAGAGTGGTACGATCGCATTTGCAAAGGTTGTTTGGCTAGTTTAGATGGGCCAAGCGGTACAAAATTAATTCCCACAGCTTTTCATATGAAAGAGCTTGCTGCCCGTTAACTTGAACTTACTGGCAGTCTTACCCACAGTATCATCGCTGATAGAAAACTGAACGGGTAACTTACTAAACTAAACTCAATAGTCTTTAATTCATTATCAATCGAAGATGCAAGTTTTGTAGCTCTGGAACAGTGTGTCTCTTTTGTACCTCTTGTACCAAGTTCAGGCAGGCTCTGGTTTTCACATTCACTTTGCATTATACCTTTCAGCAAAAAGTCATACTTTTCATTTCAAGGCGCTCTGGAATCCACAAAAGTCGATTTAGTTACTCCTTGTACTGTTAAGCGTAAAAGTTACTGCTTTTATACCCATGCCAGTGCCAGCTGATACAAAAAGGCCTCTGTTATGTTTTACAAAGATTTATCAATAACCAAATCGGACTGCTTCACTATTTGTTGTTGCGCTGACCAATTTTATCCGATCCAAATTTGAGGTTGAGTTAAATAAAAATTATTTATTGAAAGGGCACAAGCTCAAATACGGTTTCAAATTCATGTCAACGCATCAATTAGTCATCTATTTTTGTCTTTTGAAATTAAGATTCGTTTTGTTGTATAATAAGACGTTTGCTTTTTTTGGAAGGCGAGGAATTTTTTGCACAACACAACTTTTTGAAAACGGAAAAATTTTGCGATTTACGAATGCGGGAGCACCTAACTTTCCGTTTTCAAAAGTAAATCGGACGTTTTTTGTGAATGTGAAAACCGGAGCCTGTCTGATAGTATTATCCTGTATTGGTAGTATACTAACAATAGAGCTGACTTGTAGCTTTACCGTTTCATATTTCGATTTGAATGCAGTGCTTTTGCCCACTCATTACAAGCAACATAGACAAAGATACATACAAAATTCGCCTAGACCGTAGCTCTTGTCTTCTCCGCGATGTTTTTTTAACACGGAGAAATATGGCTAGATGGACTGGGAAACAGAATACGAGGGCCAAATTGTGTATACAAATAAACTATGACATAAATTCATAACGATTTTATTCAATCAATCGAAGCGTATCTAATCCATGAAATCATCTATATATAATACTTATTATAAAACAAATAGAATTATCTGGTAATGTGCTTTTTCCGGCCGAAATCAGAGGTAGTATATATTACAAACTATATATATATGCATATATAGCATCGCCGTACATTTTCACAACTTCGAATATAAGAACAAACTCTGCATGTATGAAAAAGATATGACAAAAAAGTAGCTTATAATAAATTCCCTACTACGAACACAACTATAATTAGTCACCTATTAATATATGTATTCCTATTTTAATTTTTGTATTCAAACACAATTATTTACAAAGAAGGATGATTAACTATTTGGATTTTGTACAATTTCATATGACTTAAACGTTACTGTTCTACAGAAGGGGTAGATGGAGGTTGTTTTATATTATGAGCATTATTATCTGATGAATCAAAAAATCCTAGGAAGGTGTTGTGTTGGGTATCAAGGCTTTGCTCAGCGCACAAGCTAACATATGTTGGCCCTCCTTCCCAATCAGTGGACTCGTGGGGCTCGTATACTTCAGTTATAGGAGGCCAGTTATCATTTGTGGTAATATTATACTCCAGGCGCATGTGTTGTTGCTTCGATGTAGTCCAGCTTTGGTCACGCCGCACTTGATATTTTTTGAATACTAGATATTCTACAAGAAAAGACTCCACAAATACATGAATAACAAAGGCTGCAGCTCCGTAAATAAGCATTACATATCGAAAACTCATCACTGGAGGCACAACCAGTTGAAAAAAATTAGCTACCCACTCGCTTGGGTACACAACCAAATAGACTATGATGACACAGTTTACAATAAATGTTAAGCATAGTGGCCAATTGGACCACAAGGGTTTCCGATAAGGAGCACCCTTCGAATATACAAAAGCGAGTATAATATACTGAAAACTGGATATTGAAAACATGGTGTAGTTCTCATAGCAACCTAGGTGATTCTCATCTGATGATTTAAACGGCTGAAACCAAGGCTGTTGCTGCAGCTGAAACCAACCTAGATCACCGTGGTATTAAAAAAAAGGTACATTTTATTATTATTTGAAAACTAGATTAAAAGTTTGTATTACTCACCAACTACCTGGAACACCGTCACCACGACTAGATGCAATAAGAGCGACGCCAATGGCGTGGGAGATATCAGCGAACTAAGCGGTACCTGCTTTACAAGGTGTCCATCAAAAGCTTCAGTTTTACCAAAGAAAAATGCAAATATTGATATCAAGCCTAGGTCAACATAAAGATACTGTTTGTCTGTTAGATTCGAGTCGATCGAGTACAGTATCATCACAGATATGAATTGTACCAGCGAATATGCAGCCATATACTTAAAAATGCCAAACGATGTGACTAAAGCAGCTCGACCTTCCTTTATAACATTTGGAACAGCCGCAATCGTGGGATTGCGCGAAGTGAACGGTGAGGCAATTGACGACTCGGTCTCACTTAACGAAATACCAGCATGTGCCACCTTCAGTGCACCGCAATCATTGGCACCATCACCGCACATGGCCACGCAGTAATCCAATTTTTGAAGTTCCATAACCAGTGCTTGCTTTTGCTCGGGCGACATACGGGCGTAAATAGCTCCACGCGTTAAAAGAATTCCTAGTTCCTCAGGAAATTGTTCCTTTATAATTTGCCACGTTTTACCATCCATTGCAAATATATAATGGCGCTTCCAGTTATCGTCTTGAGTGAATTCCGTTCCGAGCTCAACGTCGACTTCAATCGCCTCGTTGTGGGTCCATGTGTCCACGGTTTTTACACTAGCCAAGCTATCACTGTTGGGAAAAATGCTTTCGGCATAACTAGTGTTCGACCCATTAGCTAACGAATTTGTAGACATCAACCGGTAAAGCGTTGGTGGACAATTGCCACTTAAGTTACTATCTTGTGTTACAGTGTTTCCATTGCAATTAGATTTCCATTGAGATGACGTAGTGTTCCTGCTCCCCAAGTCCAGTGTGTACTGAAGTTTGTATTGCCTATGTCGATATTGTTCGGACGCGCATTTTGTATCACCAGGACTAGTTTGACTACTGTGAGCATGTGTTTGTGTAACTGCAACCACATCAACTGGATCGGCATGCACCGTAATTACCGCTTGTGAAGGAGACACTATGCCACAGTCCCGTGCAACACTCGTGGCAGTTAAAATATTGTCTCCAGTCACCATTATCGTCCTTATCTTGGCTGCGTTTAGTGCATGGATTACTGTTGTAGTATCGGGCTTGAGTCGGTTCTCTAAGATAACAAAGCCAAGGAACTCCAGATTAAGTTCAACTTCCTCGCGGGAAAATCGCTGAACTTTTGTATAATTAATCTTGGGTGCGAGAGATTTGAATGCCAAGGCTATAATTCGGTATCCCTTTTTGGCGAAAGTCGACAACTGTTGAGAATAGTTATCTGGTAGGCTCTGAGGTCTGCACAGCTGTTGTAACATTTCCGGAGAGCCTTTACAGTATACATTAAATCCTTGTGCGCTGAGACAACGAGTGATGACCGACATTCTCTGAAGACTTGAGGTAAATGGGAATTCTCGTACAATCCCATGATCAAAGCTTTTCTGGGTTTGCGAAAGGCCAACATTAGCCAATAAATCATCCACTGATGACTGTCGTCGAATCCCTGTTTTAGTATGTGACGAAGTATTAGAAGAGTCTTTTGGTTGGCGCAGAATGGTTGGATAAATAAGCCCATATTTCTCATTATCCGGTATATCTGAAGAATCCTCAAGTATCCACCCCGTTGACTGGAACATTTTAAGATCCAGTGGGTCACCCATCATCGTACCATTCAGTACAGTAATCGAGTGACACGTTACCATGCCAAAAAGAAAGTGATCATATGGCAGACGATTCACGTTCTTAAAGGGTATTTGAAATTGGTTAGTGGACGACTTAGGGACCACCCCCCACATATCCAGCCCATCCTCCGTTAAGGTACCAGTCTGAAATTAGTAAACGAAAAATAAGAACAGGAAATAATTTTATTATTTATGTGAGACAGCCCCTACGGAGTGTCATTGGAAATGTCACCCATATTCAGGACATGATTTATAATGTATGGCACGGTAATTGTAGATATAAGATATGAACAAGCAAATGTTTTATTAAATGTCAAACCTTATCAAAGCAACAGCAATTAATGCTTCCTGCCACGTTAATAGACCGTGGAGAGATACAAAAGATGTCGTTAGCCTTTAAACGCTTCTGTGCATAAAAGCGACCGACTGTCATTGCAGCTGGGAGGGCGGGAGGTACAACAATAGTAATTAGGTCCAGAGATTCAACTGCTATTTTTACCGGATCCGTTCCCCGCATTATCTGAAAGTATTATATTGAAATAATACAATTATACAAGAATAATTATATACTTTAAATATGTTTATACTATCCGTACCTTTGTTATTAGTGTGTAAATAAATCCAACACAAGCAATTAATGCCAAGAACTGAATAAATTTATATGAATCTTGTTCAAACTTATAGTCCACAGGTGGAGGATAAAGAATGGATCGAATTAGTTCTCCTTTTGCCGTTATGTTACCGGTGTTAATTACGAATGCCAATACTTTTTTAGATCCAATATACCTCGTCTGAATAACCTTTGTTCCACAAAAGAGTATGTGTCTGGCATGTTCTTTCTTGTCAAAAATCATATCACGTTTCGGAGGCAACGGAGTTTTTGTTACCGGAACACTTTCGCCCGTAAGCATCGATTCATCCAGAATACAGTTGCCTGATAATAATACTGCATCACACTGCATTGTACATCCTGATGAAGGTATTTCAATTATATCCCCCGGTACAAGAGTTTGGGTTGGAAACTCTTTGGAAACACCCTTTGAGTCCAAAACCAAAGCATTCCCAGTATTGTGCACTGTTTTTTGAAGTACATCTTGATTCTAGAAGACAGAAATCAGAGAAATTGAATAGTTGTCGGAATTAAATAAGAAAAGTAGCAAGTCCTACAGATAGCCTGTGCTATGTGTGTTATATTTATAATCTAGTAGTCCGATTTGGATGCTCTTTATTTCTGACTTATTTATCTTTAATCGCATATGTATCTTTCCTACTGCTAGGGATATCTATCGACACGGATTTTCTGTCTTGCCATTAAGATCTCGAATATATGTTGGTACCATAGTATGATATAAAATTAAATTCGAATATAAATAAATAAATTATGTATTTTTGTATTTTTCGTTTCACTGATATCAATTAAATTTTCTCTTTGTTAATATAAAAAACTCTGTTGATCATAATTATCTATTCACGTGTCGGAAGTTGCGAGAAATATTTAATTACTTTATGCGAGTTTCAGAGATTTAACTGTTTTTACGAACAATTGGACTTATACATGTTTATATTTAAATATTTATTATACAAATTTATATTTACAAAAAAGTGGACACACCCTCATTCTGTTCTTTGTTAGTAAATAAAATTACACAATTTTTTTTATCAAATTTGTATTTTTGGAGTTGGTACCAAGTAATTCGTCGGTTTTTTTAGAAATAATATAGATTTATATATGTATGTATATAGAAATTTAAAAACCAGTTAATATTGATAATAAGGTATTTTTTTTATTTACTCTTAATGAATTTACGATTAGTGAAAATCATGATGATGATATTAATGCAATTTTACTGCAGATTGAAATTAATGGAGAAAAAAACATTTTTGAAATTTTTTAGTTGAACGTTTGTTTTTAAACTCCGTAGCAACATCTAAAAAAATTTGTTGAAGTAAAAATATAAACATTGGTATTACTATCTAAACCAAGACAACAAAACAAAGGGGTGTCCCATTTAAATTAAAAAAAAATTTGTTTGGCTCAGCCTAATATATGCATACATACATCCAGCTACTGTGTTACTTAAAATACAATGGGAAAATTGTAAAAATGTAAATAGCTGACTCACTTACCTTTTTCGTTTGCAAAATGGACATGGTTATTCCAAAGATAGACATTAAGAGGATAACACAAGCATAATAGTAATAGTCGTAGGTAAACCACAGGACAACCGAGAATATTTGAAACACATAGAACGGGTTGAGCACTTCGAGGAAGAGTAACGTTTTGACATCTCGCAATGGCACAGTTATCTCATTTTCACCAAAAACTATGCGCCTGGATAGCTGCTCATTCACTGTTAAGCCACGCTGCTGATGGTAGTATGAACAAGGCACGTTAAGGTCGAGGCCATTCACTTTATTAAAGCAATTCAGTGTGCTATCCCACGCATATACCAATTGCTTGCACCGGAATATCCGAATGGACGAACAATCTAAGTAAATAGAATTGGCAAACCTTTATTTGACATCCTTTGAGATGAATTATAAATTTGAATATGAATGTATGCATGTATTTTTTATTAATTATTCGCATGAGCCAATGCAAGTATGTATAATTTCTTGTAATGTATTAATTTTGTACCATACCACATACTTTTGAACTGGGCTGATGTAAAATGCACTGAGATTTGCAAATTATTATCCTCGACTTCACTACTTTTTGGATATCCTTTTAGTAATAATGACCTGCAATTGAAGATTATTGGATGAAGAATTAATATGCAAACAGCATTATTTTCCTTAACTTACTTCAGGTGATTTATATTTAAAACGCGAACGCTCTTCACGTGATACAGCTTGTGCTTGCCTTGATAGTCTTCTACTATCAATACCTGATCTGCCTCATCTAGGGGGCACTGATGGCAGGTGGCGAACAAATACCAATGGCGCCACCAGTGTAGCACGAGTCGCAGTAGACCTCCAGTGAGGACAATGCAGACCCAGCAGAGAACACTGCGAACATAACAGCGCCGATATCCGGATAAGTTCATCTGGTCTTCCTGGTCTTGATTTAATAGACCATTGCATGGTTTCGGATCTAAGAAACAAAAAACAAACAAATATGAAATGCCTAACGCCGAAATGGCTAGCTAAGTTTTCAATGGTTTCCACTGTCTCCGTTATGATGTTATGACATCAGTGCACCTTATTTTCTTTGTTTTATTCCATACCTCTCAACACGTTGCAGTTCATCGTCAGTTTCGCCAATAATGTGACCGTGAAAACAACAAAAAACAGAATAGCCAATAGCCAAGAATTCCAAGCCAATTTCAGCGTCTGCGATAATCCATAACTCGGATCTTTTTTGATCGATTTTTGTGAATTATAGCATCCAGCTATCCAGCTACTCGAATTAAGCGACTCTTTACCGATTCATCAAGACGTACATACATATAGCTCCACTAGGTTATGTACAATCAAATATATATACAAATGCATATATGTATGCACATTAAGATGTACATTTGTAGTACATATAAGAAACCTCGTGGTCCCAGCTTCTTAAAGGTCTTTCGAAACGTTCTGTTGGAGCGTATATGTACATACACATAAGCACGTAAATGTGATAAGGTCACATACAACAGCTGATTTAATTTTTTAAAGTTGTATATTTGTATGTATTATATAGTTCATCGGCTTAACACCGGAATAAATATGTGTATGCAAATTTAACACCAAAATGACCCAAATAAGAAAGAAGCAAATATTAAGAGACATTTACGTATTCACTTTGCGATTAATCAAATAGGTAAAGCTACTCGAAGGGACGGATCAAGACAGTGAGCTGCTACAGTACCACGGTTGGCTGTTAGCTTCGAGAGTTAAACGCGTAATCGAAAAGCCAACAGCCAATATGTAGATAAAACAAAATGATAAGAGGCACGAACGTCTCGGTCGCTATTGTTTGCCAAGAGAGTACGAGTCCGCCTGGCTTTTGGGCTTTCCCGATTCGTTTATTTGTTTATAGAGCTTTAATTATACATATGTATGTATATGTAGGTTTTCACAGACGTACAAATGTTTTCATGATACTGCTCAATAGCTTTAAGAGTGGGACAGCGCATTTATGAGCAAGTGGTGTGCCAAACATAAAACAATAAACTTATACAGATGTCCAAAGTGTGTGCATTTAATGTTCTTAATGTTTAATGTTCAATCGTTTCATACAAAATCATTTATGTTCTCAATATTAAACATGGTCTTTTAACCCGATTCCCGTATTCCTGCCTTGTAATTACTGCCGACAAAATAATATTATTTGAACATTCATATTCACCAATACCACGATGGGGCACAGCAAGCGTCAATGAATAAACAAGTACATTGATAGGCATGTGTGCATGACATTGACACATTGACAAACACGCGTACGAATACCGTTTGGACAAGAATACGAGCACTCAGACGTACGTACATACATACATAGAGATGTACATATGTATGCAGAAATCTTCAATTGACGTTTATACATATGTACATATATTGTAATAATCTTTCTACGCACACATTAAATTGCAAACACCCACTTCGGAGACTGCTTCTAACTAAACCTGCTCTTTCAAATTTGTATTTACACATTAATACATTCATATGTACATACTAGATGCATCATACATGTGTATATGTATATGGACATTTCCTTCTGGCATTACGTTACATTCGTTTGATTTTAAAGAAATAAGCCAAAATATAAATATTACGTTAATAAAAACATAATTGGGGCTTGGGTTACGAAATTGCAAAACTTTGTGAATTGAGTAGGATGTCTGTAATAATAAATTAATTTAGTAATAAATTAAATATGAAAAGCTACTTTTCAAAGTTATTGAATGTAAAAACCGTTAAGAACCGTTACGTTACAAAATTAGCTATACCATTGGCCCAGACTGGGCCAATTTTTTGCGATTTTTTTTAGATAGTTTAATTTGTTAGACTTTGTCGAATAACGTTTATCAAAACGAGATTGGCTTACATACATTTTATGTTAATTTGATTTTTTTTAGTGCCTTGGAATTTTTTAAGCGTAGATATTTATCTAATAGAAATAAATACAAACTCATATGCGTATAGATATTTTTGTGTACATTTTTTTTCTCTAATAAAATAATACAGGAGAAAATTAAACTTTTTATTTACGTTTCGAACCAAACCTAATTGTTCTGATAGACTTGGCGCTTTGAATTTTTTGTTAAGAATTATGGTTTTGTTTATATGGCAGAAGTTTGTTTTAAAGAAATTAAAAAGGTATTTTTATACCCGTACTCAAAAAAGAGTTAAGGGTTATATTAGATTTGTGATAAAAGTGGATGTGTGTAACGCAGAGAAGGAAACGTTTCCGACCCCATAAAGTATATATATTCTTGATCAGCATCAATAGCCAAGTCGATATAGCCATGTCTGTCTGTCCGTCTGTCTGTCTTGTTGAGCGCCTAGATCTCAGAGACTATAAGAGCTAGGGCAACCAAATTTGGTTTCCAGACTTATGTGATATCCCACTGCTACAAGTGTATTTCAAAATTTCGCCCCGCCCCCTTCCGCCCCCACAAAAGACGAAGTATCGTAGAGAATGACCATATCTACCAGACTGCCGAATCTGAATCAGATCGGATCATAATTATAGCCAGAATGAAGAAATTAAGTTTCAGTTGCTTCCCCTCCCCCTCCCGCCCACGACAACGCAACTCATTTTCCTTCTCGCTCGCACACCCCTAGCGGAGGAGATGTAGAATATGAATGGAACATATACAATCTACATGTTAGATGTAGAATAGACATTGTATCTGTAGATGTAGATAGCAGATGTAGCAAAAAAATGTAAAATGTAAAATTTTTTTTTTTTTAATTCTAAATAATTATATGCTTAAAAATGTATATGCTGACTGAGTACGGGTATAAGTAGAGTCGCGTCCCCAGAAGCGACTCACACGTTCCTTCTCGTTTATGCTGTTTTCAGAGTAAGCCCTTTTTCACATAACTGAAGTATCGTAAATTTTGTTGTAATGAATTCTAAAAAGCTAATATGCGCAGCTATTTATTGGACCTAAGCTCTTTGGGGTTTCAGCTATCACTTTCAAATGCAAAACTTATCATTTAAGTGCGGTTCTTTTTTTTAATTCGACTTATAAACTCACGAAAAGTCGAAAAGGCATGCACATTTTAGCGGGATCTATTCTTAATAAAATAAGCTACTAATAAATTTGTCAAAAAAATGCCAACGGTACCATTTTTATAGAAAATGTGCCCCAATTTATATATCACAAAGCAATGCTTGTTTACTTGATGTGTAATTCCAATTTTGCTACATGTAAAATTAAAAATTGTCAAAACAAGCATTGTGATTACAGCCAGATTCAAAATACTTGAGTTGTGTGAAAAGCGCTACCTCTTTAAAAAGCTCTAACAGAATAACCATTTTTTTTATTCTTTAAAAAAAGTTTGACATAGAAAAAAAATATTAAATATTTGTAATGCCATCTAAATCCATTAAAAAAAAAGTTGGATTGGTACGAAGAAACTAGTAACTGAGATTAAAAGCATTGATTCAAATCCGTCCTAAATTTTTTATCTTGGGCTAAATAGTAATATTAATGTTTTTTTATTTTAAAGAATTTTTTAGAGGTTGAAAAAATTGAGTAATTTTATTTAGTTTCAAAGAACAAATACAGGGAGTGCCCGCTTGGAACGAATGGATTAATAGCCCTACCAATTTAGAACACTATACTTATATGTGTATGTGTACATCAACTATAAAAAAAACAAAAAACAATAAATAAAGCTATAAAACAGTACTGGAAGCTTCAACAGAAAAAGCTATAATTTTTCTTCAGAGGTCATGTGTAACATCTGCATATTGGTGTACATACCATAGACAAGTCGTTGAGAGTCCTTCATGTTAAATTCTTCAACGCCCGGATCAAAGGGAGTCTCGTTTTTTGTATCGCCTGTGAGCAGTTTCTGATCTCGATCGGGCTGACTTCGTTGAAGGACGGAAACTAACTTTGTTGGCGTGTTAAGGCAGCCATGAACTACGGTATTATTATTATCCACAGCATTTATTATATTTGCATGTCCATGTCCTCTTTGCTCCCTTCTCTCAGGCTGCAAGAATGCTGCTTCCACATCTTGAGGTTGTGTGGGTGAATGCCACCAATTAAGCTTTAAGCGATTGTTTTTGGTAGCAATTCGTGAAAAGGGATAATATTCCTCTGTCTCCAAATCCGGCTCTCCCGAGTTTACAGTGGCGTTTGACATAGATTGCAAGTGCAGCGTCTCTGGACGAGAGGCTGCGATGTCTGCGTCTTCACTTTGACTAACAGACATGTTTTCAACGAGGAAAGAACTCGGTAATTCAGAACTTAATTTGCAATGCGCTGATATAATATGTGGCTGTAATGTCAGCTACGAAACTGTTGCGTTTCACAATCAATCACTGTGATGCAACATGAAATCCTATAGAATCTGACTGATGACATTTTCGTTTGTCCGATAAACTGGTCAATGGAAAAGGAAAGGATAGACGTTGATGTTGGATCGCCAATTATTGAGCTCTGAAAATTTTAATCGCGATTTCTTGCGATTTCTTTGTCAGACAGCCAACTGAAGATGTTATCTATGTGAACATGTGAGCTTATAAGGATGGGTGTACGCTGCCAGGCTGATACCCCAAATCCTCTTTAATCATCCAAAGTTCGAGAAGGCGCTGGACAACCGATATTGTTTTGAAATCTCGTACGCTCCTCCGCTTCCAACACGCTTTTCAAAGAAGAACTGCTTAACGTAATCCTTCTGCAAAATGTCCAAGTTTATCCTTGTCCCGCTGGGCAGGACGCTGACGCCAGTCCACCAGTCAACTGACTTTGACACTGCTGACAAACTGTAGCACCGTTTGAGCAGCTTTCTCTTTAATACCCAATTTGTCTCCTGCTGCTTCTTTGTAGCACCTTTAACTGAATTCATTACGATATTAAAATCCCAGGGATAAACGTATTGTGTTGACTGTCCCAAGCAGCTGAGAATGCCAAGTATTGTAATCAAAGCTTGTGTGTCGTCGAGACTTTATTGCGTTTGTAAGCACAACAACCTTACAAAGATTTTCCGCAGCTTTGACATGCAGTATCAAGGATTGCGGTTGCTTTTATAAATGATTTTGAAAGTTCAATAGTGTTCACATGCCACTTTGGGAAAATAAGTCTGTGTTTGCGGTCGGTTTTTTTGTATTGGGCGATTATAGAAGCGGCTTCAGGTTCAATAGCTAACAGATAATTGATTATACATTTCAAGCTCATTTTTCGTCGAACAGCGATCAATGGCATATTCACAACGACGCATGCAAAAGCATGCCTATGTGGTTATAGATCTAGATCGACTTAAAATTGTATCTTTGGAGGTGCTTGATCAACGTATCTGTAACGAAAAAAATACTTGTTCAATACTTTTTTATTGATTTTCAATATTGTAGACAAAGATATATGCCAAGTTAGAACCAATAGTTATAGCCATAGCAAAAATGCAGCCATGCTTTTAAATGTTGACCTCTACGAGTAAAGCAGGAACAATATTTCGAAGTGTTTGTACGTATATTTGTTCAAGAATATTTTTGCAATAATTTTGTATGTTCAGTTCAGCTTTAATGGATATAATGTTTCAAGTTTTGATGCCGTGTGTGCTAGTTAAGTAAATAAGTATAAATATTCTTGATCAGCATCAATAGCCGAATCGATATAGCCACGTCCGTCTTGATGAGCGCCTAAATCTCAGAGACTATAATAGCTAGAACAGCCAAAATTTCACCCCGCCCCCACAAAAGACGAAAATCTGTGGCAGCCACAATTTAAGAGATACGATAAAACTAAAAACTAGAGAATGCCCATATCTATCAGATTGCCGAATCTGAATCAGAACGGATCATAATTATAGTCAGAATGAAGAAATTAATTTTCAGTTGCTTCCCCCGCCTAATTCAGCCAGAGACCCGCTACTCATTCTCTTTCTCGCTCGCACACTCTGCCTTGTTCAGTGCGAGAGCGCCCTCTAGCGGAGATGTAGAATATAAATGGTATATAAATCTATATAAATCAAAAGCTCAAAAATTTATATACTGACTGAGTACGGGTATAAAAGTAGAGTCGCGTCCCCAGAAGCATACTTGATGCCAAGTACGTTTACACCAGAGAACTGCAAAAATCACATTTTTATACCCGTACTCAAAAAAGAGTTAAGGGGTATATTAGATTTGTGGTAAAAGTGGATGTGTGTAACGCAGAGAAGGAAACGTTTCCGACCCCATAAAGTATATATATTCTTGATCAGCATCAATAGCCGAGTCGATATAGCCATGTCTGTCTGTCCGTCTGTCCGTCTGTCTGTCTTGTTGAGCGCCTAGATCTCAGAGACTAGAAGAGCTAGGGCAACCAAATTTGGTTTCCAGACTTATGTGGTATCCCACTGCTACAAGTGCATTTCAAAATTTCGCCCCGCCCCCTTCCGCCCCCAGAAAAGACGAAAATCTGTGGCAGGCACAGTTTTAAAGATACGATAAAACTAAAAACGCAATATCGTAGAGAATGACAATATCTACCAGACTGCCGAATCTGAATCAGATCGGATCATAATTATAGCCAGAATGAAGAAATTAATTTTCAGTTGCTTCCCCTGTCCCCCCTCCCGCAAACGACAGCGCAACTCATTTTCCTTCTCGCTCGCACACTCTGCCGCGTTCAGTGCGCGAGCAACCCCTAGCGGAGGAGATGTAGAATATGAATGGAACATGTACAATCTACATGTTAGATGTAGAATAGACATTGTATATGTAGATGTAGATAGCAGATAGCAGATGTAGCAAAAAAATGTAAAATTTTTTTTTTTTTTTTAATTCTAAAAAATCATAAGCTCAATAATGTATATACTGACTGAGTACGGGTATAAGTAGAGTCGTGTCCCCAGAAACGACTCACACGTTCCTTCTCGTTCTTGATCTACTCATGAGCTAAAGTTTTTACTCAAATGCAATCGCTCAAAAATACTCAGCGTTGAATAAACTCAACTTGCGCTGTCAGACGCTTCGTTCGAATCACTTCTTGCTTAGGGTGTTTCTTTATCACAACGGGCCGAAGCCGGCCTAGGTGTGTCGGGTTTCTGACGATCCCGACAGCCGCTTTAACCTAGGGTGTTTCTTGCTGTACTCATATATAATCACTCAAAAATACTCAGCGTTGAATAAACTCAGCTTGTGCTGGCAATCGCCTCGTTCGCATCAATTCTTACTCACTTACACAAATCGCAGCTTCGTATACAATACAATCATATCCAACATTTATGTGAAAAGGTTTACACGCATACATGCAAAGTCTATGCAGATCCAAAAACTGTTTGCTAGCAAACAAATGTCATATATTCTTCCAGCGGCCAGTTGTGTGACCAGAGATGTGCTGCTTGGTTTTGTTTAAAGTTAATAATATGCACTTCTTCGGCTGGGGTCGCTCTTCCCCAGGCATATCCTGGGCTCCCCAATATTTTATTGGCAATGTAATGTGTCCGACTATCAGCAGCCGCAGATGGCGAAGCCTCCCGTGCCTACCACCGTGAAGACAAAATGTTTTAAAAACAATATTTTTTTATATTTATGAAAATTAATAAAAATAATATATTATAATATCCATATAATTGCCCTTCATATAATGCTGCATTAGTTAGATTCTATTTGTCTTCATTATTTAAATATTTCATTTGGTTTTTTGTTCTCATATTGCAATGTTTGCTTCGTGTTTGCTGGAAAAATATATCAAGTTGATATAACTTTCGAGGGGGGTCGAAACATACCAGCAATACAAGCAAATACTTCGGATACTTTTCCAGTATATACCGACCTTTTTTTTGTTGATCTGAGTACTGCCTTCCGTACAAAGCCTAGAAAACAGTTTTGGCCCAGTTTCATACGAATTTCAAACATGATTCTGTTCGCGAGGTGTTTTTTCGGATCTGAGTACTAGGCAAAAGAGCCGAACGCTGTAAAATTCCAGCCGAAGAGGTCTTCGGACACATGTGCATGTCTGTGTGCCGACCACTTCTTCACTTGAATAAAATCATACGAGCTGAGCTTACTCATTTGCGTCTTTGCTCATAATCAATTCGCAGATGATTTTAAATCACTCAAGCAGTGCCTTCTTTTATTCTGGCTGAGTTTTATGATTAAGAGCAAAGACGCAAATGAGTAAACGCAGCTCATATGATTTTATTCAAGCCGTCGGCAGTTTTTTTTGCAGTTTTCTGGTACTCAGGCCCGTGCTTAAACTATTCACCCTATCCATTAATTCTTCATGCTTTCTTGCTTGTTCGTAAGGTACAGTACACCTCAAAGTACACCAGGACCGTATAGAATCAGTCCAGAAAAACTTTTTCTGAGTGCCCCAAACTGGGATGCAAGTATGAGACTCTTAGATTGCTTTTAATAAACGAATTTTAGCTCCAAAGTCTCTCCATAGATTTTAATGAGCGATACCTTAAACGACGCCAAATTAATGCACAAAAAAATAGAGGACACAGGATATAATTTTTTTTCGACTTTTCTGAGTTTTTAAAGTCAAAATTTCGTAAAAAATACCGCACAAAAATCATCATTTTTGCATTTCAATGCTTTATATTTCCCAGACGGTAAGCTGAAATTACAAAGTGTTTGGGCTTAACTTCTAGCTGTTTTAATTATCTTTTCAAAATAGCAAAGTTCTTTACAACCAGACGTAAGATACTAGAGTTATGTGAAAAAAACACACTAGCCATACACGACGCCGGCGAAGAGACCTTCCCACCCAGCAATAATACTTAGCTAGGGACGTACTCTAAGTAATTAAGTGTAATTAATTAAATAAATATATTAGGCTAAGATTTTTATACTTGTCGTAAGTCTCTAATAGGGAAGATTCGATAAATAAAATCCAGTAATAATAAAAATAAAAAAAAACTAGTCAACACGACATTTAGGCTGTGGCCCAAAATTACTTTTTCTTATAGATTTCGGGGTTTAAATGTTTTTAACGAATTATGGTTTTTTTTTATGGTTTAGTTTTTTTTTAAAGAATTTTTTAAAATCTGGTATTTTTTTAATGTTTTTTTCAGAGGTAGTGCTTTTATTTTTCACATAACTTAAGTATCTTATATCTGGTTTGCAGTTCTGACAAATGCAGCTATAAATCTGACCCAGACACTTTGTATCTGCAGCTTAATGCCTGGAAGATATTAAGCTTTCAAATGCAAATTTCATCATTTTTTTCCCAAAATTTTTACTTTAAAAACTCGTTAAAAGTCGAAAAAAAATAATTCTTGGCATGCATTTTTAGTTTTAGATAGACGCATTAATTAGGCGTCGTTTAAGGTATTGTTAATTAAAATCTATGCTTTAGTGTTTTAGTTTTATAGTATCTTTAAAATTGTCCCTGCCACAGATTTTCGTCCTTTGTATGGTCGGAAGGGAGCGGGGCGAAATTTCGAAATACACTTGTGATATAACATGGAAAAAAGATTTGGTTGCACTAGCTCTTATAGTCTCTGAGATAGCCTATGCTGCCTTCCGTCTTTCGTTTCATCTCGCGCGTTTTTTTTCTTTCGCTTTCGAGCGAAACGAGCTAACCAATCAACTGTCTTTTCTTGCTCTCGTCGTGAACTGAAATCGAATCGTTCGCTATTCTCTCGACTCTGTATCGCTGTAACGCCCTTTAATAAACTATATGTTCATTAAAGTGAAAAATGATCGAGTTGTTACTAAATAGATCGCAATAAATACTGTAAAAGCTTAGTAGCTCAAGAAAGCTCTATATATATATATTTACGTACATATACGTACGTTCCTATATTACGTACATAACGTACATACATATATAGATACGTACATACATATACAAAACGAGAAGGAACGTGTGAGTCGCTTCTCCGGATGCGACTCTACTTATACCCGTACTTAATCAGTATATACATTTTTGAGCTTATGATTTTTTAGAATTTTAAAATAAAAAAGAATTTTAGAATTTTACAAAGTACATTTTTTTGCTACATCTTTTATCTACATCTACTATGTATATTCTTCATCTAAAATGTAGATTATACATGTACCATTTAGATTTAACATCTCCACCGCTAGAGGGCGCTGACGTACATAACGAGGAAGAGTGTGCGAGCGAGAAAGAGAATGAGTAGCGGATCCTTGCAGGAGGAGGCGGGGGAAGCAACTGAAAATTAATTTCTTCATTCTGGCTATAATTATGATCCGATATGATTCAGATTCGGCTATCGTCTCGGGTATTGATGCTGATCAAGAATATATATACTTTATGGGGTCGGAAACGTTTCCTTCTATGCGTTGCACACATCCACTCTTAACACTTTTACGGGTATAAAAATAGCATTGGGCATGCTGGGCTGAGCCCTATGAGGCCCAGCTCATATGGTGTTGTACCTCCTAGTCTTGCGTTTGAGTATTGAGCAAAACTGTATATGTAGGCATACTTTATAATCTTTCTAAAGGATAATGATCCGAAACACACAGGAACGCACGCTAGGAATGGCGTTTCATCTGAAAATATCGACGTGTTGATATGTCCAGCTCAGTACCTGGATCTGAATCTCATAGAAAACGTATGGGGGAATGTCAAATACATTGTAGCAACTTCAAATCCGTCAATCAGAGCAAAGTTTTAGCAAGTGGTCAGAGGAGAACATAGGTTGTAAATTTATTTTCGTTATGAAAAACAAGAAAATGGAATGCAAATGCATCTCGATTTATTTTGCTTTCTATTGTTTACATTCCTGTCTATACAAAAAGGTATTACATGTATTACATGGAAGTGTCTCAAAAACAGTCCTGAAAGTGTTGAGGTGCGGCACTACTATTTCAATGACCACAGCTGTATATACGTATGTATATTAATTTGATAACATATTCCATGAGCCATGACAACGTTGAGTTTCTATGTTTTTAGATAACATATACGAATTTGTGGAAAATCCGACTATGTACACATTAGCTTTCCTCAATTAATAGTGTGTTTTTAGGTACAGCCTATTTTTGCAGCCTACATAAAATATCGAAACCGATTGTATGTAGTATATTTCTGAAAGCGAATGGGTCTTGTGTTACTTTTCGTACTCCAAAAGATCAATACGAAACAGGCTGAAACTTTCGTCCTCTAGATTCTTCCAATTTTACAGTCCAACTAGTCGTCAAACACAAAACCGAATTGACAACTGCATAACCTTCAGGAATATTGCTTAAGAACACAAGAATAAAATTAGAATACCGTGTGGAAACGGTGTAAAACAAAAGCCCTCTTTATAATTACAGCTGTATCTCACTAGTTGTATCTTGCTTCAGGGTCGTGTCCTCTCAGATGATATTTTATGAAGCTTACAAAGCAGAGACGGAAAGAAATATACACACACAATGTTGATTTTTTATTAACACCAACGCCAGGTCGATATGCACAGCCACTTCTAGTAATATTTGATGACTATATAATACCTACTTTAGGAACAGTCTACAATCTACAGCTCTGAACGATTTGACATACCCAGATATGTATGTACATATAATCCACACATTTCCAAATGCTATATATCCAGTGTTTTTTTTCCACACTATACCGGAAAAAAAATCGTTCTTTATTCTAAAAACAGTCATACTTACATATCTGAAGTACATACACTTACAAATATAAACGTATGTATGTATGTATATGCTAACAAAATGTATATGGGATTATTCACCATATGAATCTGTATATATGCCTGTGCATATGATTCATGCAGGAAAAATCAATCTTATTTAATGCTTATGTTAATGATCTAAAATATATCAGGAACATTTCTGTTAACATACATTTATGTATGTATGCAGATGTATTTATGTACATCTCTGTAGTTGCGTTAAAATTCACAGATAGTACTGAGTTGCTGTCATATGATGCTTTTGCGTACAAATATTACTGATAATTTACACAAAGTCGATTAAAAATTTACAGATTCTGCATCCAGAACTTTATAAAGCGTATTATATGTCCACTTTTACTTATGTTCATCATTATTTCTAAGATTTTTTACTTGCACGCGGTTCTGATTTTAGTGTCGTTCAGTGAGATAAAATATATCGCCAGACCCTCAGAAATATACCAAAATATACCTTGTCATAATCAAAATATACCGTAAATATTCTCACGGACACGACAAGATGTGATGCATTGCTATTCCTCGATTTTGATATTCGGTTTAATATTACTAACAAGCCAAGACTCTGAACGCTGAAGATTTGCTAACTATAAGTACTCATTTTCAATTGAATTTTTCATAAATAAGGAAATGTTCTTCTGATGGAAAATTTAATGTTTTACATAGTAACTACACGCTAACTACAGATTTGATACAAATTAACGACATTTTAATGTAATATTGGACAAAGACTCTAGCGAGGAAATGTGTACGTTTCAGATCTAATTTGGCCAATCGATATATATATAGATATCAAATTTTTCGGTGTTTTCATATTATTGTTCATGTTCAAACGCCAACTCTGAGCTGTAATCGTACTGGAACTGGCACAAAATTCACAGTAAGGAATATGTAAAATATTTATGTAAAATATTCATATGAAAAAACCAAAGCCACGAAATAAAACATCGAGCCACTATCGATAGTATCAGGTATCGAGGTTTTTTTCCGATAGTTTAATAGTGGATAAAGTGAGAAACGCAGAGATTGAAGCCTAGTACTCAGACGCGCTAGATTTTCGGTCAACCGAATCAAGGAGAATATTCGGATAGAAACGATAAAAATGCATGCCTGTTTTTCGGTCGTCCGAAAAGTTCGCAGCAGGTGACCGGTATTCAGTTCCGAAAAAGGGTCATTCGATACATACTAGAAATACAACGGATAGTATTTTCCCATCTCGAGCGGAACATAGAAAGATTCTATCTTTCGTCGTCCAAAATGCACATACACAAACACTCTCATTTAAAATGCAAGGAAGCCAGCTACAAAGTGCAATAATGAAGACAAATTAAATTAAATAAGGTAGTCAACTAAATACAGATTATATGGATATTATTATTTATTAATTTTATTTTAATTATTTAAAAGGAGATACAAAAATGTTGATGCATATCTGTCCTGCAGGATCGGATTTATCCAATATTTCAGTGTGTATTATCTTCCCCCAGCCCCACACCGCCCACAAATAACACAATTATGCTTGCTCTAATACAAAATTTGAAATTTAAACAGGTTTCTGTTTGTAAACAAACACTAACCACTTTGGTCGCACTGGGCACCGAACGGAATATAAAGCACTTTCTGAAAATTTAGCGCGTCTGAGTACTACTTTAAGCATAGGGCTCTAGTGGTGGCAAAAGGTTGCGTCGCTTTCGGATGCATGTGCGAAAATTCGATTGCTTTTGCGCTTAACAGCACATTTTTGTGCTGTAAAATACGTAAAATCATTAAATAAAATACTTGAAACTGATTGTATTATTATCATACGACATTTTTGGGATCCCTGAGACCATTAAGACATTTCTGGAGACGATAATTTGAAGAAGAACTCACACAAACTCTTCAAAGAAATGTCTGAAAATAATAAATAAATATGAGAATCAATTCTCTTTCGACCATTTGGCCGTCGTCTTTCATAATTCTGTTGATTTCCCAAAATGTGGTTACTTTCCTTGTCATCAAGCACACAAATCAGCTATTCTCAAGACGCACGTTGTCAAAGTGAACGACCGTTCTGCTTCATTTCGTCTATTCCGATATCGATAGGAACCGCGGCCAGTGTAAAAAGGCTATAAGATAATCAGGCAGTCTTTCACTTACTTTTGTCACTAACCATACAGTATACTGTATACTGTATGGTTAGTGTCTATATACTGTATGGTTAGTGCTTTTGTGTTATACGTTTTCAGCCAAAAGTCATACTTTTCACTTCAAGGAATCCACAAAAGTTTAGTTACTCCCTGTACTGTTAAGCGCACCCACGAGTTAGTGTCAGCTGATACAAAAAGGCTTCTGTTATGTATTACAGAGATTTATCGATTAACAAATCGGGCTGCCACAGCTGTTTGAATGAATCCACTATTTGTTGTTGCCCTGACCAATTTTTTCAGATCCAATTTTGGGGTTGGTTTAAATAAAAATGATTTATAGTAAGGGCACAGGCTCAGGTCATAATTCAATTTATCCGCATCAGTATAGACTCAAAACTTGCCTTGATATCTAAACAACCTCACTTATGGAGCCCGACGACAGCTCCAAGAGTAGGAGCTGGTATATATTGTACAGAGATAAGGCTTTAATATAGGCTAATGGATCAATGCACCATATTTTCGCAATAAGTAAAGTAGCAACGTTTGCTTTGCGTTCGGGAAAGGTATCCTGGCAGTGACATTTTTCCCGATGCTACTAGGCGTTGTGTCGCGTTTTCTGCATTCATTCTCAAATAACTAAGGTAGTCGTGTCGCCCACCAAATCCCACAGTAAATGCGACAGTACTTCACCCTTGGCTGTGCACCCGATACAACTTATGAGGTGCTTTATCGAGAGGTTGATTTCGGTCCTTTATTGCACTAGTAGAAACGTTTTTTTAAGTCTCCAATATATCTACAAATACTCTAAGAGCATACTTTTTGCAGTGAAGGGTTCTCTCGATTGTTCCTACAAGCGAGTGCAGTTCCGCCTCCACCGATTTCCCTTTGGTGCAAGCGTGCAGGCTGGGATAAGTCGCCACATATCATTCTAGAAGTTTAGATCCGGCAGAGTTTCCTATGTTTTGATTAGAAAGGAGCTGGAGGCTTCTCGGTCTATAGTCCTTGGTGCACATATGACTCCACTTTCCTTTTTTAGGAAGGAGGATAATTGGATAGGGATATAGGCTGTGCCTAGGCACGCAGTGTATTGGGGAAATCATGGGTTGACCCCGTATTCGTCATCCGTATGTCGGGAATATTCAGTATAATCCTGGTGCTTTTATACCCGTGATGGAGTTTATAGCCCAATGGAGTCCTTTAGATGTCATTAGATCTATTGACGGCCACTTCTCCTCGGTTGCTAGATCCCTGGTTCTTTTTAGCATCGGTGACCTCAGTGCACCTGCGAAGTAAGCTATCATATACGCTCAACTGTACGATTTATACTAAATTAAGAAATTCGCCTTTCTAGACCATGTCTTCGCTTTACATGACTTAGCTATAAAGAATCCCAATTTATTTAGGATAAGAATTAAATCTTTTCGATATTTACGAGTATAACCCACATGGCATATTCACAACAGATACATCCATTTTCGCCGTTTCAAGATCAATGTAATGTTGTTCTCTCGTTTCGATAGAAGTTTAAGAAGAATGGATTTTCATAATTTAACAATTTATTTGATTAGTATTCACATTTATCAAAATGTTTTAGAAGTTATAATAGATCGAAATATATACCAATTTATAAATGACCGTTAAGCCAATTATAAATCGGAGTTCGAATAGTCGAAATTAGAAGTTATTGCTGTATACAAATAAGAAACGAATACATTGGTAAATATGTAAATAAATAATAAATATACGATGCATCACGGGGAATTGAATCAAAACTTTAGTTGTCCTGTGTATTTCCTGTTGATCTATTTACTGATTCATCAATAACAGAATGTCCACCTATTGGAATACTTGAGGCATCTTTCTTCAACAAAATGGACTGAACTGTTAACCCCTTAGAGATTTCAGTTACATCAATTGGCTCATTGTCAAACTTATCATCCCGTGTTTTAAACGAATCATCTGTTATAGCTGCAAATCGGGAAAAACGCAAATATCTTAGATTTATTTAATAGGATTTTCTGTCTCTTATATTCTTACCTTCATTCCGTTGATGAACATATTCTTGCGCTTCTCCCAGCAACTGCATTGTGTGCTCCGACACCATTTCTTGTATGACTCTCATATCGCAGGCAGATTGAGGATTAGTTTCGTCTTCAATTGGAGTTGACGGTGGTGTGGCACAAAAATTACCTATTCATGAATTAGTACAAGGGCAGTTTCTACAATTTAATCAAGTCAGAACCACATTAACTTAGCGTTAAATGACCCTACCATCTTCCATTAGTGTTGCATCTGGGCCAGTATATGTACGGATAAGCGGAAGAGACTCATTCTTCCTCGCTGTAGTCAAATCGAGTTCCGGCTTATCAGTGACAGACTCCAAATTAGACATGCACTGATCTATAATGTCGGCACGGCCAATTCGGTTTAAAGCTTGATATAAGATTTTTGCTGCGGAGATGCCTTGTTGCTCTTCTTCCAGCCGGAGCTGCAACATCAACATGCGCTGCTCGGATGTAAGATCCCCAAGGTTCTCAGCTTTGAAAAGGTCGATGTCGGTCTCGGGTACACCCAATTCTTTCACCAGCTGTGGCCAGTCACTGCCTATGAGGCTGCATATATCCAACAACCTTATGTCGGCATGATTAGAGCGAGCCCTATTCAGGTTTTGGTTTTTTTGTTGTTCAATTATAACATTCTTATCAATTGCTGTCGTTTCTGTTGTATTTTCTTGTATATCGGTGTTTTTTAAAGCGTTACGATTTATTTCCTTGTACAAGATATTTCCATGGCCAACGTTGTCCAATATTCCATTTTCGTTATGCGTCGAAATTTTTTCATCCTGCACTGACACATTCAGAGCGCAGATTGGGGTTTGTGGAGCTTCTCTGGGTCCCACCTTTGGTTCAGTCATAAAAGAGATGCGACTGTTTGGCAGCTCTGGGTCCTTGATATGAACAATAAATGAAAGACGATTTTCCCGAAAAGCTTGAAACTTCGTATTCAATTGCTCTCCTGACTTTAAAACTGGCACAAGATTGCCAGAAAATTCTATGTAAATAGTCTGGTCCTGCAGCACCTCAATATCCCTACTTTTGGCAACCTCAGTAAAGTATTCCTGCTGCTCTAGCGTCTTGTCCTCTTTATCATCAGTCATGCAGAAGACTGAGAACTTTGCTTCCGTATAGGAAATACGTTTAGCAAAGACAACAAACTTGACAACAAATGGCACTTGAGCCATATAGGTGTACAGCTCTGTAGCCATGCGTCCCGCGTCTGCTATATTTCGGCAATCCATTAACCAGAAACGTGCAGAAACTGTTGTGGTAAATGTTACGCTATCTTTAACAAAAGCTAGCGGAGTTGATCCAGTAACGTCTTCCCATGCGGCGCGTGTCTGACCACCAGTAATAGAACATAGTAGTCTAAGTGTGGGTGGATTTCCATTTCCATTGCCATAGGACGCATTCACCATGCCCTTGGTGCATGCCTTTGGTGCAGGAATGCTCAGTGTTATCGCTTTATGAAATTTGCGACGACGTGGTTCCACAGTTACCACCGGTGATACAGCCACGCCCTGACCGAGCAGCTTGGAACAACCAACCAGGTCTACTGGCTGTGCCTGAAGACCGACTCGAATTTTCTTAGTCAAGGCATGAGGTGGAAAAATGGCTTGAACCTGTGGTACAGCTATCGAAGAAACAGTTCCGCCATCGGGCCCGATCGCATGCACCTCCTGACGCACACGCGATACAACAGCAAAAAAGTGCGGAACGTTCTGGGTAACGATACGAACTATGCGACTTGTATGTAGTTCCTCCAGCGGATTAACATCCGCATCAATACCGTCGTTCAAGGCGTCTAGAATGTGCTCTTCATTCTCATACAAGCTATGTTCTCGCCAGCTCTCGCCATTGTCCGAACGCAGTATGATAATTTCGCGCTCGTTCTCTCTAAGTGAGCCAAAATGGGGCACCTCTAGTGTAATTGGGCTTGAAAAGAAAAAAATTACATCTGTTTCGATCTCTTAAAAACGATTTTTCTACAATTCTTACCTCAAAAACTTTCCTTCCACGGGGGACATTTCCAGAATACGACTTACCAGTGCCTCGCCCTCCATCAATGGCGGAGGGTTTGCTACTCTTTGGGGTTTGACATAGCGGCAAGTTATTCGCGTTGGCTCAGAGCATGCCTTTGGGGGAACAATGATGCGCACTCCACTGTGTCGATACCCGCGCATAGATCCACCACGGGCGTCTACTAAGAACGATACGAGAAATCTGTAAATGTAGAATAAACACTTAAAATTAATTATAGTCCATTTTGATGTACAGAACAGTTTTGGATGAAACTTACCCCAAATGAACCGGTGGCCGGACAATGAGAGCATTATCGCATTGACGTCCTATCGTAGATGCATTCAGCCCTTGCTCTTTATGCATGATCATTTCTTTATACATAAAAGCATAGTTTAAAATTTTCTTAATTAATATTTTCGACAATTAAAAAATAGAATATGTATCTGTACGTAAAATACAAAAATTAAATAACTTATCTTGTAAGGCATGTGCATTTGTCCATATATTATAGCTACAAGCAATTTAATCTAAAATATAGTTCCACTGGTTGCTAACTTCGAAATGGACCGTTATACCATGGCATCAAATATGAGCGAATCGATTTGTATTTATATTTGTTACATTTTCAATATTTTCTAAATTCGAATAGTGGACTATTTTTTTTATTCTTAAGACCTCATATTAGCAACATTTGCTTACTTGAAACCCCCTAATCAATTTTCTTGAGAATGACCAACTGATATCTGGTTGAGCTTTAAAAACAGCATATAACTTATCGTATAAATTCGAAATTGAATATGATTTGTCTCTGGTCTATGACTGTAGCGCGTGTTATTACCTTTTTGTACAACCGATACATCCATTTGATCATTTCCAGGATTTGTGGTGTCGAAGTTTTGATGGTCATGGTCATGGCCATAGTTTGCTTTCAAATCATCGGTAGCCATATATTTGTATTGATTATGATCTAAAAGCTCGTCCCCGCCTTCGTCTTCGGAATCAGAGAGTAAAGTCTCATGCATAAGTTCCGGCGACACAACCTTGTATTTTTCTTCCACCACTCCAGTGCTCGTATTGGTGATGGATGTTTGGGTGACGACCTTAAGTGTCTCCACTGCTGTAACGTAGCCCAGGTTGCTTGCAATATTTAGGGCCGTTTTACCATTCTGAAATAGTTTAGTGCCACATCTAATTATCTAATTATGTTATATATATATGTATGTTAGTAATATTAATTCTTTCAAATCTATTAAACAATCTTTAGAACGTTTCAACCATTTAAACTTTTGTGCCAAAGCGAGTGTAGTGAAAATTGGAAACAAACTTTCTTACGTGATATCATGCAAATATGCAAATTAGATTTGGTAATTAACTTCTATATTCTAAAAAGATTTAATTTAAAACCAGAAACCGCTTTAAAACCGAAACAAGTGAATGTTTCCGAGCGATAATTATTGAGCTGAATAGGGCCTGCCCAAATACACAAAACAGAAAGTATACAAAACTATACAACGCCCAAATTTAATTTTTTTTTACACTATTGCTTTCACAGATGATCACAAGTCACAATATTCAGAAGTATACAATACATACACAAAATGTGGATAGCCAAAATAATTACAAGTTGCCAGAGGACAGAAAGTCGGTGAAGAGGCTAACCAGTCGAATTAACCCGTGCATTTGCACATTTCCATGTAGATTCTTTTTGGAAAACATATGGGTACATACAAACATACATATATACTCATAAATAAGTATTCATGTATCCATACCGGAAAAACTAAAATAAAATATTTAAAAATAGAACCGTTCGGTCAGTATCTATGCTACACAAACAAACATTGTTCCGGATGTTATGCCTTTGGTAAACATTTATTTACAAAACTCTGTACTTTAGAAAATGCTGCAATTAAATGCTTCGTTCAAAACTGCTCGAAGATTAAAACTATTTGTTACGGGGAACATCTTCGACCTATAAAACGTTGCTGTGTGTGACTCACAAGACACGAATCGATCTCTGAGAGTATAACAAAGAAATACAACTCTCTATGTAACAACCCTGGATATTATGTTTATTAATATATGTATTGAATAAGAACTTTCTATTACAAAATAATTGTCCCCTTTAAAGTTAAGCCACGTGCTCGGAAATTCAGTGCGTTGTGATTTTGCAGAGAGTAAATCCCTCTTTCAAAATAAAAATCTATTTAAAATAAACGGCAATAACTTTGAAGAAATATAAATATCGTTCGTACAGTTATAAAGCTTTATTTAAACCAATCAACTATTTGTAGACTGTTTTGTCGTCCAAAAATCCAAAACAACCAAATGGTCTTTTATGGTCGTTTTCATTTGACTTCTCTTAAGCTTTTAGTTGTGTTCCGCACCGATTCAGAGGTTCACATTTGTTTTGATCATAGATGCATATCTTAAGATCAAAATAAAACCTGAATTATCTGCCGTTAGCCCCCTTTCGTAACAATATGTTGATCGTAGTGCAAAAGGTACTTGTGTCTATTATTTGTTTTTTTTTTTTTTGTATTAATTGCTCTTTTATGTATTTCCTATTGTTTATCTATCCTATTGTGTTTTAAATGTCAAATTTATATTTTTATACCCATACTCAAAAAGACTTAAGGGGTAGATTGTATTTGTGGTAAAAGTGGATGTGTGCAACGCAGAGAAGGAAACGTTTTAGACCCCATAAAGTATATATATTCTTGATCAGCATCAATAGCCGAGTCGATATAGCCATGTCTGACTGTCCGTCCGTCCCGAGGAGCACCTAGTTCTCAGAGACTATAAGAGCTAGAGCAACCAAATTTTGTTTCCAGACTCATATGATTTCACACTGCTACAAGTGCATATATGAGTACAGCAAGAAACACTCTAAGCAAGAAAGTGATCTGAAAGAAGCGTCTGACAGCGCAAGCTGAGTTTATTCAATGCTGAGCATTTTTAAGCGATTGCATGTGTGTAAAAACTTTAGCTCATGAGTAAATCAAGAAAAATGTGATTTTTGCAGTTTTCTGGTACTCAGGCCCCTGCTTAAACTAATTCACCCTATCCATTAATTCTTCATGCTTTCTTGCTTGTTCGTAAGGTACAGTACACCTCAAAGTACACCAGGACTGTATATAACACTAGTCAACACGATTTTTCCTCAAGGAACAAAACGAACTTTTTCTTAAAGATTTGGGGCTAAGAAATGGTTTGATGATATTTTTTTTTTTCTATGGCAGAACTTTTTTTTGAAGAATTTTAGAAAACTGGTATTTTTTTTTAAGCTTTATTCAGAGGTAGCGCTTGTTTTTTTCATATAACTGTAGTATCTTACGTCTGGTTGTAAAGAACTTTGCTACTTTGAAAAGATAATTAAAACAGCTAGAAGTTAAGCCCAAACACTTTGTGATTACAGCTTACCGTCTGGGAAATATAAAATATAATATAAAATGAACAAAAAATACCTTTTGGAAGGTTGCGGGCCCAGGTCCAGGACCAAGGCCCTGAGGCACCGTTTAAAGATAAACGAAAAATACGTCGGATACAGTAAAATTTGACAATCGCCCAAAATCTATTGGCTCTTGTAAAGTGATGAGAGTCGATGTTGCGGTAAACAACAGCCACGGTTACCCAAGCCACGATAATCTTAACAGGTGACGAATCATGGATATATATATATATATATATATGAAACAAAACATCCATAGACTGTATGAGCGTAGGAATATCAATTCCGAATTATAAATCCACAGGCCGGTTTTGGCCGGAAGTTTTATTGAGAATGGACGGATCCTAATATCGGATTGTGTTTACTAGGACAATTTAAGCTCTCAGACATCGCGCAATAGTTTTTCGATGGCGAAAGAGGCTTATGAGATTTACTCCTTGTGAGTCATCCAAAAACGGATGACTGTTCATATATGTGAATGTACCTGAAGAAAGTGGAATGAAAAGCCTCAAACCCTGAAACTAGTTTAAATTATAAAAATAAACTTGGTTTTCCGACAGGGCTATATGTTAACTATACATATAAATATACCATGCATATAACAAATGATTCGACTAATCATCACTGGCTAACATATGCCAAATGTAAAAGCAGCTTCTGCTTTAAATGGACAGAGTAGGTATAGATTGATATGCATTAAAAGTGACTTTGACTTATAGGAATATTTAGTATATATTGACAATCAGTATAACTCACGTTTGTTAAAGCATCTGGATTCGCCTTGTGGCGCAACAAGAGATTAATGATCATTATATGACCCTGCTGTGCAGCCTGATGTAGTGGTGTATAGCCAATGTTGGTGGACATTTCAATGTCAGCATCATTTTCAAGGAGATATTTTACGAGATTGATTTGTCCGTAGTGGGCGGCAATGTGTAGCGGAGTATACCCATTTTTGGTGCGCTCTGAAATGCTAGCACCGTTTTCCAGTAGAGTCCGAGCGACAGGGACATGGCCTTCTTGGGAAGCTAAATGCAATGGTGTTAGGCCGTTCTTAGCAGCAGCACTAGTGGCGCCATTTTGTAGCAAAAGTTCGACCATAGGCAAATGTCCCTCTTGGGCAGCCAGATGAAGTGGAGAAAAGCCCGACTTGCTGATGGCCCCAACATCAGCACCATGTTGTAGAAGGTGCTGGGCCATTTCTGCGTTGTTCTTTTTTGCAACAATATGCATGGCACTGTGCCCGTTGCGGGCGCATATTTGCGGCGATGCACCCTTCTCCAGAAGTACCGCCACTACCGGCTGATGGTCATAGTGCGCCGCTACGTGCAATGGAGTCACATCGTTCTTGCCTTGACAATCAATAGAAGCACCCTTTTCGAGCAATAGGAACACTACCTTTTGTTTTCCGTATTTGCTAGCTAGATGCAATGGTGTAAACCCCTTTTGTGTGATTGCATCTAGTCGAGCGCCGCTCTCGAGCAATGCTAAGCACACTTCCTCCTGACCTTCCTTCGCCGCAATGTGAAGCGCCGTGTACTTGTCCTTAGTTGTAGCGTTTATCTCGGCTCCATGCTGCAACATTAGCATAATTATATCAATGTTGCCCAGTCGGGATGCCACGTGTAGCGGTGTTTGTCCTTCACGAGCGACTGCATCCACCTGCGCTCCGTTACGAAGCAAAATTCGAATTATGTCCGTCTGAAAGCACATAAAGGTAATAAATAATCTAATCCAGATAGAAAGATAGCAAAACATTACTTGATTGGCCCGCGCTGCTAAATGTAATGGTGTTTCTCCGCGTATTGTTGGTATATCTGGACTAGCGTCATGCTGCAGCAAGTATATGACAATGTTCATGCAGCCTGCAAATAGCCAAATTTGAAAAGGATGTCAGTATCGACTAGAATATATGTTCTATTGCTTTAATGTCTTTAATGAATCGAATTTGACGAATTAAACGCGTCGATTTGAACTTGTCTATGTACCTACCCATAAAACTAGCCACGTGCAATGGTGTAAGGCCAGATTCCGTGGTTGCACTAATGGTAGCCCCATGCTTGATGAGCAATTCAGCGACTTTGATGCGATTTTTCTTACAGGCAATATGAAGGGGGGTGAAACCGTTGAGGGCACGTGAGTTTGCATTTGCACCGTAGTCGAGCAGCAGTTTGGCCACCCTCACATGGCCACAGTGTGCGGCCACGTGGAGTGCTGTCAAATAATCAACGGTTACCTCGTCTACTGGAGCCTTATGTTCCAGAAGAAGACGCGCCGCTTCATCGTGTTCGCCTTGTGCCGACATATGCAAGGCTGACAATCCATTTTTTGTCTTTGATAATATTGGAGCATTGTGACGCAGGAGGAGCTCAATAACCTCAACATGGCCTGAGCGTGAGGCACAGTGTAGCGGTGTCAGGCCGTCACGAGTCGGTCCATCTATGCGAGCTCCATGGGACAACAATAAGCTGCAAACTGTAGACTTTCCCCACTTGCAGGCTACGTGCAACGGCGATATATTGTGTTTGGCAACATAGTTGACATCAGCACCGTGGTCCAGCAGCAAGGTGGCTATGTCCACGTTCCCATAATGAGCGGCAATGTGCAGAGGCGTAAAGCCAGACTTGGAAACAATGTCTGCATTGTGATCATGCTGCAGCAGCAGTGTGGCTGCGCTTACGTCGTTCTTCTTGGCTGCAATATGAAGTGCCGGAAGACGCACCTTGCCACGAACATCACTTTCTAGGAGCACTGCCACCACCTTGTCGTGACCTTGCTGCATTGCCACGGCCAATGGTGTAAAGCCGTCTTCTGTGGCCAGAGACGGGTTTGCTCCTTTTGCCAGGAGCAGTCGGCAACAGTTGTCGTGATTCTCCTGAGCTGCCATATACAGCGGTGTAAATCCATTTAACGATTGAACGTTTACATTTGCATTCGACTGAATAAGTTGCTTAATAACATTTTGCTGTCCCGCCAGCGACGCTATATGCAAGGCTGTATTTCCCTTTTTGGTTGCGTTGTCCACTTTGATGCCTCTCCTCAGTAACTCACTGCAAATATCGACATATCCATCCTTTGCCGCAAGGTGTAGAGCGTTTAGGCCGTTCTAAGATTATTTAAAGTTATCAATACGTATAAATGTGCCTCAATGAATTCAATTATTTACCGCATTGCAAGTATTAATATCCGATATCTCTCCACTTTCGATAAAATCAAGAAGTTTTGTTATATCTCCACTGCGGGCAGCACGTAAAAATGATATCGTTGAATCGATCTGTCAATAAACAGCACGTCATAAACAGAGATACTATAATACCTGGTACTTACTACTAGTATATGTAATCTAATTCATGTAACTTATACATTATATTATATACGTAAATGCCTGAATTAATATCGAACCCGATGAGTGCTATCTTCCACTATCTTTGGTATCCTCAAGCCCTCCGCTCAGTTCTGTAAGACCCTCAGCCAGGGTAAGACAGTAGACGAGAGACACAGGTAATAAAATCATTCACTATGATTCTAAGCTTTCCGTTTTCTTGTATCTTCAAAATTGTGGATGGCACGGATTTTCTCCTTCTGTTGGCGCGGTTTTCAATATTTAATACTCTTTGAGTACCAGGTAATTACCAAAACATACAAAGAATGTAAATATGTATATATTTAAAAAATTGAGCCAAAGCTCGCAGCTTCTGGCCCATGTAAATTGTATTATTGTTTATTTATTTTATTTATTAATATATGTTAAACTTAATTTTTTAAATAAAATAAAATATTATACTATATTTATAATACCTTGTTTTCAGGTTAAAAAATTAAATCAATACAGTGTAAAAGCCATTTCCGTACATACAAAGAGAAAATATGTTCACAAGCTTAGGGTATGTACAAATATTCAACTGTTAAACAGTATGTACTTGCATGTATATGTATATATATTTATGTTACATTACCTGCTTTTCGTATTTTGTGTTTCCATTTATTTTGTCTAGAGATATCCCGTTATCTAGAGGTTTATTATTCGTTTTTGTTGTCATTGTGTCTTCGCTTAGATTTATTTTTTCGGTTTGTATCTTGTTTTCAATTTTTAACTCTCCTAGTGTCATGATTTAGCGTCAATTTAGTGCCTGAAAGTACTAACAACACAAGGAACATGTAAGCAAAGAAAAACACACACCCATAGTTGCACATTAATGTTACGGTTCTCATATTCGTCATTCGAATGATCACAATGTTTGTTTGTATGTATGCATGTACTAGGTGTATACATACGCACGGTCAAGTGTATGTGCATTTCTCTACATGCCTTTTAATTAAAGATAATTAAAAAATTTAAAATGTTAGCTAATTGAATTGGCAATTGTAAAAACAGAGTGGCACATAGTAAAATAGCTTAGTTTCACTTTTATTTAAATATTACGATTTGTCAAGAAGGTATACAATTGTTGTCAGTATGACGTCATAATAATTTGCATTGGTATTCTATTCCCTTGTCTTTTGTTAATACAAGTGCCTAGAAATATATTTATAAATAAAGAAGACGATTCCGTTAGACAGTTCACATTATTTACATATTTAAATCTTCAAATTATAAAACTTTTTTTTACATACAACAGGCAAAAGTTATCTTCTCTTCTAATTATTTTGAGAGAAAGTTATTAGCCTAACTCAGTATTTCTTTACTTATCGCTTCCGCACCATCACTATATACATAATTTGTTAGTGAATAATAATCAAGTTCCAAACAGCACATCTATGAGAAACGGTGGGAATTTTTGACAGATGTGAAACTCCGATTCCCACTGGCACCATCCACCATCCGTAACAAATAGCTAATGCACACAATTTGGTACGGCGGAACATTTTTTTCTTTTAGCATAGTATCCAGCACTGCGAAATCGAAAAATTCCTGTCAAACTCCATATAAAAAAACTGTGACAGGAATGTTTCGTTTATGTATTTCTGGAGTGTGTATCTAGCAACACGAGCGGAATCCACAGATTTATATTGATAGCTGCCTATCGGGACCATGTGTGGACTGATGGGCTGTTTACATTGGGACTGCGTCATGCTTCTTTGCGTCTTGGCGAAGACGCAGTTTTTTTTACATAGGTTAAGCATAGGGCCCTAGTGGTGGCAAAAAGTTGCGTCAGTCTCTGATTTATTTGCGTCTATTCGATATATTCGATTGCTTTTGCGCTTAACTGCACATTTTTGCACTTTTCTGCCTATCAGCGCAACTATCACCTCTAAGAACAACAAAAACTTGTAGTTAAAAAATCAAATTTTGGCGCTAAAATGAATGGTTGTGCAAAAAGGTGAAAATATACATAAAATAATGAAATAAAATACTTGAAACTGATTGTATTATTATCATACGACATTTTTGTGATCCCCTGATGCCATTATGACACTGCTGGAGACGAACTTCGATGGTTTTCATAATTTTAAGAAGAACTCCCACAAGCTCTACAAAGAAATGTCTGAAAAAAATAAAAAAATATAAGAATCAATTCTCTTTCGTCCATATTCTTGTCGTCTTGCATAATTCTGTTGATTTCTCAAAATTTGTTTACTTTCAAGACGCGCGTCTGCCAATGTAAACGCCTTTTCTGCTTCATTGCGTCTATTCCGATATCGATAGCAGACGCGCCCAGTGTAAAAAGGCTATGAGAGAACAGCTGATATCCAGCTCAGGAATATATATTTTACAATTCTTCCTGAAGTGAATGGTGCAAGATGAAGGCAAAAACTGTCCGCAAAACCAAAAAGAGAGATGAAAATTAGTCTGTTTTGTTTTGCAGCAATATATTCCGCCACCAACACAATCACTTCATCATCAGAGTGCAATTTTTTCCTTTTTTAATTTTAGCAGAATTTTACAGTTGCATCTGTTTACAAAACACAGCTGATTCATCAACGCTGTTGTAGCTATGTTCCACACCCTCAGGGAATAACTAGCAAATTCCTTGCCGCAATTTTCCGCGGTGCTGGATAGAGGCCTTTTATAATTTAAATGTATATTAATAATATTGCAACGGTACTGAATTTGAGTCAGCACCAAAATATATTCTTGCACAATCTAATCATGTTGCTGGACATGGATGATGATAATAATGTGGTCAACATTGACGAGGAGAATTTATTGGAATGGATTTGATTTGAAAACACTGAAGTTTTGGGAGGAAGATGTACCCGAAAAGAACGAGGAGTTTTTTAAGGAAAGTTGTATAGCCATAGCATTGTATTCTTTGGGTTCTTTTTCTGAGTACAGAACAGTCGGAAGGCTGTTAGCAAACAACGTGTGCAATATACTGCATGAGTTTTGCAAATCATTCATAAAAGAGTTCCCAGAGGATAGTCCACAAACCGAGTTTTTCTGCCTGAGACAATTCTGACATATCAGATATTTTATTGTTGTTTTTACCATTTTCCTGTCTGTCATTGATTACATTTTCGTAGTAGATTCCGATTTTTTGTTGTGAATGTCAAATATTTATGGTTGCATATGACAATAATCGAAAAAATACCGCACAGAAACGTACGAATTAGGAACTTACCAGATGGATTGTGGAATAACTGGTAAATTTTCGGAACGGCAAAACCTTATAGCCTTTTCCCACATAGCACATCTATGAGGAACGGTGGGAATATTTGACAAATGTGAAACTCGGATTCCCACTGTCACCATCCACCATCCATGGAAAACAGCTGATGACAACATTGTGCTCTTGATTGTGACTTTATAATAATTTAATATGGATTATTTGACAATTTTTTTAGCCGTGGTTCGACAACAGAACATGTTGTTGCAAAAATTGTTAGTGGCGTTGGACAGAAAGCAAAGCAAAATAGATGAATTCGAGGAGGATGAGTTCATTGCAATGCTGAATTTGTTTAATACAAAAATGTCAAGAAGGGTGTGGATGGTTGTAATAATATTTGTAATCCAATCCAAGGAACGAGATTAGCGTATATCGTCGATCTTCTCCTGCCAGACATCTATAAGCAGGTTCTCCATCTCGGCAGACCACTTCAACCTGCCACCAGCTGTACTTTTATTTGTTGCATTGTTATGTAGTATTAATGATATTGTTATAAATTAAAAATACATCTATTAAACTTACCACCGCCATTTTCTGCCTTTTCCATTTTAAATTAATAATTTTTGTTTGCATGCTCGGGTTGCTCGGGTGCGAATGGGGTTTTTTGTTTTTTTTTTTTAGCATTTTCCTGTCTGTCATTGTTTACATTTTCGTAGTGAATTCCGATTTTTTTATGTGAGTGTCAAATATTTATGGTTGCATTTGACATTTATCGAAAAAATACCGCACAGAAACGTGATTCATGGCCCATGCTGTCATATGAATCGCTTATTGCTTTCCATTAAAGCTGGAAAATGTACAAAGCTTTTTTCAAAAGATTTCACCAATGAGAAGACGACAAACGTCGATGGATAATATATACAATATATTGAAGAAGAAATATTGATCATGGTGGACAATCGATGGGCACTCGTACTCTCGTCTGCAGAGCAAAACATTCACATTAATGTTGAGTTCTGCACTTCAGTGAAATCTATCTATGTCAAATCTATCTGACGAGGACCACCGAGAACAAAAATTAAATGTCTATAAAAACACATTTGCATATAATTCTTTCGTGATATTATAGTCTAAATTTATTGAACTACTACTAATTTACCCAATTAACATAAAATTTCATTAACTTTGATGTGAAAACCTAATCAACCAAGCAAAAGTTCACTTTTTCGGTTTTTTTTTTTTGGTATTTTGTTATACTCATGTTTTCTATTATTATTATCCCTTATAAAAAAGATGATTCTTGAGAAAAGTTATTGCACAAAAGCTTTGTAACATATCAACTATTTCAGAAAAAAAACGAGAAAAATGGTTCAATCCCGACTAGCGGTATATTTTGAACTGTTATTAACCTAGGAATTTTTTGTCTCGTGGGACATGCCCCGTGCGAATATGGTCTTAATTAAATTTTAACTACGAATCAGATTTGCGTATGACATCATTGCACAACATGTACAGAAATTCGCATCAGCATGTTGCTGCGAATAACTTGGTTTTTTTTTTTACAAAATCTCGAAATAGAATAGTTGCTCAAATCGACCTTGGCACCACTTATAGAGCTAGTAAAGAGGTGTATCATAAAGGTAAATTAATTTTGAAAATCCGTCCTATTTTGACCTTTCTATCACTTGTAATGCGTACGACCACTAACCATACAGTATATATATGTGCCAGTTCATACAACGAATATGGCGCAGCTGAAGTGTCAGTCCCAGGTCCTTAGGTCTTCGGATCGTGGACCTGAGATTTTCGGGTCGAGAACTGGGCCATTTGGCATTTTTTCGACATGTTCGATTCATGATAAGATGCGAAAGCAAGCCGAGAATTGCAAATGTACGTGTGTGCACAGACACCACACAATATTTGCCAATTTTTATTTTTCGGAACCGCGGTTTTGATTTTTTAGTGTTCAGGTTACGTAAATGTGTGTGTGAAACGTATTGTTACATGTGCATGTGTGGGTTCTACAATTTTTGGCCGCTTGAACCGAAATTGGGTTTTCGTTTTGTTTTGAGGGTGCCAACTGATATAGCAACATAAGATGACCTGCCGCATCATAAATGAGGAATGGGCAAGGTGGGTGGGGGTGGGCGTGGGAAATGAATAAAATATAAAAATAAAAGCTGTTATTGGTTTGATTTATTTGAAATTGCTCAATGAACAATGAATCTAACAAGGGCTGCAAATGTAATCCGATTCCATCGTTCTCAAAACGGTAGAATGTATACTTTTCTGCTATCGTAGTCCCAAAATGATGTACATACATAGGCAACACGCCTTTTCCATCTCTAAGTATTCTTTCACAAACGGCACACGTGTTTGTAATTGTTTTTTCCAATCTTGCAAAACTTGTCTATATTACTGAAATGGCATTTGGTCGACCTCGTGGTGGCGGTGGCAGTGGCGGCAGAGGATTTCGCGGCGGCGGTGGAAGCGGTGGAGGATCATTTAACAGAGGCGGTTTCAACAGGGGTGGTGGTGGTGGCTTCAACCGAGGTGGTGGTCGTGGAGGAGGAGGTCGTGGAGCATTTGATAATGGTAAGTCCGATTTTATAATTTATAATACATACATTTTCGATATAGATTGTAATATTTATTAAATTATAGGTCCGCCTGAGCGTGTCATTCCCATAGGAAACTTTGCTTATACATGCCAGAATGACTTGATTTGTAAAGTCTCGATAGAGGATGTTCCTTATTTTAATGCTCCAATATTCCTCGAAAATAAGGAACAGGTTGGCAAAATCGATGAAATATTTGGCACAGTTCGTGATTACTCCGTGTCCATTAAATTGTCGGAAAATGTCTATGCAAACAGTTTTAAACCAGATCAAACGTTATTTATTGATCCTGGCAAGCTATTGCCTATCGCAAGGTTTTTACCAAAACCCCCACAGCCAAAGGGACTTAAGAAAAAGGGCGCATCAGGTGGACCTGGTGGCCAGAGGGGCGGTTTTAATCGAGGCGGAATGGGTAATGCTTTTAAATCAAATATATTTTCTTTCATTTATATTGTAATAATCTAATACATTTATATATATTCAAATTAGGTGGACGGGGTGCACGTAACAGCTTTGGAGGCAGTGGTTTTAGAGGAGCCGGGCGTGGAAACGGAGGATTTAACAGAGGACGCGGTGGTGGTGGCGCAGCTGGAAACGGTCGTGGGCGTTGGTAGTTTTCGTTTTTAGGTTCCAATATAATATTTTGTCTAGCCATACGAGCTCATCTTTTCTACACCAGACCATAGCTTTTAAGTCGAAAAAAAACAAGGCTTTGTTCGCCATAGACGAAAAACGGCGCTGACTAATAAAGAACAATATTTTAAAAGTATGAATCATTGTTAAGTTTATAATCATAATGCTGTCCTGAAAACACAGCAAAGAGCGCAGGAGAATACATACATACATGAACATCTCCAAGAGTACAGAAGAATGCATAATATTGATTCCACAGCATCAATGGTGTAACATATTTTAAATTTAAAAAATATACATGTTTATATGTCTGTATATGACGTCTATTTATCCGATGTCTATTCTGTAAATATGTATATATGATGTAAATGCTTATAAAGACAATATTAGTTGTGATCAAACGATGAGTTCAATCATTGAAACTAGCCATGTTGTGCGGTTCATCTTGATGTAACTACATATTTATGTATGTTTACAATTTTTGCCGCTGCTGCAGAAGGGTCTTAAACTTGTGAAAACCATAATTTAAATAACTAAATTTTGGTCGAAAGACAAGAAGAAGACAAGACATGGCAATCTGATGACTTAATCCCACAAGTGAGCGCCACATCACATTCGGTTGCTTTATTATACGTATTACTATACACAGTATGTATATTACAGACTGCACAGTATATTAAATTCATGTATATAAATACATATGTATATATTCTTGATCAGCATCAAAAATCGAGGTAATATAGCCACGTCTGTCCGTCCGACCGTCTTGTTTATCGTCTAGTCCTTAGAGACTTTAAAAGCTGGAGCAACCGAGTTTGGTGTTTAAATCGCGAAAACTTGTGTCATCCACAATTTGGAAGATTTCTTTTATCTGAAGACGCAGCATAATAGGAATGATCATATCTACAGGATTGGGACTGGATCAGATCGTATCAAATGATAATGCAATGGCTGGCATGGCTCACCTCCCACGTGCTCGCTCTTTCTTTCTATTCCACGTTCGGTGGGTGCCAGAGCCCCCTGTAAGTGAGGGATAAAAATTTTCATAAATCTTAGCAAACAGAAGATTAGTACCGGATAGAATAGTGTCGCGGAAGATGTTCCTTGACTAAGCTATTGAGGCTAATCAAGAATATTTAATATATATATATATTTTTTTTTTCATTTATTATTGGGTAACAGTAGGGTAACAGTAAATGGAAGAAATCTTATAACTAAGGGTGAAAATGGGGGTGGCCAAAAACCTGCGAGACTGCCGCCAAGCTTTGCTTCGCAGGGGACTGGCAGGTCGGTTAATATAATGTACATATACAGTTGTGTTCAATGAAATAGTAGTGCCGCACCTCATCACTTTCAAAACTATTTTTGAGACACTTTCAGTTATCCAAATTGAACAAACTATACCTTTTTATATAGACTGGATTGTTAGCACTAGAAAACCGAAGAAATATCCATAAATTTGAATTTCATCTTCTTGTTTTACACGACATAAGCCGAATACCCATGAAATATGTAATAAGAATGTTATGTATTCTAAAGTATGCCACATACACAGTTTCGTTTAAAACCATACTATACTCAAACGCCAGGGCCCATAAGGCTCAGCCTAGCCCACCCTGCCCAATGCTATTTTTGTCATGATTTTCGGTGGTAATCGGATTTCTATGTATGCCAAACATATTCTTTTGAGTCTATCTTACCATATAATATAACTGATGATAGTAACATCAGTCAAAAGCATTTTTGTCACTGTGACACAGGCCTTTCCACATGTGTTTTTCCAAACTGAAGTCGTGCACCCATGTACTCTCAGACCCAAACGCGGAGCTTTGTGGGAATTCTTGCATTAAAATATTGTTTAATCAACCGTCTACGAACGGTCACATCACGGGCAGCGCGATTTAAAATTTTGTTCATAATTTTTGAGGATATTGAAGGCATGGTCTTGCCTTTGACCATCGCCGACCATCCTCTAAAAGAGAAGTTTTCGTATACAAAATCGATTTTCAGTCTACTTTATGTAGTAAAATACAATAGTGGGAGTCATACAACTTAGTTTTCAATTCCATTTTACCTCCTGCCTTAACTTTTTAGTCTAACTCTTAGGTCTCCTCTTCTGGACCGAGCAATGTCCAAAATGTTTTTTTCTACATTGAGCTGACTGGTGGTGAGTTATTTAAATTAATTGGTTTTGTTTTTCGTTTTTTTCATTTTTTAAATTAATTTAACCCACCACTACTATTTCATTGAACAGCAGATATCATGGATAGTTGTCTAAAGTCATGAAAAACAAGAAGATGGAATGCAAATGTAACGGGGTTGCTTCAAGTTTCTAGTGCTTACATTCGAGGCTTTCCGTAAAGGTATCACTTGTTCAATTTAAAAAGGCTAGAAATATCTCAAAAAGAGTAGTGAGGTGCGACACTACTATTTCATTGAATACAACTTTACATATGTAACGAGGGGGAACGTTGAGTCGCTTCTGTTGCCGCGTTGAGTCTGAAAAAAAATGTCGGCGATAGTTCTTATAGTCTCTGAGAACTAGGCGACAAACAAGACAAATATAATATAACCTTAAACTCTTCGAGTACTGGTATAAAAAGATGACAGTGGCATCGAATATGACACACATCTTAACGAATACAATATACCCCAGTACTCTATGAGTACCGGGTATAAAAAGCTTAAGACGCACATTTGGTAGAAGACAGGTAAATTGCAAACTTGAATCTGGAACCAAACTTGAAGCTTTAAGCTGTACAAGAGTGTTAAAAGAAACTCCAGTTGGTTAAAACCTGCCATCAACAACAACCAGCCCCGTCAGTTGTTTATCGTTCAGTGGGACATATTGATCAATTGGAAAGAGTTATAATACATTAAATAAATTAGAAACCCGTTTACTTAATCATGATTCGATATTCATTTAAATTTAGTTGGCTAATTACGCTTCAGTTTGCACTTCTTCGTGTTAACTTTGCGAATAGTGTTAGTTTGGTTGAATCATTTAATGCAGGCTACGGCCATGTAATGCAGCCGAGTTCTCAACAGCGTGAAAGTCAGCTAAAGATTGTAAATGAATGGAAATATTTAGACTTTGAATATCCAACTTTTGTCGAACGCCAACAAGCCATTATGAATGGGTAACGTAACCAGCAAAAAAAGTTTCATTGTAACCTTGTAGAGCTTATAATGACCTTGGTCATAAGCTTCCAAAACAGAGAAGGAGGTATCTGTGACCCATTAAAGTATATACCAGCATCAATTGCCGAGGCGATATAGCGTCTAAGGTAGACATATGTACATATCTCCCATCGTAACTCCATTCTATCTATCCGACTGTCTGTTTCTTACTGAAACTTACTTGTCCTCCGTATGTGAAAATTTTGTAGAAATAAGAGCATTCATACTTTTAACCTACAAAATATAGTGCGACAGATCAAGTATACATTTTCATACCTGCTTCTCTGTTCAAAGATTAGTTTTAAAAGTAAGCTTAATTGTTTGCATTTGATCAGCCACAACCTGTACATTTTATCTTATACGCAGAGACTTTATACCGAAAAATAACCTTCCTCTTGGCATTGACATTGACGTGCAAAAAAACCGACTATTTATTACTACGCCTCGTTGGAAAGACGGCGTACCCGCAAGTTTAAGTACGATTCCGTTCCCGACGAGGGAATTAAGTCCAGCAATTAAACCATATCCAGATTGGAAAGCTCATGGAAATCCATATAATCCAGACTGTTCTAAACTGATATCGGTATATCGCACTACCGTAGACTCATGTAACCGACTCTGGCTTATTGACTCTGGTATTGTTAATGCCACAATCAACATTAATCAAATTTGCCCGCCGAAAATAGTTGCTTTTGATCTAGACACAGACCAAATGATCGTTCGATATGATTTGCCTAAATCGCAGGTTAAAGAGGATTCTCTGCACTCCAATATCATTGTTGAAGTGGGGGAGCGCTGCGAAGACGCACATGCAATTGTAGCAGACGTATGGCGGTTTGGTCTCGTTGTTTATAGCTTGGCGAAGAATAGAAGCTGGCGAGTCACTAACTACAATTTTGCACCAAATCCAGTGGCTTCTGACTTTAAGGTATATGGATTGAACTTTCAATGGCTGGATGGTGTGTTTGGGATGAGTATAGCTTATGATCTTCAGAGTAAGCAGCGTGTGCTTTATTTTCATCCAATGGCTAGTTTTAAGGTAAGCTATTTGAGACATCCCTCTGTATCAGTATTTATACCTTTGTTGAAGCTGTTTCAGTTTTAACAAGAGAAACTACTTTGAAGAAATCATACCTTGTGAATTTTATTTATTTATTTATTTTCATTTATTTTATTTTCATTAGGAATTTATAGTATCGACCGAGCTCTTGCTAACCGAATCATTATGGGAAACTAATAGTCAGGACAACGCCCAATATTTCTTTTCAATTGGTGATCGCGGATACAATGGTCAATCCTCCACATCTGGTATTGCTAGAAATGGTGTAATGTTCTATACACAAGTTCACCGAGATAACATTGGCTGCTGGGACACAGCCAAACCATATACGAGGGCCAATTTGGGAATGGTCCTCGATCCGGATGTCTCCCCAACGCTCATTCAGTTCCCTAACGACTTGAAGGTGGACGATGAAAAAAATCAAAGCGTGTGGATAATGAGCAATCGCTTGCCCATTTACTTATATAGCCAATTGGACTATTCAGAAATAAATTTCCGCATTTTAAAGGGTGATGTCAACATGATGATTAATAGCACTATGTGCAATCCAGTCAACATATACGGTAATGGATCTAAATCTGCTATAGTTTCAATAGAGGAAGGACAATGCTATTAAACAACCTCGAGTTTAATTTAATAAAAATATAAAAGAAAACAAAATAAACGTAAATATGTACATTCTACATACATATGTTTTTACGAGATTTTATGCATTTTAAAGATGCTTCACATTATTTAGAAGGCAATTATGCAGATTTTCGTTAGTGAATTTATCTGCCTTTGATATTAAGATATGCATACATAAATATTTACTTGCTCAGATTATTTGCTTACCCGCTCGTATAAATATATTAATATTTGCATAACCATAAAAAATGTATGTGTTTAGGTTTTCCTGAAGGTACTGCCAAGACAAGATAAAATTTCAGCCTTGAACTCCACTCTCCAGTACTCTATTGTTTGGTGGTACAAATAGAGTATTATATTCATATGTATGCATACATATGCATGTACTATGAGCGTATGTACATAAGTACTCTTATATACGTACATATATATGTACGAGCGTGTGTAGGTGGCGGGGGACCTCCTACACACTCCGTTCACCCGAGGCCAAGACCGAACTATTCTTTGTTCTAGAATTTTATCTACGCTAATCCCAATATAGATGTAGCTTCAGAATCGTTGGCTGCACATGTGCTAGTGATAGTGCTAGTGCTAGTGCCAGTGTCTGAAGCAATGCGGACAAGTCTACGCGCGCAACGTTCATTCCTATTTTCCATAATTGTCTGGTCTGTTGAGGTCGTAAACAGCTTCCTAGCGCCCTATTAATTGTGACATGTTAAAGAAGTCAGTGATAGATAGAACAACACCAGTTAATATGATTACGTCGATCAAATTAGGACAAATATGGTTTATGATTTGTATATTGATGGTTTGGCACAATGCCTCAGAAACCTTGGCAAGCGGTAAGTACATTATAAATTAGTATTATTATTATTAACTCTTAGCTGCATACATTGTACTCGGTTAAATAAAACCACCAATCGGTTAACTTTACAGTACATATGTACATATGTGTGTTCATTATGGGAAATGGTGCAAAAACTCAAACACCTTGCATTAACTTCATCCAAATTTAATTCTATCTGTATGCTGCTGTATTTATGTACATTTAGTATGGTACAGATTAAGGATGATTGAACGTTTAATAAACTCTTTTCTTCCATAGAAAACATTTCCGATTATATTAGAAAATGTTGCATAAGTGGGCTACGGCATGCACGAACTATGGATTCCTGTGAAAATATTGATTCCTCCGTATCTATTATACCGCCATTGTGGCTTGGACTATGTCACTCCACCCAGGAAGTGTGCTGTTCGCGAGAATTGGAGCAAAATAATTGTGATTTGGGTCGATTAGCTGCTCTCAACAGAACGCGGTGCGACAAGGAAGTAAATTCGAACTCTAATGCCTATGCGGGCTGTTGTCGAGCGTGTCAAGTTGGCTTGGCAGTCAAGGCAAGTAAACAGAACTGCAGTGATCCATTATTTTCATTTCTTTCTGCTATTGAATCCTATCGGGCTTGCTGCTACGAAGACAGTAATTTAAATTCTAAATCTGATGAAGGATCTCATGTAAGTCGACAATTAGAAAGTGACTTGCGACCTGAAGAGGATCTTGAGAATTCATCAGATGGTACGATTGTACTAACAGACGATGGTAAGTCCTAAGTGGATGCTCATCAGTGAATGCTCGAAAAAATGTAACTGATTCTCTATTGTAAATCTAGACGACATTTGTGGAAAAATTCCAAACCTGTGCGCTCACATATGTGAGAACACATTTGATGCATATCAATGTAAGTGCCACTCCGGATTTAAACTGGACAGCAACAACGTGACATGCTCATCGGAGAAAAATAGCATATGTCCCGATGGATACTATCTGGATCAGCACCATGCCAAATGCGTTGACATTGATGAATGTAGCGAGAAGCTTCACGAGTGCTCGTTGACCCAGTACTGCCACAATACGATTGGCAGCTATCATTGTCTAAATATAAAATTGAGCAAGTGTCCATCGGGATATCACTATGCTGCTAACGAACTAAAATGCAAAGGTGAGTCTTAAGTCTTTCCTATACAGATGTACATAAATCGTATGTAATGCTGAAGGGTTAAGGCAATAGGAATGCAACACGATTTCAGTTTCACGCTTATTAAATTCATATTAATGGCATACTTATGCTTATGTATGTAGATGACAATGAATGCGAAGAGTCGCCGTCGCCATGTGAACCTGACCAACAATGCTCTAATTACGCCGGCGGCTTTAACTGTACCTCAGCCGAGAGCCAATCCTGCGACACAGGTTTTTATCTCGAAGGGGGCACTTGCTCTGATATTGACGAGTGCATGAATAACACAGCCCACACGTGCCATGCTCATCTTCAGGAGTGCCTTAACACACTGGGTAGTTTTTCCTGCCAGTGCCAGATGGGGTTCCGTCTCGATACCACTCAAAATGAGTGCGTCGGTATGTTGTACGACTCTCAGTTTATTTTTCTTATATAATTTTCTTACAATACACATACACTTGCCTACCTGAATAGACATTAATGAGTGTTCTATTAACAATCACAACTGCCTACCAACTCAAAGATGTGATAACACGATCGGTTCATATATTTGCACGGTACCTACACATACACTTATTATTTCTTAAATGTTTATTTAATTCTTCTTTGTTTTGTAGCGTCTTCAGAGTTGCGGAACGGGCTATACATTGAACGCTGAAACAGGGATTTGCGATGGTAAGTAATCTAACTTAATCTAACTAACTGAATTGAATTATAAATTGCACTATAACCCACTTACTGAGTCTAGCAAATAGTTAAAACGAGAAGGAAGCCGTGCTCAGTCAGTATATACATTTTTTTGCTTATGATTTATGTAGAATTTTAAAAATTTTAACAAAATACATGTTTTTTCTGCATCTGTTATCTACATCTACATTTGCAATGTCGATTAAACATCTAAAATGTAGATTATACATCTACAATGTAGATTTTACATCTTCTCTGCAAAGTTCGCGCATTGCACAGGGCAGAGTGTGTGCGAGCGAGAAAGACAATGAGTAGCGTCAGCATCGCCGAAGTAGGTGGGGGAAGCAACTGAAAATTAATCTCTTTATTCTGCCTATAATAATGATCCGATCTGATTAAGATTCGGCAATTTGGTAGATAAGGTCATTCTCTACAAAATGAGTCTCTGAGAACTAGGGGATCATCGGAACGGATGGACGGACAGACGGACATGGCTATCTCGACGAAAACGTTACACACATCCACTTTTACCACAAATCTAATATACCCCTATAGTGATCCGATCCTTTCGATTACGAGATATTTGAATTCGGGCAGTTAGGGCGCAAAGTTCGCGCATTGCACAGGGCAGAGTGTGTGCGAGCGAGAAAGACAATGAGTAGCGTCAGCATCGCCGAAGTAGGTGGGGGAAGCAACTGAAAATTAATCTCTTTATTCTGCCTATAATAATGAACCGATCTGATTAAGATTCGGCAATTTGGTAGATAAGGTCATTCTCTACAAAATGAGTCTCTGAGAACTAGGGGATCATCGGAACGGATGGACGGACAGACGGACATGGCTATCTGGACGAAAACGTTACACACATCCACTTTTACCACAAATCTAATATACCCCTATAGTGATCCGATCCTTTCGATTACGAGATATTTGAATTCGGGCAGTTAGGGCGGCCACTTGATTGAGTATTTATTTAGAAACTAGTCCAAATCAATAAAGAACCAAATGAATGCATACATACATATGTATGTATATGGGAATCGAAGGGATTTTTATACAATTATGTACTTAATATCAAAATACCGATATAAAATACACTGTACCCTCTATCTGTGCGAAAAAAACTTCTGTCACATATGTATATCCATGTACATGCATACATATGTATCCAACATTAAAAAAATGACATATAATAGAGTATCCGATATTAAAACCTATCTTTGAAGATGATGATGAATGCGAACTCAATACCCATAACTGCCAGCCGAATTTTGATTGCTACAACACGAAGGGATCCTTTCGCTGCTATAGGAAAACAACAACAAGTACAACGACAACGACCACAACATCAACAACTTCAACAACGGCTGCACCCACTTTCACGGAGCCAGTTTCAAGAACTCACTATTCCAAATATCCATACCCACTTTCTTCTCAGCAAGGCTACTATGGCTCCACCATATCTCGATTGCCCTGTTCCATTGGCTTTCACAGGAATAATCTTGGCGCGTGTGTCGGTAATTATACATACAAATTCCATGTTTCCCAGCATTTACAGCTTGAAGCTTAATATAATCTTTAACGAGAAGGAACGTGTGAGTCGCTTCTAAAGACGCGACTCTACTTATACCCGTACTCAGTCAGTATTTACATTTTTGAGCATATGATTTTTTAGAATTTTAGAATTAAAAAAAAAATATATTACATTTTACATTTTTTTGCTACATCTGTTATCTACATATATTATGTATATTATACATCTAACATGTAGATTATACATGTACCATTTAGATTCTACATCTCCTCCGCTAGGGGTTGCTCGCGTACTGAACGCGGCAGAGTGTGCGAGCGAGAAGGAAAATTAGTTGCGTTGTCGTTGGCAGGAGGGGGCAGGGAAAGCAACTGAAAATTCATTCTGACTATAAATATGGTAGATATGGTCATTCTCTACGATAATGCGTTTTTAGTTTTATCGTATCTTTAAAATTGTGCCTGCCACAGATTTTAGTGCTTTGTGGAGGCGGAAGGGGGCGGGGCAAAATTTTGAAATACACTTGTAGCAGTGTGATATCACATGAGTCTGGAAACCAACTTTGGTTTCTCAAGCTCTTATACTCTCTGAGATCCAGGCGCTCATCGAGACGGACAGACAGACGGACATTGCTATATCGACTCGGCTATCGATGCTGATCAAGAATATATATACTTTATGGGTTCGGAAACGTTTCCTTTTCTGCGTTGCACACATCCACAAACCACAAATCTAATATACCCCTTAACTCTTTTTTGAGTACGGGTATAATTAGTGGAGCAGGAACATGACAGGCAGCCATTCAGAAATTTAAAAATAAATTCCGCAGTTATGAAACTCTGATTTGGCATCGCCGCGATTGATGGTGGGATCATGTTGTGGGTGGGAATGCTAACTATACCCGTTTACTTTTTATTTCTTTACATATGTAGATATAAACGAATGTGTTGAAAACAATCCTTGTGGTAGCCATCAACGATGCATCAACACCAATGGTCATTTCCGCTGCGAAAGTCTTTTGCAGTGCAAGGCTGGCTTTAAGTCAACGCCAGAAGGAACATCCTGCATTGGTACGTGGGATGTTCTAAAAATCATATAGTTCAAGCCAAATTAGAATTTTATCAACACAGATATTGATGAGTGCGAGACGGGCGAACACAACTGTGGCGACAGACAAATATGCCGCAATCGGAACGGCAGCTACATCTGTGCCTGTCCGACGGGTCATGAGCTGAAACATTCATCTAAAGGCGCCAGCACCTGCCAGGATATAAACGAATGCGCACAGGATCAACGTGTGTGTCCTTCGAATGCTCATTGCTTTAATACCATTGGCTCGTATTATTGTGAATGCAAGTCAGGTTTCCAGAAGAAGACAAGCGACGGGGACGACAGTAACACGGCCTGCTTTGATGTGGATGAGTGTGAAGTCATTCCCGGTATTTGCCAGCAAAAGTGTGTTAACTTTTGGGGCGGATATCGATGCACATGCAATTCAGGATACCAATTGGGACAGGACAACCGCACGTGCAACGATATTGATGAATGTGAAGTTCACAAGCACTACAAGCTGTGTATGGGGTATGCATTCTAGACAATTCGCCTGGTCATCCTTAGGAAATTCTTCCAAATCATGTGATTTATCATTCAGAATATGTATTAACACTGCGGGATCCTACCAATGTACCTGTCCTCGTGGTTACACTCTGGCCTCAGACATGAATACATGCCGCGATACTGATGAATGTGCTGATTCCGTCAATCATGTATGCACCGGGAGGGTATGTTTGTTCTTATCCATTAACTTATACATATTAACAACACATATGGGCATTACTCTGAGGAGGTCCACCAAGACCAAAAAAATTAAATTTCTTTAAAAACACATTTCCATATAATTTTATTGCGATATAATAGTCTAAATTTAATAAACGACAACTAATTTACCCAATTGACATATAATTTCATTAATTTTGATGTGAAAATTTTCGGTGTTTTTGGTTTTAGTCATTACTATTACTAATATCTCTTTTAAACAAGTAGATTCTTGAACAAATATATTCAACAAAATCTTTCCAACATATTAGACTATCTAAAAACAATGGTTCAATCCCGGCTAACGGTATATTTGTAACTGTTATTAACATAGGAATTTTTGTCCCGTGCGACATGTCAAGTCTGAAAATGATTTTAATTAAATTTTAAAAAAAGTACGAACCATATTTGCGTAAAATTAAAACCAAAACCATTTAAAAGGAGACAAATGCACAACATTAACAGAAATTTTCATCAATATATTTCCCCAACTTTCGCTGAAAGTTAAGCTAAGTTAAGTTAAGCAAGCTAAGCTAAGTTTGAATTGATCGCCGCGAAAACCACTTCCCGTGCGAATGGCTTGGCTTTTGCTTGGCTTTTTACCAAAAATCTCGAAAACGATTGAGCACCAGTTATAGTACTAGTTAAAAGATGTGTCATAAAAGTAAACAAATTTTGAAAATTTTTGACCTTTCTATACGACTGTCGCGTTTGCCTTCAGAGAAATTCCCATATGGGCAGTTCCTTCAAAAAGTTCTACCAGGCCAAAAATCAATAAATCAAGCAATAAAATCCGATTTCCATATATGTACTTTTCCACGATCTTATTTTCTAAATATATTGAAAGATAACGAATTTAAGAAATAGACATATACAGCAATGCTCCGGCTATCGCAAATCGCAAAAAAGCGTGCTCCGGTTTTCGTAAAACGCAAGATTTTTACGATTTGAAACCGGTTGATAATGAGCTCAAAATGCTCAATGCACAAAATATAAACATATTTGCTGATGTTTTAATGTTATGTTTATATAATTAAAAATTTATTTTCGTACAGCCTAATATATTTCTTAAATTTAATTCTAATGTCACCCAAATTTTACCTCAAAATAAACCTAAACAAAAACGTCGTCTGTTCTTCGTTCACGCAATTTTGGTTTTGTTTTGCAATGATATAATGCGATTGCCAAAACGATGGTTTAACTAAAATATTTCCATTTCCAACACAAACAACGATTTTTTTCAAGATAAAAACGCAAACAAATTTTTGAATAAAATACTATTGATGGCAAAAAGTTACGAAAAATGGAGCGCACACAATTTCAATTCGTACGAATTGTTTCAAAATTGTAATCGCAAAAATTTACGAAAACCGGAGCATAGCGGAACTGAGCTGAACATTTTGAACTATCTAAGCAAATTAACAGAAAAATTACCCAGTCTGGGCTAACGGTATATTTTTAAGCTTTTATTGCCGCGGAATTTGGTAACGTCACGCCAGTAACGTTCCTCAGATGCATTCGCGGACTTAAAACAAACACCCGGAAAGGTTTTTTACATTAAATTACATTGGAAGTGAACACCACATATTTCATGTACAGTATCGGGGACACAGAAATCCGGACACTCAAAAATAACTTAATTTTTATACCCGTACTCACAAAAGAGTTAAGTATATTAGATTTGTGGTAAAAGTGTATGTGTGTAACGCAGAGAAGGAAACGTTTCCGACCCCATAAAGTATATATATTCTTGATCAGCATCAATAGCCCAGTCGATAGAGTCTGATAACGTCTGTCTTTCCGTCTGTCCGTCCGTCCGTGTTATTTGACGCCTGGATCTCAGAGACTATAAAAGCTAGAGGAACTAAATTTTGTTTCCAGACTCATGTGATCACACTGCTACAAGTGTATTTCAAAATTTCGCCCCGCCCCCTTCCGCCCCCACAAAGGACGCGTTCAGTGCGCGAGCAACCCCTAGCGGAGGAGATGTAGAATCTAAATGGTACATATATAATCTAAATGTTAGATGTAGAATATACATAATATATGTAGATGTAGATAACAGATGTAGCAAAAATAATGTAATATATATTATTTTTAATTCTAAAATTCTAAAAAATCATATGCTCAAAAATGTAAATACTGACTGAGTACGGGTGTAAGTAGAGTCGCGTCTCTAGAAGCGACTCACACGTTCCATCTCGTTTTTTTTATACAATTTTGGTATGTTTCTCAAGAATTAAAGAAGAATTATTAAACTAAGCTAACAATATGAAAGGCACGGGAAATACATAAAAAGTTTAAACCCAAGTGTCATTGCTTTCAAAAGAATCCTTAAATCAATAAATAGTTCTTTTTGTATTCACTTTAATATTTGTACAGAAAAATTCACTGTATGTTTTTGATCAGGAAATAAAACTGTTCTTGTATAACTTTTTTATCTATTTGGATTATTGAAGAGTATGTAATGAAGTAGTCATAATTTTTTTAACATCCCGTGTGTTTTAGAACTAGTTTTCTACGCGAAAGCTTGGTATATACTAAATTTCAGATAATAGTAATAAGATAATAACAACACTAGTCAACACTAGAATTAGGCTGTGGCCCAAAATTTAGATTGTTATAGATTTCGGGGTTTAAAATTTTTTAACGCATTATGTTTTTTTTTAGGGTGTAGTTTTTTTTTTTAGAATTTTTTAAAATCTGTTATTTTTTTTTTTGTTTTTTTCAGAGGTAGTGCTTCTATTTTTCACATAACTTAAGTATTTTATATCTGGTTGCATAGAACTTTGCAGTTCTGAAAAGCTGACAATCGTTAAAATGTTAAATCCCGAAATCTATCAGAAAAAGTCTTTTTGGTTCACAGCCTAAATCAAAAGTTCAATTTTGTCGAGTAGTGTAATAAGAAATAAGATTCTTCAATTCAGATAAAGTTTTGTGTGTCTGCTTTCATATAAAAACATTGATGATGTGCTTAAGATTCTCGATCGGACTGAGATCAAGACCATTTCCCCCATGCACTGTGGTAAGGAGCAGAATCTACCTAAAAGCTAAGGTCATCAGTATGCGAAAAGTACTGCCCATTAGACGGTATGAGGTTTTTTCTAAAATTTTGTTTGATCTCTATAATTAAAACGAGAAGGAACGTGTGAGTCGCTTCTCGGGCCGCGACTCTACTTATAACCGTACTCAGTCAGTATATACATTTTTGAGCTTATGATTTTTTAGAATTTTAGAATTAAAAAAAAAAAGTTTTAAATTTTACATTTTTTAGCTACATCTGTTATCTACATCTACAATGTATATTTGACATCTACAATGTATATTATACATCTAAAATGTAGAGTGTACATGTTCCATTCATATTCTACATCTCCTCCGCTAGGGGTTGCTCGCGCACTGAACGCGGCAGAGTGTGCGAGCGAGAAAGAGAATGAGTAGCGCTGTCGCTACTGGCTGGAGGGCTCGGAGGAAACAACCAAAAATCAATTTCTTCATTCTGGCTATAATTATGATCTGATTTGATTCAGATTCGGCAAATAGAAATGGTCATTCTCGATACTGCGTTTTTAGTTTTATCGTATCTTTAAAATTGTGCCTTCCACAGATTTTCGTGCTTTGTGGAGGCGGAAGGGGGTGGGGCAAAATTTTGAAATACACTTGTAGCAGTGTGATATCACATGAGTTTGGAAACCAACTTTGGTTTCCCTAGCTCTTATACTCTCTGAGATCCAGGCGCTCATCGAGACGGACAGACAGATGGACGGACATGGCTATATCGACTCGGCTATTGATGCTGATCAAGAATATATATACTTTATGGGGTCGGAAACGTTTCCTTCTCTGCGTTACACACATACACTTTTACCACAAATACAATATACCCTTTAACTCTTTTTTGAGTAAGGGTATAAAAATCTCCAGACCATCCTGCTGCCTCCATGCCACACCGTTTTTTTTGGGCACTCATCTTTAAAGCATTCACCGACTTTACGGTGGTCATTCGTCACACTATCAAAACCAAACTGGTTTATCTTGCTATTATTATAAACATTACGTTTTTTCAAACATTGACAGTCCAAGTTTTATTCATTTTGACGAATTTGAGCTTTTTCAGGATTTTTTAGTGCCAAAAGTGGTAATTTTTCTGGCTCACGACCGTTAACTCCTGTCTTCTGAAGACGTCGCGCTTAGTTTTGATGCTAAATAAACTCCGTTCTAATATCTTACGCCAATTTGAACCGATCTTCGACGCTCAAGCGTTTACAAATACGATCCTACTTTGAAGGTCCTTTTGGGTGGTCTTCCTCTTACTTCCTGCGTTTTACCGAACAGAGTTTTTCGAAGCTTTTTCACTCAGACTAATTTGCCGCTACTTTATATACACAAAAATTGTTTGTACAGATAGTATTACCCAATTCGCAGAGTTTTGCCCCAACGTCGAAAACTTATGTTTTATGTAACGAAACTTCAGGTCATATTTTAGCTATATCTTTTAAACCGTACGCTCGAATTTTACCATTTTTTTGGGTGGGCTACCCAATTAATATTCAACAAGGATAATCTTTTATTCCGAATTTTTCATTCTGTTTTCAACATTTAAAGTAAGTCCAGAATAGAACTGCCGATATGTAGAATTTTCTAAATTGTGTACAGAATTAATTTATGTAGTAATTTCATTAAATCGTGTCTGTTTTAATCTTATTATTTTCTCGGTTTTAAGAACGATATTTGCACAAATATTAAAGGAAGTTTTAAATGTACAACTATCAATTGCCCTTATGGATATACCAACGACCCAGAGCAAAAAAAGTAAGACCACAGAACAGATAAGTACACTGAAAATATAATAAAGGTATAATTAACATAGTCAAAAATTTCTTTTAATACTTGAACTTAACACTTTGACCCTCACAAACTTTGCTTGGAATGCACATACATACCTATATACCTAAAATGCACAGAACCTGTTAGATCGATATAATTTATATTTTTATTCTTTTTTACAGCCGGTGCCGTCAAAACAGCAACTTTTGCGAAGGAGAAGACTGTTACACGAAACCATCAGCTTACACATACAATTTTATAACTTTTGTATCTAAATTGATGATACCTCCAGATGGTAGAACGATATTTACTCTACGTGGTCCTATGTGGTATGACAATATCGATTTTGACCTCAGAATCGTGAGGATCCAAGCTTCCATCAACATCGAAAGAGCAACTGAGAACCATTTCGAGTTAGTATTAAATTTGATATTGTTGGCGCTGTGCTGTTAATAACTTTAAATTTACAAATAATCAAATTTATAACTAATTTTGTTTCCTTTTTAACAGCACGCTAAAAAGCAACAACCAAGTCAATGTATTACTAAAGAGATCCCTGGATGGGCCGCAGGACATTGAGATGGAACTGAGTATGACAGTGTTTACCAACGGAATGCCTCGTGGAAAGAGTGTCGCAAAGCTATTTCTCTTTGTATCCCAGCACCCATTTTGAAGTTGTCCGATACATGCTATATCAAATAGTATACAATACCAAGATCTTGCTTGAAGGACTAAAAAGCTGTTATACGGCGGTGTTTTCCGTGACGCACCGTAGGGAGAGTCTGCGCGCGGGGTTTTAATTATCCTTTCAGTTATTCTTCGTCTCTGACCGTGGCCCGCTGCATACTCAGCTTCGTTTGTTCAGCTCGTCTGGACAGTCAAGTCGGTCCCAAAATGCTACAAAAAATTCAAAGGAAATACGTACTTTTTGATCCGAAAAGTTCGAGCAACAAATAGTCTTTGGAAACGCGCAGCACTCGTCCCCTCGCAGAAGAAAATGGTTCAAAACGGAATGTCCAAAAAAATGTTTGTAAAAATACAAGAACAAGTTGTATGTTTTGGGCATGAAAAGGAATATTTTCTCCGCGCCGCCATTGACGAACAGACCAAGCAGGCTGAGATGCCGCGGTTAGAGGCGAAGGATAACCTAAAAGAGAATGTAAGTACTAGTTACCCGAGCCCTCGTATTCGTAACGTTGAACGAAAATTTAAATAGAATTAGATCCTGATGCAATTTCTTGGTAATTTTATAGTCTTTGATAATATCTACGTACACAAATAAATACATACTTATTATGAAATAAATAATTTGATTGGTTGATCTGAGACAGGAAGCTGAATTGGTTTGTAGTATGATTATTAAATATTTTTAATATATGCATTAACAATTGGTATGCACCACTTACTGTTATTTCTTGATACATTTTGTCATAAATTTAAATAAAAATTTTCCACTGAAAATATTATTGCTCCACCCAATCGTTATTGGCGCTATTTAAACGTACCTCTCCACAGTTATTTCCTAAATCACAATCATCGACAAATTCAACGTGAGTGAATGGGAAGTGGCCCTTGCGTCCATTTAGTTCCCCCTCCCATTGGCCATTTATATTAGTTTTAGTAACTTTGATAATGTCACCTATTTCCAATTTCAATGCAGTCTTGTCGTATGCATTGGGCACCCTCGATTGTTTTACCCGAGCGAACGCTGGCAGTTTGCGCTAGTTGAAAAAACGGTTAGACACAAAAGATCTACGTTGGGTTTAATCATTGAACTTACGTTTAGGTCGGTCCGTTTTAACGTGTTACCAAACAGATTGCAAGAGACTGTTGGCGGGTCAGATGAATTATTCAATCGTCCAATAGTAGAGCTCGGGTGTCCAAGAACTTGGCTATCGAATCCGTCCTCATCTGTTGCGTCCTCATACTGGCAAAAAATAAAAATGCTGAAGCTAAAACGTTTCGTATTTTTTATACGTAAATATGTACCCTTTGTACATAAGGAACCGGTATTTGTCCAACTTGTCCCGTTGAATTGCGTGCCGTCCACCACTGATCTTCATCCTTTCGGATTACAGTAAGAACTTCTCCTCTCTGGAAGGGCAAGTCGTCTTGATCCTTTGGGAAACGATGATAAGATAAAAACTACGGAAAGCTGACAAAATTTTTAAATGCTCACGCTGCCAACAAAATCAAATTTTCCAACTACTTTTTCCACTTTTTTTTGAGCGGGCCGCCTTAGTGGTGTCGTGTCCAAATAGTGCAGCTTGTAAAATGTCAAGAGTTTTGGCAGATTATCAAACGACTGATCGCCAATGCGATATACTATTTGATCCTGTTGTTGAACTTTGTTGATTATATAGTTGCTAACTTTAGTGTCTTCTCTAAATTAATATAAGTAATAATTAAGTTTCATGATATGATGCTCTTTTCTGTATATCTTTTATTAATTTACCTTACACAGAGCACGTAATCTCCTGCTATCGAGTTGCTGTCACGGACTAAAAACACTCCCCGTTCACGCTCATTCATTAATACTTCGGTAGCGTCTTGTCGGGACATTGGACCAAAGTACCAGCTGTAAAATCGAGACCAATGTAATTGTAATCGGATGTCTAAGATATACATACATCCATATGTTAAACAATTTTAAATTTAAATTAATATCTACAAAGATGCAGTTCACTTTGAAGTTCGCTGCTTACCTGCTCTTATCTGACACATCAAATGTATCCATTTTTGATTTTAAAATGGCTTATATCAAGTTAAGTCGACATCAAAAGAGACACATGAATTTGGATAACAGCTTCGAAATGCACATGTAAAATATGACTTAATTAAAGGTCCTTTGTAGTTTTTATGGTGCGAATGCGAATGTTTTATGATTGTAACATCATGTAACATTAGTTTATAAATTAAGACGAAGAATTGTTTGTTTTTTATTTGTGTGTGTATATACGCATATCATATTCTAGTGTTGTGTATTTTTAATTTTTCGGCCAAAATAGTGTTGGTTGAAACTTCGTTCTCTTTGGTTCATCATTGGAAATAGTTCATCTCTCTTTTGATATTTAGTTTGGGTATTACTAGCTAGCTAGGACCCTCAGCATTGAAAATAAAATCCGAGAAATGAATACATGCTCTATGAGATTGTCAAAAAAGGTCAAATTTCAACAAGACTGAATGGCCCCACAGCACAGAGATGAAATTCTCACGGAGCCCTCTGACGGTCAACACAAAAACAACAAACATGAACTGGATCGATACAAAGTTCACTGAAATGAATATTATATTCAGTAAGGGTGTTTCGTTCCATATTAAGCCTAGTACTCAGATCCGAAAAAACACCTCGCGAACAGAATCAGGGTTGATATTCGAATAAAACCGATACGACATTTTTTCGGGCAAAAACTGTTTTCTAGGCTCTGTAGGGAAGGCAGTGCTCAGATCAAAAAAAATGGTCGGCATATACTAGAAGTATCCGAATGTATTTGCAGATATTGCTGGTATGTTTCAACCCCCTTTGAAAGTTATATCATTTTGATATATTTTGCCAGCAAACACGAAGCACACATTGAAATACGAGAACAAAAAACCAAATGAAATATTTTAATAATGAAGAAAAATAGAATCTAATTAATGCAGCATTATATAAAGGACAATTATATGGATATTGTAATATATTATATTTATTAATTTTCATAAATATAAAACAAATATAGTTTTCAAAACATTTTTTTTTCACGGTGGTCGGCACGGTAGGCACGGTAGGCTGATGCTGATAGTTAGACACATTCCCATGCCAATAAAATATTGGGGAGCCCAGGATATGCCTGGGGAAGAGCGACACCAGCCGAAGAAGTGCATATTATTAACTTTAAACAAAACAAAGCAGCTGTCTAAGCAGTGTAACCGTACGGAATGCAGTGCGCACTCTTTTCACACCACTGTCCGTTAGAAGAATATATGACATTTGTTTGCTAGCAAACAGTTTTTGGATTTGAGTACTAGGCTTTATATTCAAAAAATGCTATTCATTTTTTGTTGTATTTATCTGTGACTCCGGTTTTTACCTTCGCAAAAATGACTTAGTAATGTATTAACGCTTAGCAGACACCATTAACGGAGCAACTTGGGGCGTTGAACAGGAAATCTATATATTTAAAAAAGTTGTGTTCGTGCCTCCAACATCTATGAAAATTACTGAACCGTTTGAGTCCAAATTTAAACACACTATAAAGTCAGCTTGATGTTATGTCAATATAAGGACGAAGCTCGGAAAATCGCGATTTAAGTATTCTTGTATAAAGCCTAGTATACGTACGCGCTAAATTTTCCGTCAATCGAATCAGGTATGATATTTGTATGGAAACGATAAAAATGCATGCCTGCTTTTCGGTCGACCGAAAATTTCGCAGCAGAAATTTCGCATACTGGTACTTAGATCGGAAAAAACATGCGAAAAACAGCGAGACGGATAGAAAGTGCCATAATGAATCAAATTAAGGCAGTTGAATGAATGTTGACTGAATGGATGTTATAATTTATTAACTTTATAATATGACAGCAGACCCGGCGACCGTTGTCTCGCCCTATTTTAACGCCTTCAGATAAACTCCAGAATGATAATAATAATAATGCGACTCTAATTTTATACCCGCACTCAGTCAGTATAAAAATTTGTGAACTTTTAATATATGTACAATTAAAAAAAAAAATTTACATTTTTAATTTTTTTTGCTAGATCTGTTAGAGAAGGATCTTATGAAAGAAGAAGTATTTTTGTATAAAGTAGGCCTTTCCAGGGCTGTCAACGTATGTTTGATTTTTGTATGGAAAGTGTTACATAAATCAAAAAATAAATTCAGTCGGCTTAGAATGAAATAGTGCAGATGAAATAATCTGTTTAGAATGATTTGGCTAAAAGTGCTGAAGAAATCGGAAAATTGCGCGGAAAATGTAGAATAAATGTTTGATCTGTTTTGAAAATTGTTTTGTGTGAGTATTATCATCAGTAATATATGTATACATATTAATGGAAAATAGCAACAGCACACAGTCCAGAAGTCGTTTCAGCTTATATTCTTTTAGAAATAATAGAAATGGAAAAGGAAGAGTATGTTAACAGCCATTAAAAAATAATAAATGGCAGGCTAACCTTGTCTGCTGAAGTGAGGAATATTTTGATTGATTTTTGGCAGAGGGACTTCGCCTCGTCAAATTCATTAATTTGTGACTCATTAATTTATTGGCATCAACATTATTAACTTGTGCAAAAAAATATGTTGCTGTTGAACGACAGCTAGGTAGAGCTGGAAAAAACATCGATGTAACATCGATAGTATCGATGTTGCTCAAAAATGTTCAGCATCGATGTTTTTTCTGCAAACATCGATTATCGTCACTTACAACCGAAAGACAGAATTCGTTATAAGGTAAGGGAATATTTTATGCGAATTTGCTTAAAAAAATTAATCTATTCTACTTACTTAAATAGAGTATAATATAATAAATACAGTTAATTTTGTACAATGTGCACACATATGTAATATGTATGCGAATAAATTTGTATACATGCATATACATACATATATGTATGTATTCTCACTTTTTCGCATACTTTTTTACATACATATGTATGTATATAAATGTGTAAAAAATTATCAAATTAACTATTTTAAACTAATTCCTTTAAAACAGTAACAGGAACTGTATTGGATGACGTTGGAAATAACGAAGAGACATCATATCTAGTCCCAAGCGACCCAAAAAGGACCTCGCTAAAACCTAAAATCAACAAAAACAGCTTCCTATCAGATCTCAATTAAAAATTTAAGCCGCAAACAAATTTTTGTATTTTTTATGTCGATAATCGATTATAATCGATGTCTTCGTCCTAAAACATCGAAAACATCGATGGTGGCAAACATCGATGTTTTTCCATCTCTACAGCTAGGACAATTGCCCATTTATTATCAATTCTTGCTTAATATACAACAACATAGTGATAGTTGCGCTGATAGGCAGAAAAATGCAAAAATGTGCAGTTAAGCGCGAAAGCAATCGAATATATCGAATAGACGCACATGAATCAGAGACTGACGCAACCTTTTGCCACCACTAGGGCCCTATGCTTAACCTATGAAAAAAAACTGCGTTTTCGCTAAGACGCAAAGAAGCAAAGACGCAAAGTCCCAATGTAATCAGCCTATTACAACAACAAAAACTTTTAGATCAAAAATTAAATTTTGGCGCTAAAAATTAATGGTTGTGCAAAAAGATGAAAATAAACATAAAATCATTTAATAAAATATTTGAAACTGATTTTATTATTATTATACGACATTTTTGTGACCCCTGATGCCATTAGCTTCGATGGTTTTCAGAATTTTAAGGAGAACTCCCATAAACTCGACAAAGAAAAGAAAGAATTAATATGAGAATCAATTCTCTTTCGTCCATTTTGTTTGTTTTTCTCTCCATTACATCAAGCCCCCAAATCGAAATTCAAGACGCACGTCTGCCAATGTAAACGCATTTTCTGCTTCATTGCGTCAATGGCGATATCGATAAATGCACATATTTTCCCTGAGTACCCATTATTTTCTATCTGATGTCTATCACCACAACGAATAAATATTTATCGATATTAACTATTGTTGAACGATTAGATATCCGCCATTTTGTGGACATTCTTGTGGAAAAGTGAAAAATCGAGACGTCACAACACAATATACATAATCTTTATTGTTTCTATGCGTCAATTGAAAAAACATTCTGATAATATCGGAGTTTCCCGACTGTGGATTTTGTTATTGACATACGGTTTATTTCGGAGTCCTATACGCCCTGTTTTACTTGCACAATTAAGTACACATATGTATGTATCTTTAATGCACATATGCATGTATATATACATATTAATACATGCATATATTTAGTTCAATGTGCATGTGTTAAAGCCAATAACTTGTTTGATGGATGCACACTCCACTCTGCCTTAGATAATGGACATTTGATCGGCATCTTTAATATCGTTCTCCTTGGAACCAATCAAAAAAATGAAACGGTAAAGAATTTTGTGCAATTGTAATATTTTATATACAAAATTACATACATACAAATGTATGTACGTACTTACAAATTTATGTACATACATACATTATTACATATGTATACAGTGAGAATGGCTTAAAGTAGCTAGTAAATACTATTAGCTTTGAGATATTTGTATACATATGTACATATATTTACGAAATCATCATGTCGACATTACATTGCAAAAGAAGAATTTTGAAGTGCCAAAAATTATATGTGGACACTGAACCTTTTTTTATTTTTGTCCACCATAATAATCAAATTTTAATCTTATCCGTCTTACTTATGTAAATATCGATGAAAGTGATATTCCTAAGAGTATAAATATATCTTGCGAAATATAGCATATCTCTCAAATATGTACATACACATATCCTTTTAAACCGTTTGTAGTGATAGTGGTGTACACAGTGCAGTGGGAGTTCCGACAGCTATAATATGTGTTTTATTTTACATAGTTTGCCACAAACTGAACTGAAACGGGCAATCAATGACAATCATTTTTAATAGAAATCGAGAAAAACACGCATTATAACGAAGCTACTGTATCGTTGTATTTGATTACTATTAAACGTCCCTCTTGCTACATATACTATTTCGTTTCAGAAGCTTTAAACAGGGTCCTAGATTTTAGATTATTTCTATGTCATTTTGTATTTTCCTTTTCTATTATCTGCACGTCTGGTGCCCCCATCTAAATGCCGTACCCCCGACTATATAAAATATTCTATTGTGCATCTACTGCTACTCCTACACCAAATCCATGTTTCATCACCCATATTAGTGGAACATTGTGTGTAATTTTTTAATATCATAAATGTGTTAATGCAGATCAAGGAAGAAGGTGGCGGGTAGATCGATTTAGGTTAAATATCGGGATTGTTCTCCACTTATTGGCTAATTGATGCTCAGGGGCTATGTCAATTTATTTTTCGCCTTTTATTGTACTACGAGTTCCATTGTGCATTCGGATCGTGGACCGAGGGCCGAAATAGGCAAGTGAAAAGGCTTTACTTCTACTAGTTCTAATAAGGCACCCAATCCGAACCATGTTTGGTATTATTGCGCGTTTTACGAATGCAGTATCACAGGAGCTAGATCAGGGATTGAGCAATGCAACCGTTTACAGATCCAGAACCTGTAACTAATGCCTTTTCTTCGAGCAAACAATTTATTTTTCTCATAACAGACCTGCAGATGGACGGGCAAACTTGGACATGTTAATGCTAATCATACCATTTGTAATTTGTCCCTTAAAGGGAAGCATCTTGAAACGAATAACGTACATACATAACACAAGGGAACAAGGGCTTTGTTGATTAAGGACTGAATGTTGTTTTTAAGGTAATCGGGGACGCTGAATGCAACTCTGTACTTGGTTTTTTCCTATCAGATCGAGCTTTCGCGGTATACCGTTATATCAAAAATTAAGGCACTTCCCTTACATATAGTGGACTAACTTGAAAACGGTTAAACGTATTCAGCTACAAAAAAAAATCCAAAACTCGCCAACAATATTGTATTTCAGCCGTGCCTACATTAGTTTTTAATTTGCCCAACAGATTCAGTGATATTAACGAAAACAAAAAATATTTTCTTGTTTAATAATTAATAAAAAAAAAGCCATAAAAATTACAGTTTTGGTCCAAAAAATTTAGTTAAACATATATTAAACGAGATAAAATTTATTTCATTCCAATCGGTAGTCCAAAAAGAAAGTTATAAGTATTATAATGTACTAATCAAAAAATTTTCTTTTATAAGCTTTTCTTAAATTATAATTATTTTGAATGATTTGAATGCTCCAGCAATAGTCCGCCATCATATGGGTATCCCAGTGACCCTGGTACCGCTCCTCAATAGTACGTATATCTTGATGAAAACGTTCACCTCATAATCAAGTAGTATTTCTATTATGTGTACAGCATTTTTTACGAGTATGTTTAAAATTGTTTCTCTCGAAATCGCAGGAGCAAATACAATATTACCATCCACCAGATTTCTCAATTGTGCTTGCGATCGGATCATTATTAAACATATTCAGAGTGAAGAAAATAACTTTCCCAGCTGAGCTTTCTTTCTCTCGCAGTTTGGCTTATCGATTTCTCGTAAAATCACCTTGGATCTGTTTGGTTTGATAGAAAAATTAGTGCATATGTATATATAGGAGATCGGGCTGATAAATAGTCGGCCTATCTAAGAAATTTTTATTCATTTTTCTTTTTCATTTGCTAACATTATCTTATTTTAGCTCTATATACTTTCTCTAGCATTTCTTCAATTTTCTGTATCCCTTCCAAAAATAGGATTTGTCCGATGTCCTCAAAAAGTTTTCATTTTTGTGAAAGACTTCATCATTGAACCCAATTCTTTTCCGCCGAGCCATTTCTTCAGGTTTGGAAACAATAAATAGTCAATAGGGACTTAATTCAAAGAATAGAGTGGAAACTTTGCAAATGAACACCCATGTTAGTTTTCTGCATATTTATGTGTAATAAATTGGACAGTACACAACACTTAAATCTTAGGACTACACATAAAAAAGCTATATACATTATATAATACATACCTTGATCTTTATTTTCCATATAGTCGTAGATTTATTTGCACAAATTTAGCCGAGTCTCAAAACAAAATGTAATAGTTTGGAGCCTGTTTATGGAGGTGGGGGAAGCAACTGAAAATTAATCTCTTTATTCTGGTAAATAATGATCCGATTTGATTCAGATTCGGCAATTTGGTAGATACGGTATCTTTAAAGTTGTGGCTGCCACAGATTTTCGTTCTTTGTGGGTTCGGAAGGGTGCGGGGCGAAATTTTGAAGTACACTTGCACCAGTGTGATATCACATGAGTCGAAACAAAGTTTGGTTGATCTAGCTCTTATAGTCTCTGAGAACTAGGCGCTCATCAGGACGGACAGACGGACAGGCAGACAGACAGACAGACAGAGGCTCGGCTATTGATGCTGATCAAGAATATGTATACTTTATGGGGTCGAAAACGTTTCCTTCTCTGCGTTACACACATCCGCTTTTACCAGAAATCTAATATACCCCTTAAATATTTTTGAGTTTCGACTCCTGAGTTTTTAAAGTCAAAATTTCATAAAAAAAATACCGCAGAAAAATCATAATTTTTGCATTTGAACGCCTTATATTTCCCAAACGGTAAACTGAAATCATAAAGTTTAGCGCCGCATTTCTTAGCTCTTCAGAATTGCAAAGTTCATTGCAACCAAATGTAACATGCTTAAGTTATGTAAAAAAAGAAGAGCTACCTCTGAAAAAAGATTAAACAAAAAATACCAGACTTCAGAAATTCTTCAAAAAGTTCATCCATAGAAAAAAACAATGATTCTTAAAAAAAAAATGTAAAGCTCAAAATCTGTCAAAAAATGTTGGCTTGTTGCGAAGCGGAAAAAAAGTTCAGTTTTGTCGAGTAGTGCTATCAGCCCGGCCACGTATGCAGTATGTATTTATACATGGCATGTATATAGAAACTTACTACCGAATATCTTAAGGCCCAGGCACAAGGTCTACAACGCTGGTATTATTACGAAAAAACTTTCAAAAATGCATACATATGTATGTACAGCTGTGAACATTGAAATAGTACTTAGTGTTTTTTTAGAAAATCGAAAAAAAAAACAACGAAACTTAATTTGGAACTTTTGTTTTAAAGTTCTTTATGTTTCTTGAGGTTGAGGTTGTCTGCGTTGCTAAGGCAATTATACGAAAAAACTTTTAAAAATGCATACATATGTATGTACAGCTGTGAACATTGAAATAGTACTTAGTGTTTTTTTAGAAAATCGAAAAAAAAAACAACGAAACTTAATTTGGAACTTTTGTTTTAAAGTTCTTTATGTTTCTTGAGGTTTAAAAAATGTTGTTTTCAGTACGGCCTTACACCGGGCTGGCATCCTGACAATTATTATTGAGTTCTATTGAAGTAAATTGTTCGCGGGCGATTTGTCTGCGTTGCTAAGGCAATTATACGAAAAAACTTTCAAAAATGCATACATATGTATGTACAGCTGTGAACATTGAAATAGTACTTAGTGTTTTTTTAGAAAATCGAAAAAAAAACAACGAAACTTAATTTGGAACTTTTGTTTTAAAGTTCTTTATGTTTCTTGAGGTTTAAAAAATGTTGTTTTCAGTTCGGCCTCACACCGGGCTGGCATCTTGACAACGTTCCAATAGGATTCGATTCAATAATCCTTTGACGACTACTTAAAATTTCGCTCTAGTTGACGGATTTGCACTTGATGCATAAGATTTCGATGAGAATAAGATTCAGTGACTAAGCTGGACATGGCAAAACGTCGATCTTTTGCGATAAAAACCAATACCCAGCAAGCTTTTGTGAGTGTTAAAGGTGAGTGTTTACTGTTGAAAGATGCTTTTAAAAACCAATTTTTAACTGGTATAGGATTGTAAAATATTCTCAAGTATATCTGCATACACATTTTTGTTCAATACTCCCACGCCAGCCTATAAGATACTAGCTCATATAAGGTGGGCCCCATAGTGCTCAAGTATGCCCAATGATTTTTATACCCGTACTCAAAAAAGAGTTAAGGGGTATATTAGATTTGTGGTAAAAGTGGATGTGTTTAACGCAGAGAAGAACACGTTTCCGACCCCATAAAGTATATATATTCTTGATCAGCCGATTCGATAGAGCCATGTCTGTCTGTCCGTCTTGTTTGTCGCCTAGATCTCAGAGACTATAAGAGCTAGGGCAACCAAATTTGGTTTCCAGACTCATGTGATATCACACTGCTACAAGTGTATTTCAAAATTTCGCCCCGCCCCTTCCGCCCCCACAAAGGATGAAAATTTTTGGCAGGCACAATTTTGAAGATACGACAAAACTAAAAACGCAGTATCGTAGAGAATGCCCATATCTACCGATTGCCGAAGCTGAATCAGATCGGATCATAATTATAGCCAGAATGAAGAAATTAATTTTCTGTTGGTTCCCCTTCTCCAACGCTGACGCTACTGATTCTCTTTCTAGCGGAGGAGATGTAGAATCTATATGGTACATGTATAATATACATGTTAGATGTATAATATACATTGTAGATGTAGATAAAAAATGTAGCAAAAAAATTTAAAAAAGACATTTTTTTTAAATTCTAAAAAATCATTAGCACCAAAAATGTATATACTGACTGAGTACGGTTATAAGTAGAGTCGCGTCCCCAGAAGCGACTCACACGTTCCTTATCGTTGCTAACTTGAGTCGCGCACTCATGTGCTCTATGACCAGTGCGTAGCTTTCTGGGGCTTCTTGTACTTAAATAATGTGTAATCAGCCGTCTACAATCTGTCACATCACTGGCAGAGCGATATATAATTTGTTTCCTAATTTTTTGAGGATACTGGGTGTGTGTTAGAGGCTATTTCCGCAACGCGTGCACCAAATTCCATGCGTTTTTTTTTTTTGTATTTTCTATAAATAAGTTCTTTAAAAATTAAAAATTAGTCAAAAAACTCTCAAATTTGGGCCAAAAATGTGTGGTTCAACGCCAATTTTATTGGTTCATTTTATGATAGATTGTGTTTTTATAACATTTTTCTGAAAAAATTTCAATTTGTGTAAGTTTATTTGTTGCTTTTGATTTATTTGTTTAATTTCGATGAATTCCTAAACATTAAATTTATTTAGTAAGCAGCGAAGCACGATGGTCAGCTAGTTTCTTATTGTTAAAATACAAAAGTGAGAGTGCATACAACTCAGTTTTAAATTCCATTATACCTCCTCCTGCCTTTAGTTTTTAGTCTAACTCTTGGGTCTCCTCTTCTGGACCGATGAATGATTTCTTTTACGCTCCAAAATTAAAAGTACCGTTTTTTCCAAAAATGCCTTTCATTCAAATATTCAATAAATGAAATAAACTTTCCGACCCCAAAAAGTATATACATTCTTGATCAGCATCAATAGCCGAGTCGATATAGCCATATCTGTCCGTCCGTCCGTCCTTCTTTCTTGTCTGTCGCCTAGATGTAAGATACTATAAGAGCTAGAGAAAATTTTTGCCCCCCCCGTCCACCCCCTCAAAAAACGAAAATCTGAGTCATCCATAATTTTGAAGAAACGACAAAACGGTAAACGCAATATCGTAGATAATGACCATCCCTAACAGATTGCCGAATCTGGTAGAGATTGGATCATTACCACAGCCAGAATAAAGAAATTAATTTTCAATTTCTTCCCCCGCCCCTCGCAGCGCTGTAGACGCTACTCATTCTCTTTCTGCCCTGTGCAGTGCGTTACCTTTCGCGAAAAGGATGTAGAAGCTACATTGTAGATGTCGAATCTAGATCAGTGGTGGGCACGCCGTGGCTCTTTCAGCTCCCGCGGCTCTTTCCACTTTGTTTTTTGGGAGGCGCCAGCAAGTCGTCCCAGACGGTCGTCGCTCGCGTTCAGCGATCCGTGAAACTTTACAAAAATAATGCCACTGAAATTTGGTGTCAAAGAGGGGGCAAAAATTCTTCGAAGCCGTGATCTCGAGATTGAAACAACACATCATGTGTCTTGGGCTACGCACATGGTGACTGTTTTTTTTTTTGTTTGTCTGGCTGCGCAGTGGCTCTTCCTGTTATATCTTGTGCCCACGGCTGATCTAGATTGTAGATGTAGAATCTAGATTGTAGATGAAGAATCTAGATTGTAGATGTAGAATCTAGATTGTATATGTAGAATCTAGATGACAGATTTATTAAAAAAATTTAAAATATACAGCCATATCCGGTAATCGCAATTCGCAAAAAGTTACGATTTGACTCCGCTTTTCGTAAATCTCAAGATTTTTACGATTTGAAACCAGTTGCTAATGAGCTCGCGATTTCAAAAGTGAATTGCACAAAATAAAAACATACATATATGTTCATATAATTGAAAATTTATTTTCGTATATCTCAATATATTTCATAAATTTAATTCTAATGACCCCCAAATTTTACCTCACCAAAAAAAAACCTAAACAAAAACGTCGTCTGTTATTAAATCAGGCACTTTTATACCCGTACTCTGGAAGAGTTAAGGGGTATATTAGATTTGTGGTAAAAGTGATGTGTGTAACGCAGAGAAGGAAACGCTTCCGACCCCATAAAGATTCGATAGAGCCATGTCTGTCTGTCCGTCTTGTTTGTCGCCTGGATCTCAGAGACTGTAAGAGCTAGAGCAACTAAATTTGGTTTCTAGACTCATGTGATATCACACTGCTACAAGTGTATTTCAAATTCGCCTCGCCCCCTTCCGCCCCCCACAAAGGACGAAAATCTGTGGCAGGAACAATTTTAAAGGTACGATTCGTAGAGAATGACTATATCTACCAGATTGTCGAATCTGAATCAGATCGGATCATAATTATAGCCAGAATGAAGAAATTAATTTTCAGTTGCTTTCCCCACCTCCTCCAGCACACTTTCTCGCTCGCACACTCTGCCTCGTTATGTACGCGAGCGCCCGCTGGCGGCGTAGATGTAGAATCTAAATGGTACATGTATAATCTACATGTTAGATGTAGAATATAAAATTCTAAAAAATCATAAGCTCAAAAATTTATATATTGTCTGAGTACGGGTATAAGTAGAGTCGCGTCCCCAGAAGCGACTCACACATTCCTTCTCGTTTGTTTTGTTTTCGAATAATATAATGCGAATGCCAAAACGATGGCATATTTAACTAAAATATTTCCATTTTCAAAACAAACAGATATTTTCCAAGAAAAATAACGCAAAACAATTTGTAAATGAAACACTATCGATAGCAACAAGTTACAAAAACCAGAGCGCACACAGTTTCAATTCAAAATTCAAATTCAAAATTGTAATCACAAAAAATTACGAAAACCGAAGCATAGCTGATAATGTAGGTTTATAGTTTCTAACCGTTCTTATTATCTTAGGCAACAAAAATAATGGTTAATTTTTAATAATTGGTTTATATTTAATTGCGGAGACGTAGATGTTTCTGTTTCTGCTAAAGGATTTACAAATAAAACTATCCTTTAAATAAGTAACATATTTTAATAAAAGATTTTGAAAGTTAGATTTATTTTTATTGCCTCCTTAACTCCTGAATAAATCATTTTCTTTTCCAATATTTTCATTTTATGTCTGCAATACGACCCATTGATTTCCGATGCGTCGAATTAAAATTTAAAGTTTATATATTTGTTTTATTATTTAATTAAACGTTATTAATATGCCTACTCGTATATTATCCATCCATTATCTGAATTGTGAAATATTATTATTTGTATGTATTCTTTCTCGATATTATATTCAGGTGAATACTGTACTGTACTCGAAAGCCAGCTATAGAGTAAGACATCGAGCTCTGGATTTGTGTTTTGGGATTGCAATTAAAACGAATAGATGAACAGAATCCCAATCGGAAGCAAAAGGACAGAGTTATGTCATCAATGAACTATGGGTACCGCATTAAAGTTAAAAAGCGAGTCAACACAGGAAGAGGCAAGTACTCTTGCAGTTAAATTCCAAACATTCTATAATCAGCATTTGCATTATTTTTATTCAGACAGCCAAGCCGTTTTCCCAACGGTTCACAATAATTTAAGGCAAAATCATAAGATGTTGAGTTCCACATGTAGTTTAAGGCGTCCCGGAATCAGGTTCCCATCAGTATTATCAAGCGCTCTGATCCCGCAGACATCCGCAGCTTCAAAGACCTGTGTTAAAATAAATAGCTACCACTATCGGTGTCGTGTGATCAGGAAAAGAATCGAAGGACCTTTGAGCGGCATTCTCTTTGATTTACTGTCTCTAATTATGCTTCAACGCCACCGTTTCCTTATGGTGTTTGTGCTACTGATAACGTCACATATTTGCTTATCGCACTCGCTGCTAGTGGAGGAATCGAAGCTGACGTCCCCTGACGAATCGTCCAAGAACAATAATATTTCTCGGGCAAAGCCAGTTGGACACGAACACGGAAGCAATAGCAACTCGACTGGAATTGGAAGCCACGCAAGTTCTGGTTCCTCTTCAGTTGCGGCCAGTGGTTACTTGGAAAAATTGGAACGTAGTGTGGGCGCCGTTCTGATAAAGGTCGCTTATGGCACATCTACAACGAAACGCAGCATACCTGACAATAGCTATGCTTCAGGCCTAACCACAGTTGCTACACCCCTCCTAACGACCCAAAGGTAAGAAATAATTAGCTATACCTACTTAGTTACTTACTACTATTTCCATGAACAGCAGCTTTTATGGGTATTTATCTTAAGTCTTAAATAACAACAAAAAGATGGAATGCAAATGCAACGGGATTTCTTCTAATGTTTTCTAATTCTTACATTCCAGTCTATACAAAAAAATATTCCATAAACAAAGCTGCACATATGTCTGGCCATCGGCTTTGCCGATTCTTTCATTTCGTTTTGCGCACTCCATCATTCTAACTTATATCATTGAATGCCGAACTCTTCCATTCGATTGCATTCTATTGGATTTGTGCTGTGAGTGGTGGAGTCACAAACGAGAAGGAACGTCAGAACATAAATTTATGAGCTTATGATTTATGTAGAGTTTTAAAATATTTTACATTTTACATTTTTTTTCTACATCTGTTATCTACATCTACAATGTCGATTACACATCTAAAATATAAATTATACACACACAATGTAGATTATACATCTTATCCGCAAAGGTCGCGGACTGCACAGGGCAAGTGTGTGCGAGCGAGAAAGAGAATAAGCAGAATAAGAATAGCGTCAGCAGACCCGGAGAAAATGGGGGAAGCAACTGAAAATTAATTTCTTTATTCTGGCTATAATAACAATTCAATCTGATTCATATTTATTCGTAATTTGTCCGATATTTTCATAGTTTATTTTTGCTTTATTATTATCTTCAATAAGAAATATTCCGTATAAAGCGTTTCTGAATACGATATTACTTTGGGGTGATCTTCATCTTACGTTTGAGGCGCTTGGACATTTTTTCGTACTGTATATACTAAAATTCTTTATAAAACTGCTTAAAGAGTATTTCCGCAACCTAACTTTGGTTCAAACAGCGCGAATGTATTGTTATGTTTATGTTTATGTTTATGTTTTTTGAGCGTCAAGCTAATAATGCAGCCTTCGTCAGACAGACGTCAGTCATTTTCGACCATTGTCAATTTGGTATTATCAATTTTTTATTTTGCTTGTAATTAAATCCCATAAGTAAAAAAGTTAGTTAACAAGAATGTCCCACATTAGCAGTCCGCTACTGCCCAGGAAATGTGTATATGTGTACTTTTCCTACTGATATATATATTTTGGACGTTGATATACAATGACTGCACCGTGGTCCTTGCGAACCTAAGCCGGAGACAGTTAAGCAGCCCTCCCCCGCCCAACAAACCGAAAGACGCGTCCGCATGACGCGTTTAAACGAAAGATACATGTTCTATAATATATCACAGGAAAATTTAAACTAAACATAACTTAAGAGTTAAACACCCATTCAAAATTACAAACAAAATAAAACTAATTACGGGTAAGGTACTATATGATTAATTTAAGAAGAGGTAAGGAATTAGTAGTATATATAATATGGTAAATGGAATAATAACTTAAGCATAAGACCCTAAACGGTTGATGCATGTAATAATTTGATCTACAAAGCGAAAGGAACAAAGGCATATAGAATCGTGAAGTTTATGCGGCACAACAAGTCAGGGCTAAACATTTTTTTTTTTACTTATGCTGGACGGTCCTGTTGTACTTTTTATCGATGCATCCATACATAAGGCAATACTCAAGAGAACCACCGCAGAGGTAGTAAGGAGGCAACACAGGGCTGGAACAAAGACAATATAAGTATAAGATGCGTAACGCTCATACATTTCAATTGCCATATGCAAGACAATTTTTCGGCCAGCGCCGAAATTCGCGCCATCTCGCTCGCCCAAATTTGAGAGCGTACGAATCTAAAAATAGAATCCGCTTGCATGTATGAGTACACACAGAACCAGAAAGTGCGTATGTGTGCGTACTTGTGCTAAGCGGACGATTTTCGAGACGGAAACCTTTTTATGAGTTGAGAAACGAAATTATTTACCGGGTTTGAATACGTTGCATGCTAAATACCCTAATGAAAATTATTCCAATGTGAAGTCATGTATTAAATATATATTACATATGTATTTGTATATATTGGGGTGGTAAGCGTCCTGCAAAATTAACTTACACTTATAAAGTGAAGGGTATATTCGACAGCGCTGTAAAAAATGTATGCATGTGCACACATACAGTCGTCGCGACGACTCGGCTCGGCTTTCGCATCGGCAAAGAACTAACTTCGTGTGCCTTCGTATGCTGTGTGCATACAAGAGAGCGGCTGGCTCTAGATCGCTCTCTCTCTAAAAAATTTCAAGAGAGCCTGGAGCCAGCTCTAGAGCCAGCATTCAAAATTCGTGTGCAGAAATTTCGTATGGCGTTACGCATCTTATACTTATATTGTCTTTGGCTGGAACGATGTGTACCATATTTGCACAACACCATGATGGAAAGTTATTGAGATCTGAATGAAATCGAGAGTGAAATGAAATGTCTTTATACTGGACACAGAGTTTATCATCATCCGCATACATAAGTACTCGAGACTTTTTTAATACTGAAGGCAGGTTATTAACAAAGAGTGGGAAAAGTAAAAGGTCCTAGATCGCTGCCGACTTACTTAGACTCCAGAAGTAACCTTAACAGCTAAAGAGAAGGAATTTTCGAAAAGGACCATCTCAAAAGATTGGGTGGAAACCCTAAAATCCAGTTTTCGTGCTAGAAGAAAGTGGTATACGGAGTCTAATGCTTTACTGAAATCAGAGTTAATAACATCCGTCTAAAAGTTACCTTGGAAGCCTTATATGATGAAAGAGGTAAACTCTAATAAATTTGTGGCTGTTGATCGTCGCCTTATATATCCGTGCTCAGCTGGAGATATGTATAAGTGATTTGCAGAGATGTTGCAAGAGCGGAGTTAAAAATGTTTTAAACATTTTGGAATAGCGGATAACTTATACATTAGAGCTGCAAAAACATCGAGCCAGTATCGATAGTATCTACATCACTGACTCGACTATTGAGGTTTTTGTTTCCGATAGTGGTAAAAGTGAGAAACGCAGAGCTTTAGATGCAAATCATGCCGACATGCAAAAATTGTAATAAGGAACGAATGGATTTTTTATATATAAGCCAGATAATGTTTTTTTTTTTCCTTTTTTAAAGCAAAAATATGAAATATTGCTGCTATTTTTATACCCGTACTCGAAGAGTTAAGGGGTATATTAGATTTGTGGTAAAAGTGGATATGTGTAACGCAGACTGCTGTGATATCACACTGCTACAAGTGTATTTCTTTATATACTGACTGGGTACGGTTATAAAAGTAGACTCGCTCCCACAGAAGCGTTCGTTCTCGTTATAATTATACGCGTACTCAAAAAAGAGTTAAGGGGTATATTGTATTTGTGGTAAAAGTGGATGTCTGCAACGCAAATAAGGAAACGTTTCCGACCCCATAAAGTATATATATTCTTGATCAGCATCAACAGCCGAGTCGATATAGCCATGTCCGTCTGTCCGTCCGTCTGTTTTCTGTTGGTTCCCTCGCCTTCTCCAGCGCTGCTGACGCTACTGATTCTCTTTCTCGCTCGCACACTCTGCCGCGTTCAGTGCGCGAGCAACCCCTAGCGGAGATGATGTAGAATCTAAATGGTACATGTATAATCTACATATTAGATGTAGAATAAACATTGTAGATGTGGATGTAGCTAACAGATGTAGCAAAAAAATGTAAAATGTAAAATTTTTTTTCTTTTTAATTCTAAAAAATCATAAGCTCAGAAATGTATATACAGACTGAGTACGGGTATAAGTAGAGTCGCGTCCCCAGAAGCGACTCACACGTTCCTTCTCGTTATAAATAATTTAACAAACCTCAAAAAAATAAATAAACAAATTTAAAGAAATTTTTTTTATTTTCGAACCTATTCTTAAAACACAAAATATATTAATTAATTAATATACTAATAATATATTATAATATATATATTATAAATAGGTTCGTCAAAAATGAAAAATTAATCAAAAAAATCTTAAATTTGTTCCATTTCATTTCTCCGCAACGCGTGCACCAAATTGCAGGCCGTTTTTTTTTTTTATGATAGCCGGAGTATGTGGCTTTGTTTCTAATTTTTTTTTATATATTATTTCTTTTTACTTTTCTACAAATAAGTTCCTCGAAAATTAAAAATGTATCAAAAAAAAAAATCTCAAATTTGGTCAAAAATGTGTGTTTGAACGCTTGTTTCACTTCATTTTGTTACATTCTGTAGAACAGAAAATTGTATGACAGATTTTGTTTCTATACCTTTTTGTATGAAAAATTGTTTTTTTTTTAAATTTAAATTTGTGTAAGTGTATTTGTTGCTTTTAATTAGCAGTGTTTAATTTCGATGAATATTCGAGCTTAACACAACTCAAAGAGCTAAGAATGCAAATATATCTAAGAAATAGTACTAATTACGGAAAAGGTATGTTAGTATTAGTGATTTAAGAAGAGGAAGGGAATTAGTGGTGGATATTATATGGTAGAGGGAATTGAAGTTCGAGCATAGGACCTTAAATGGTTTGTGCAAGGAATAATTTGATCTACAAAGCGAAGGAAACAAAGGAATACATTTTCTAGTTGATCTAATAGGAATCGTAAAGGTTATGCGGCTCAACAAGCCAGGGCTATCTACGTCACCCATGATCAGGTTGTGCATAAAATCACCCCAAGCATTTTTCTACGACTAACTAAGGTTGGTTTTATTTATTAAAAGCAATCTACGAGGGTAAGATGGCAGTCTCACACCTGCATCCTAGTTAAGGCCACGCAAAACAACTATTCTTTGAGTTCCTTATGTTCTTTGTACTTAAATAACATAAATAGATTTCAAAATTTTTGGTTTTAAAAACACTCGGCTCTTAATGGGTTAAAAGAATTTCCAAGTGTCAAATTTTAAAAATTTTGTATGGTCAAAACTGAAATTTTTAAATTTGCTTAAAAAAATCATTTTTGTCCGAGAAACTATCAACAGTTTCTTTTTTTTTTTTGTGAACTTCACAATGTGAAGGAATACGACTCTTGATTTACACATATACCCAAATTTTGGCTTACTTGGCCAAAAGAAAATTTTTTTTACCTCTATGCGAAAGGGCCAAACATTAACCGATAAAAAAAATTTTTGGCCTCGCTTAAGATGAAAAAATTTTGGATTTTCAGCCCACTCTATTGTACATGGATAGTATATCTGATTCTGAGTCTGACCTACATTTCTTCCACAATTTCTTTATTCCAATTAGATATCAGTCCGTTCATCAACAACAGATCACAAGTGGTCGTCAGAGAAACTACGAACTAGACTTGGAAAGAGATCATGCACTGCCCACCTCTGCGCCAAATGCTGACATATTGAAAAGTAACAATAATCCCACTTACCCCAATCCAAATCGTCACCACTCGCATGACAGAGATCGTCATCGTCACACAATGCAGTATAATTCCACACCAGTCCCGCCATCAAGTGAGTTTTGTTCCTTTTCCTGCTATACATAGCATATCTGTATATTATGTATGCACATGCAAGTGCAGTAGAGCTTACTGATAAAATAAATTTATTTGCAGTACCTAACCTATTGAAAAAAACAATTGGAGCTCACTCACCGACAATACCAATGTATCCGGGCGATATTCCACTATACTCTCCGCCATCGCGAACCTTTTTCACGCCACCACTGCCACCGGAATATCAAAACCCGTTTGCGGACAAGCCAACATTACGCGGCTCCAATAATGAGGGCCTCATAGCCATTAATAGGCGACCCATTCCACCTCCCAGCCTAATGCCCAGCCAGGACAGGATTCCCATTCGACCCCCCGAATTGGGGAGCAACAGCAATGAGGCCAACGGCATTTTGATAGCGAATGTAAGTTATGATAATGGTGTGGATACCAAGAGTCCTGTTGTGTCCACAAGCACTCAGGACGCGGTGTTCGATACGGTCGGTATTGATCGAAAAAAAGCCCTTAATACACCGGCCCGACAGCCATCCAGTAACGAAGATTATTTAAGCGAACAGATTGGCTCAAAAAGACAGGGTGCGCAGAGCGTGGATTACAGTGGACCCAATAAGAAGCAAGAGGTGCTTCCAAATATAAGACGCATTCTTGGATCAAATGGTAAAAAAAGTGACATTCCAGCAGTTCTATTGAAGCAGGTGACCCCGAGACCGGTCACTAGCTTCCATCACCCACCGTCCTCTCCAATTGTTCTAATCGAAAACTCTTCCGCAAACGAAGACAACACCGAAGGGGATGGTTCCTCTGCCAGTCCAAACATCAACCAAAGCAAACATCTGTCAGGTCAGCTTGATTTTTATGATAACGCGAACCAGTCCGCACTGACCACACCGGCGGCTGCAGCTGCTATTGGAGATGTGGCGGCAACATCGTTCTCATACGCAACCACAAACGCTGGCCAATCTGGGCAGATGACAGGCAGGACGACAACGACATTTGCTTCGACTATTCAGGGCCAGGGTCAGGGTCCAAGCGGCGGGGCTCGCGACGAGATTGCTGCTGCGGCAGCGGCATCAGCGCACACCACCTGGACTTGGGCCTGGAACATACATATATACCTGTCGGTGGTACTTTTCACAATATTATCAGTGTACTCACTCTACAAACTTCTCACTTATAATAAGCTAACACATCTTTTCGCACAGTCGTATTTTGTTTGCATTCATCTCATACTGATAACGATTTGCATAATGCGAATATTTTTTCTCTGCTACGATGCCTATAATATCCATGGGACCTTTAATATATTTGTCGCAGAGCTTCTCCTGAATCTCCCCTCCACATTTTTGACAGTTGCCTTTTCTGTGCTAATATTATTTCTCTTTCTGAAGTCGTTGAATCACAAGAACAATCGTTACTCGGCTTTAATAAGACCTCTCACAGTCGTCGTGGGCTGTGGCGTTCACGTTGTGCTGTGTATAACCCTGCACTACGTCGAATCGTATACGCTTAAGAACCATCACTTGTACTTCCAGCAGCAGCAGCAACAGCAGTATTTTCGACGTCAGCAGGTGCATTATCAGCAAAGTCAAATTGCTGCGACGATCTCATCATCGGCCAGTCTGGCAAGTCCACCTCCACCTCCACGCGTCCTAACGCTCATTTGTCAGATCATCTACATATTCATATGCCTCAGTCTGGGATTTCTGTATCTCTATTTATATCGAATATTGAAGCGCATCTTGCGCAGCAAGTCCCAGAACTATATACACGGCTATCAGAACCTATCCTACGCCATACACATCACGATTGCTACGGCTCTGCTTTTTGTGCTTCTAGCTGCTCTACAGATATTTGGAGCCATTTGCATTTCGTCGTCGCGTCAAGCGAACATAGTCGAGGTGGACTGGTTGCAATGGGGATACCAGTTTTCCCTGCGACTTATAGAGATCGCGATAATAACCCTAATATCGTGGGTGACTGGCCTAAAGACTAGCGTCGATCCAAATTCACCAAATACTCCAGCTGGCCTAAATGGGGACGTACGCATCGTTGGGCCCGTGGTTTCTCTGGGTGCGTATGGCCAAACTAGCGGCGGTAGCACTGCCAATGCAGTTAGGGAAAAGCATGGCGGAAATGGCGTTCACAACTCTAATGTTACAAACTTCTTTTTACCCTGTACATCGAGCTCCAGCCAGGAGCAGTTTGAAACTGATTATCCGGCTATTTGCAATGCCAACACAAATCTCCATACGTATACCATGCGAACAGGAAAACTCATATACGACGACAGCTATGCTCTCAATCCCATAGGGCCCAATGCTGCATCCCCGAGTGGGCGCAACTGCGAGTACCAGTTGCAGGAGCCGATGTACCAGAGGCCGTATGATACCGGATCAGTTAGAAGCGCTGTTAACCATAATATGGCAGAATACGGATCTCAAGCTGCACAAAGCTATCATCAGCAGCAACAACAGCATCCGAATTTGCATCAGCATCAACATCATATGCGAGTTCATGAACAGACCACATACATGAGCACGGACTATATGACGGATGCTACAACAGATCATTATGAAAACCCAAACTTTGATTTGCGTACGAGCTCATCAGTTGTAGCGGTGGAAAGTATGCAAAAACTGGACAAAAATGTTGTTAGTTCTAAGTCTGGTTCTGGCTCTGCCTCTGGCTCGGGCTCTTCACAACAGCAAATTATGCTGTTGCAAAGCGACACATGTTACTCGGAACCACTAGAGGAGGATAACTCTAGATTTGAATTCAACAACTTTGAACGTCCCGTGTTTAAAGAAAAATCTATAAATAATGTCCAACTGCAACCCAACATTGAGTGCTGGCCGGAGCGCGATCATGACCGGCTCAAGATAGCTAAAAGTCGGGAGAGGAAACTAAACGCCTCGCTCGAGCGTAACGGCTTTGAGAATACCGAGCGTCGCAGTTCCAACTCGACAAACTCTTGCTCCTCATCGAATGGTGGGGGCGGGCGTTATGCCAGCTATAATTCATATGAGCGTGGATTTTTTAACGGTGTGCGCAAAAGTGGAACCTTGAACAGTATTGTTAACGGAGGCATGACATTGGGGGGGCCTACGCCGAGTCGAGCTATGGCTGTGCCATTATCTTCTGTTGTCGGCCAGCGAATGACGGCCAACGGAGTACAGACCTTAGCTCTCTCGGAGAGAGCCCACTATTATCAGAGAAGTAAGCGCTCCTCCAATGGTAGATCATTGCAAGTTGGTACAGATTTAACACCATTTCAAGCTGATCCAATAAATGGTATTCCTCTTAAGGAGCATCAGCTCCAGCAGTTACCGTACGATCATAATTCCGAAGAAGAAGATGAGGAGGAAGACGACATGATATCGGGAAGCAATGTGGAGTGCACAAACTTAATTAACAACGAGAACAGTTTGGCCACTCCGTCCGAAATCAACACTCAAAACTCAATTGGCAATAACAAATCGCAAGCTGCACTTGTTGCAATCGCAAAAAATCGTACCCATGACGCACACTCGCAACACCCCCATTCACATCTAAATTCGCACCTGCAACATCCACATCTGCATGTACAAAATAATGGAAAGCTTCGTTCCGAATTGAGTGCTGCTTCGTCAGCTTCGGTTGCCTCAGCCTCATCCAATTCATGCACGACTTCGAGTGCCTCGGACAGCATGTTAGTGACCGAGCAAGGATTTCTACGTTTTCGGGCTATTGAAGATCCCAATAATTCGCAAATTGACTCCATACCAGATAGAAGCGATAGCAGCGGTGTCGTTGTGCCGTCTCTTCGCCATCCAAGTTGCAGTGCAACTCTAAATGGCATCGATTGCTAAGCATTTTTGCTTTATACGTACGTATGAACATGCTACGTTGCTTTGTATGCCATAACGATAATCATCTTGTTTCGGTTAAAGCCAATTGAATCAATCTGTTTTAATTGTCGGTTTATGCCAATAGTAGTAAAATCACCACTTTCTACTCTCTTCAAACTTGTGATATACATATAAAAAAACTAGCAAAACAAAAACATATATATACAAATTATTGTCAGTCGGTAAAGCATAAACATATTTACGATCCAATACATTATAGCATATATACGTATTTAATATACATATATCAATCTTATTTATTTCATAAAACTCATAATTTAGAGTCAAAACTTATATAAACAATTTCTGTCCATGCAAGGATAGCAGCCCATATACCTTACAAATTTCAATACATACGTAGCGAGTGTCTGGTCTACATTTCGTCGGCCCAAATAATTTGATGTACATATTAAATATGTATTTAAAGGTATTCAGGAACCAGGATCTTTCAAAAGCATTAGAAATAATTGTTTTATTTCCGTATTTTCTTTTTGTACTTATTTGGTTTAGCCTCAAAGTATATTTTCATATATATGGCCGTTGTTGCTTTGTACATACATATATACTTAAATTATACATTTTGGGGCTCCACTAGCCATTGATATTAAATTAGACTACGATTTTTATTTTTCTACTTTTATCTGCGTACAAACTCATATATCCCTTAAATTCAGTTTCACACGGTCCATTTTTGTTATTCCGTTTAGTATCAATTCTTTATTTCTGACAGTCAAAATATGTACAAAAGTTTGGACAGAAATAAAAAAAAGAAAAATACAATTTTTAATTGAACTTAAATAAAATCTCTTCCGTGAATTTAGTTAATTGGCACTATGCATATACACATATGTTTGTATGTGTCTTGTGTAAATACATAATGTGTAATTGGCTTTAGGACTAACCTAACCCCTACATAAAAACATACAAGGGATTTTGCTTTCTTGGTCTTGCTAAGTGCTCAGCAAAATGAATTTTTACTATGTTGAAGAAAATGATTTCATTCAAATTAAGACTAACATTTAAAATAAGAAATATACACAAATGTAATGCTCTTAAGAAAATAAGTAATTAATAGCCTGTTAAAATGACACGTTAATATACATAGTACTGATTAGTTAAGGCTTTTGCATTTTCGAATGTTAAATTGATCAAACATAAATGTATTCTTAACTAACTTATACTGCTCTATTAAGTACGATCAATTTGAGAACTTAATAAGGAAAAGGTTATAGTATTAATCAGACTATGCACACTAAGCACTATACCAACACATCAAAAATAATTATGTGGTTAGACTACCATTAATTAATTTCCATTATAATACAAATTAAATATGTATACTTATAATTCAATAATGTATATGAACAAATTTCGCATGTACGAGTATATGGAATTACCAATTCCCACAATAAAATGACAAAAATATTACTGAACAATATACTATGCTTTGATTCCTACTCTGCGCAATACAAAACAGATTTATGCGGAACGCGTGCCTAAAAGTAACAAAAAAATTAATATCTTCAAAATCCTGATTTTACAATTCCCCTTCGGTATTATCATTTAAATCCATTAACGCCATGTGTATCCTCAGGTGCAGTCGGGACTCTAAAGCGTAATGCGAAAACTTTTTCCTGTGAATGATGCTTGATAATAATGTTTATGGAATTGATCAAGTTACGCATACTTGGTATCCTGTAGCATGGATATGGCTTCATTTTTGTTTAAAGGTACGCAACAAAGGGCGGACTCAACATAAGCATATGGCATTAAAAATAGGTCCTCCTTAATTCCACTTTGTGTTAAGCAATCTTGCAAGTCCCTGAAAAAAATATGTTGTTAGAATTGGATGTATTTTTCTGCTCAAGTCACGCTTACTGAAGAGCTAAATTTGGTTGCTCCATTTGCCTGTAGTACGCCCCACGAAGCAAGAGACAAAGGGCTCGATTGTCTGCGTAGTATAATTGTGTAGTTTCATTGGAGTCCTTGAGCAGGGCTAGCTCCTTATTAATTTTCTGTAGAATACCTTCCGCGATGAGTGAGTTCGCTTTAAACAGTTTAAATATGTTCCAATGATACATTAGCTCGATAAGCGGGAGCACGAGATTGCCGTTTTGGGCGCCATAACGAATGGCTCGCTTAATCATAAACTTCTCCATTGGTAGCGATTTCCCAGATATCTTCTGCCTAAATGCGGGAACTTCAAGCATTAGAGCCTCTATATCAGGGTCGCTACCAGTACCAGCAGCGGTCCTTCTCTGTTGCATACATGCCAATTTCACCGCGGCTAAATGATATGTGTAAATGGTTCGGGACCAACTACTATTTTTCAATAAATATGTTGCATATAGTTCAGCTTCTGCCCAATTCCCCATTAGACTGTTCAACCAAAGAAGTTCCCAAAAGCTCAAGTGATGAAGTTGCGGCCAGGCGATTTGTGAATGCACTGATTTTAAATACCACGACTCGGCTGCAAATAAATTTCCTTTGATTAGCTCAAGTCGTCCCTTTAGAAAAAGTATCCATCCTCCCTTTGGATATTTGGCAAGCTGGGATGTTAGTATTTCATCGCACAACTGTATATCGGAGTCCGAATGCCGATCGCTTAGCATAGCGATTACCATAAGATGATATCCAAGCAAAGACAATCCGCAAAGAACCTGGCGCAATCCTTTTTCTCGGTTTCCTTTCTTTAGATAATCTAGGCCCGCACTCTAAAATAAAAACAGCATGCTTTAGCTGGGAGGTTGACCAAAAAACGTACCTTGCTGCCCGAAAATCCAATGAATTTAAGAATTTTTAGTATACGTCCGGGTAATATAGATATCATAAGGTTGAACGTTCCAATTCCCATATACACTCCACTGTCAAAATGGGTCCTTAACTTTGTGGAGTCCTTGTCCGCGTCCAAGATCCATACACGAGACTTCATTATTTGCTCACATGCTCTGTTGCATAGATACATACCGCTAATACAAATAGTAATCGCAATAAAAGTCACTCTCACCTGAAACCACTATAGCATTGCCGTACTTTGAGGCTACCGCGAATCAGTCCACTAAGATTATCATCCTCAATGAATGTTAAGAGAGCGTTCATTAATAAAGCCTCTGCTAAACACAGCTCAGCATGGCATTCCTGGTCTGTCAGCTGGGAATAGTTTTTCTGAGGAACACTTAGGAAATGAAACATTGGGTCCTCGACTGGATAGCTACCTTCTTGAAAGTGCTGGTGATGGATTCAGTTATAGTGTTCTTTTTCCTGAATAATTGGCAAAGGTCTATACACTTTTTTATTTTCGCTGACGCACCTTCGACATTTTCGAAAGTTAGCACAGCCTCAAGAAAAGAAAATACTGCATATCCCAATGAGTGATAAAAGCTTGTATCGGCTAATGGTTGCAAAATATTTCGTGCTTCGTCAAATTGGTTATTAAAAAAATACTGCAACGCCAATTCTGCGTGCTGTAAAGATGTCTTGAAATCAGTTTCATTGGTTTTCATATCGAATTGATCAGAGCACGCATCATAATATTCCTGGAAAATTTTTATCAATTCAGCTTTCAACTAACAATGAAAAAATAATAAAAGTTGGATGCATGCACATACCTCGGAATCTGACTCTTCTTCATTTGAATCCCGTTTGCGAACATCTTTAAACGCTGCGTGTGTGAGCGACATCTTGGGAAAGTCTAAACTGGTAGATTTTTATATTTATACTATATTTGTAATAAGTATAATAATTGAAATAATTTCGAAAGACAATCGTACAGTTACTTAGACTGAAGCAGTCCGAGCTAGGCACTAGGCTTAGAACAGAACCGGAATGGGAAAATCTAATTTTAATTGGTGATACAATTATAATAGAAATTGTACGTATATTTACGTATACGAGTATATGTCCATATGTATGTATTTAAATACTTTTATATACATACAATAAATAGTTAAAGTTCTAACGCTACGTATTTCGACTATCATAACCCCTACAATATGATTATTTTACAAAATATTTTCAGTTTATATATACACGTGTCCATGTTCCGTAGTATTTCGTCCATACCATGAGAAGCCATCTGATTATTTTACTCTTCAGATAATTTGTTTGTCATAGAATTACATACATACACAAAAATATACCCTACTTTCCACCCTTTTGGGTGTTGAATTTTCAAAGTCGTCTAAAAGAATTGACAACCTAAAGCACAAAACAGCTGATTAAGAATACAATACATGCATACATACGTACATATTATGTACATTTGAATGCAAACATCTGCTCAAAACCATATACCCAGAAAGGGTAGATCAATATACATACGTATACGTCTGTATGTATATATACACATATATATATGTGCACAAAGCTATGTGCATATGTATGTACATTAAGCTTTAAGCTTTTCTGTGGTTCGGTCGTGTTTTTATTGTGTTCCGCATGCATGCAATGCCTATCACATTGTATTAACAGACGCGATTTGTTCTATTTTATACTATTGTTCATATTTTCTTGTAGATTTACAATATTATAAACAAAAAAACGTTCGTCAAACTGATATTTTATCCGTGCCCGCCCCCGCTGTCGTTGGTAAAGTGTGAATCATTTGTGAGGAAGATAATATACGATTACGCCTTAAGCAAATGTGTTGTTGTTCGGTAGTGTTTTATTGGGCTCGTTCTGCATCCATGGTATGCCTCTTACATGCATACATACATATACATACCTGTGTACATAGATACACAACAAATACCAGCCAGGACATTATAATAATATTTGACATGCATAAATATGTACATATAATCACCTAAATAAAAAAACACAAATGTTTCGTTAAGCTTTAACCGAGCGTTTCTAAAATTTGCGATTTCCTGTGCATACGTACATACATACATATGCACGTACATGTACATTAAATTGTTGCATTAATATGAATTTGCAGTATTTATTATAAAAGCTGTTCTATGATATTGTTTTATTTTCCGCAATAGTTTACCTTGTTTTGTTTGTACGTACGTATTTATCTGTCAATATATATATATATATATCCATGTACATATATAAGTACGTACAAAAGTATGAAGTTCGTAAGCTTTGAAAAAAAAGTTAATGTCACAACGTGGGTACAAACATGCATACACATTCACTAACATATGTACATACATGTAGATGTATGTAGATATACTTATGATATAATTAAACAAGACAGCTGATCGGGCAGCCAGAAAAGTGCAGCTTTATTTTGTTATCTGCACTGTACTGACTTTGTATGGACTTAGTAATTTGAACATCAACCATATACAAATTAGTTGCTGAAAACGCAGAAAAGTTTATGTGACATACATATGTAGACATATCTCATGCCTATTATTCCAAAGTTCATATCGGTTAATAATTAGAAGTGGAAACAGTCTAAGCAGATTACACAAGATTCAAAGTCCTCTTGCAATTGATAATCTATCAACTTCCGTCAGCTAATCTGGATTTATGATTGCTACCATCCACCATCCATAGCTGTGTGGCGAGCCGCGCTGTGTTAGATACGTTATCGAATAGGCATTTCATTGGAAACCAAACCAGTTTGCCTCTACAAACTTTATAATGTCGAAAATTCTTGCATTTTTCACCTTATTATATATATTCAGTAAATATATGTATGAATACATAAATAAATATTTATGAAATAAATGTACATAAAGTTGTACATAAATAATATACGAAAATTGCAATCCGTTTTTACTACTACGACCTGTACAATAAAATGTAGATAGTCTGTATATGTATATATAAATGACGAAACTTCCTTCTTACGAACAAATTAAAACCGCTCAGCAGATCAATTAAAAAAAATCTTCCGCCGGCCAAATTATAAGTACATTTTTAAGATATCCGCGATGGTTAATTTATAGTAGCTCTTATCAATTGTTGAAGCAAATCAAAAGTATTTTTTAACGTGGCCTTAAGCAAGAAATTCGAAACGCTATAGACTAGTTCTGCTTCAAACCGCGACGGAACCGAATGACAGCGACGGCTCTTGATTTGTACTATTAAATGCTACTTTGAAAATCTGTTTTTATATCCGTACTCAAAAAGATCTAAGGGGTATATTAGAAGTGTGTAATGTACAGAGGGAAACGTTTCCGACCAGCATCAATAGCCGAGTCTATGTCTGTCTGTCTGTCTGTTAGTCTGTCCGTCTTGTTTGTCGCCTAGTTCTCAGAGACTATAAGAGCTAGAGCAACTAAATTTTGTTTCTAGACTCATGTGATATCACACTGCTACAAGTGTATTTCAAACTTTCGCCCCGCCCCTATAAAGGACGAACATCTGTGGCAGCCACAATTTTAAAGATACCAGAAAACTAAAAACGGAGTATTCTCTTTCTCGCTCGCACACACTCTGCCCTATGCAGTGCGCGATCTTTCGCAGAGAAGATGTGAAATATACATTGTAGAATAAACATGTTAGATGTAGATGACAGATGTAGCAAAAAAAATGTAAAATATTTTACGCGTATAAAAGCAGAGTCGCGTCCACAGAAGCGACTCACACGTTCCTTCTCGTTTCTTACAATATCCTTACTCGTATGAAGTTTGGGTTATCATAGAAACGTGCCGGGTTCTGACGTGTACCACCTACCAAATCCCACTTTTCGCCAATATTTCTGATCGGAAAAAGTGGAACGCTATATTCGATATTCTCTCATATAAAAACCATACATATAGTCAAGAATTAAACTCTAAGATACTCAGATTTATAATATGTGCACTTTTATATACATAAATGTGTATGACGATATTCTGATCAGCCAAATCCGAGTTTTTTGTGCGTTGTAAATTTTCCAAATGTTATTAAATTCCCACGAATTGATATACAAATTTTGGTTAACATCGGCTATACTCTTTGTTAAATTTTATTTTGCATAGGAACCGGAACCGAACCGGTTAATACTTGATAAACAATTCAGTAAAGTGACCTTTTTTGGAAAAAAAATATGCGCTTCTGAAAAATACGCTTAAAACTAAAAAATATGAAAGGAATTAACCCAAATTTACCACAAAAGTTTGGTCAATTTCCTTAGCAGAAGGTGCAGACAGATGATACAGAAGTCCTGATCATCGTCAGATATGCCTTCCGTCCACGCTTATTTTGGGGAGAAGCATCTTTCTGAGCTGCCTTTTCCTTCAAAGAAAGAATGCATTCAGTAGAAGTAAGCACAGAGCTTTCCATCGGCTTACTAACAACAAAGAAGCCTTCGTCTTTGTGTAGCCGTACAACAAAACCAAGGTGTCCACAACGTGTCACCACTAGGTCCCTGTCCACAACCAGGCCCTCTCCCTTACCTATTTTGCTTCTCTGTTTCTGTGCAAAGTAGACCCTCAATTCGAAGATATTTGGTCGTTATTTTCCACAGATCCAAAATTTTGCAGTATAGATACATACATATACAGTAAGCCAGAACCACCAAGATCGGACTATGTACAAATCAATTGTACGCCATAGGAACAATCGAAAAAATTGTTTCAAAATTAATGTTTTATACCTAAGCACTGAAGGGATTTTCTATAAGAATTATCGGGTGGAAAACAAGTCTGTCTGGAAAAAGCTTGTTTGAAGATAATTAAATTTTTATAGCTACGCCTGGCATAGGAAGTTATTAGAAAGCTTCGGAATCCGAAGCGAGCTTCCCTAGCTTGTGCTTATTTTCTAAAAATATTGTTTTCTTACATTTATTTCGATACATTTTTAACAGACGCACCAGGCATACTATATATTGTGTAAATATGACCGTTCTATCCAAATACGTTGACCGTATAGCGGACAAATGTGAACAGAATGGACTTACAAAGCACGCTTTTAGCTGCGTGCTCGTGACCAGTGCTATAGTAGCTCTTACTATTAAAATCACAATTCCGTATGTAATAAATACGCAATCACAATCCCCAAGAAAGATTCTAACGGGAAAAACAAAAAGCAACACAGGGGGACTAACTCCATCACCAACAGATGGCTCCGATGAAGATTTGAAGCTCGCAGAAGCAGAAAAATTATTGGTCGCACAGAAATTAAAAAATAAAACCAATAAGCAGATGATCGAGCCTGGTTTAAACAAAGAGTTTTTGAAGCAACTGGGAATGCTGGTCAAGATTATGATACCTAATTCCCTGTGCTATGAGACAGGCTTGCTCAGCATACACACGTTTTGCCTCATTTCCCGCACCTTCCTCAGTATTTATGTGGCCGCATTAGAGGGCGCACTTGTTAAGTTTATAGTGCGGAAGGACGTTAAGCAGTTTTCCCTCGTTCTGCTTAAATGGTTTGGTATTGCTATCCCCGCTACATTTGTGAATTCAATGATACGTTTTCTAGAAAGTAAACTGGCACTCGCTTTCCGGTAAATAATAAAATTGTGTATTGAGAGTTTAACTCCACTCTTAACTCTACTTAACTTTTTAATTATAGAACGCGTTTGGTACGTCACTCCTACCGATTATATTTCAAGAATCAAAATTACTATAGAGTATCAAATTTGGACGGACGTATCGAAAATGCGGATCATAGGTGAGCTTAAATGTCTATAAAATTATACAGGAATTGTCATTTCATTTAAAACAAAGATACTGGCTGTGTGTATTTTCATTATTATTGATACATTTTTTAACCTACCTAAGTGTAACCGTGTCTAAATTCCTGGGCCAGAAATACATGTGTGTATACGTGCGGCTATTAACTGGCTGAATCCCTTAGATGACAAATGAGTACCTTTGTCTTTCATTAGCTACAAAACAAACCTGAATATAAATATTGAGTTCGCTAAAATATACAAGATAATATCTGCAAATATAATTTTTATAATCTTTATAGGCTCACTGAAGATATTTCCGTTTTTGCCAGTTCTGTGGCTCATTTGTACAGTAGCCTGACTAAGCCTTGTTTCGACTTGATGCTAATTGGGTTAGCATTGATGAGATCGTCCAGAAAAATGAAAGCTAATATCCTAACAGGTTAATGGATTATATATGCGTTAATGCTCTTATAACGTATTATATCCCACTATTCAGGGCCGGCTTTGTCTGTAAGTGTTATTGCCCTAACCGCGCACATCTTACGGATTGTCTCACCAAAGTTTGGACAGCTGGTATCGGAAGAGGCAAACCGCTATGGTTACCTTAGGCATATACACTCACGCATCATAACAAATGCTGAAGAGATAGCTTTCTATGGAGGTCATAAGGTCAATTTTTATTTTCCAAATGATTATAAAACATAATTAATAATAATAATTAATTACATTTTTAGGTGGAGATGCAGCAGCTAAGACAGGCATACAATCGCCTTGTCAATCAAATGAATAACATTTTTAGCCAAAAGCTTTGGTTTATAATGCTTGAACAATTCTTTATGAAATACGTTTGGTCCGGTACTGGAATGATTATGGTATCCTTACCTATTCTGACAGGCAGCGCCGGCGATTCATCAACTCTTGTTGATTCTTCTACCACTGAGTCCAATGTTAGCGAACGCACTCAGTATTTGACAACAGCTAGAAATTTACTAATTTCTGCAGCGGACGCCATTGAAAGATTGATGTCTTCCTACAAGGAGATTGTTGCTCTTGCTGGTTACACTTACCGTGTAGCTGGCATGATGGATGTGTTTGAGGAGACCGCTCAGGGAGTCTATTGTAAGGCAACAGTGGTAGAAAACGATGAGATGAATGGTATAATTGAATTCCGTGATGGCAAACCTGTTGCTAAAGGCCGCATTATATATACGGATGATCCCGGAAATATGTCCATCACCCTACGAGCAGTTCCAGTAGTGACACCCAACTGTGATATAGTTGTACCAAGCCTAACGCTTTGCATCGAGCCGGGCGTGCATTTGCTAATAACGGGTCCAAACGGATGTGGAAAGTCCAGCCTATTCCGTATATTAAGTGGACTATGGCCCATCTATGCTGGGGAATTGCATATTCCACGGCCTGTGGAAGATAAACCCTGCATGTTCTATATTCCGCAACGCCCGTATATGTCCATTGGCAGCTTATGTGACCAAATAATATACCCCGATACGCGAGATGATATGAAACGCAAGAACATAACAGAAAATGAGCTAAAAGACATTTTAAAAATGGTTAGCTTAGAGCACATTGCTCAACGGTAAGTACTCCTTATTACTTATTACTCCTTACTACTTCAAATAATATTTTGTATTCTACTTTTAGTGATAGTTTTGATGTTGTTCGCGATTGGAAGGACATTCTATCTGGAGGAGAAAAACAACGTATGGCGATAGCTCGCCTTTTTTATCATAAGTACGAATAATTTACGTGAGAAAAATCTGGTATAAATTCTTTTCTTTCATAGGCCACGTTATGCTCTACTTGACGAATGTACCAGCGCAGTTTCTATAGATGTTGAGAGCTCGATATATGAAATCGCGAAAAGCATGGGAATAACGCTTTTGACAATAACACACAGACCGACTCTATGGTTAGATCTGGAAGTGTATTTTTGTATCTCGATTTTTATTTAATTTTTTCTACAAATTAGGAAATATCACACACACATTTTGGAGTTTGACGGTCTGGGAAGCTGGCGTTTTAGAAAAATGGATTCAAATGAGCAGCAGAAAGAACAGTTCCTTCATTAACTGCCGTTTTAAGTATTTCACATGTATATTTATATATTTACATATAAATATTTAACTAAGTTGTTCTCTAAGGAAAAATGTGCTTTTTGTGTCGGAATCGTTGTCATTGTCGTAAAAATTGATTATAAATTTCATATGAACACCTAAGCAGTTAGAATTCTCTTATGTTTTGCTATTTTATCACACCACAAAATAAACAAAGGTCAGTGCACGACTTTATGTATGTTAAACTATACAAATTTGTTTGGACAATAGTGACATTTGTTAAAAATTCGGTTAAAACTTAACCTGCTGGTGTTACTCGAGGTCGGGCCATATCCCTCTATTTGCGCACATGGGAAACCAGTGCCGAACTGTTTCGGTCCACCGTCTGAGGACAGCAGGCGCTGCGATGGTGAGCCCGAAAAGGCAATCGGGCCAACTCACGTCGGGGAGCCCCAAGGGCGAACCCGCTACCGGGGTGGCTACCGAGCTCAGCGTTACCAAGCGCTCAGAAACTAAGGAATCTTTGGCAACCCCCGCAGGCTGCTGATGATTCGATTGCTGCCTTAAAATAATAGGAGAAAAAACGCTCGGAAGCGCTTTACAGACTCACCCGAGCCATCACGGGACACTGGCAAATTAGTAATCACTCACAACGACTTCTGTAGGAGTTGCTGGGTCGAGGAAGAAAAGGCGGTCCCCTACTTCTTCTGTCACTTTTCGGCCCTGGGTAAATATAGACTACGGCTTCTTGGGGCTCCTTTCCTTATGGACATTTCGGACCTTTCCGAAACCAAACCAGCGATCTAGTCCAAAAAATCCCATCCAAGCCACCGTATGGGACTGCCCTCAATTCGCAACATGTTGCTTACCTCGGTTTAATGTAATGCGACCATTCACGCTAGTGATCCAGATAAGCAACACTTGGTTCACACGCTCACTTGCAGAGATGATTGCGTATACATCGTTCAATCTCGGTAAAAAGATTCTGCCCCGCGTATGAGGTCTAAATTGTCACAATGTACGCTTCGCTTATCTCGAACGGAAATTTCGAAAGTTTCCTGAACTCAAATAACAATACGTCGAGTTTATGGAGGACTACCACCTGCAACGAGGACACATGGAGTTGATTCCTTCCGCTACCACCACGCTGTGTTTAGACCAGATAGCACCACCACGCGATGCCGAGCTATCTTTGATGGATCTGGAGACGACTGCAAGGGATATTCGCTCAGCTCACGTCTACACATAGGACTACCTATTCAACGGGATTTAATCGGAAAGGAAAATCATGCATGGAGATCATATCGATTTGTATCCGAATGCTGCTGCGGTGCTTATAAGTGACGCAATATCGCCGATCTCATTACAGTCAAGGATTAACTGATTTTGGTATTGAGCCGAGCTGAGTTTAAACTTTGAAAACGCAGTTCAAACTGTTGTGAGTACCCACTAGAACTAGACAGCAAAACTCGATACGCTAAGGACCCTGCTGCAGACGATATTTCTGATTTTGCTGTCTGAGTTTACCAAGCCCTATGATTTCTAAAGGTTCAAAAGGTTCTAATTAAGAAAGTGTGCTCAGCTCGGTAGAAGGGAACGAACCACTACACTTGCAATTATCTGTACGTAGGCAACAGTTTGTATCTGAAGTTCATTTATTGGAAATTTGCAGCATACCTCGCTATCTGTCATCACCGCTTCAAGCAATGCGTTGCCGATGCGTCGTCTTACGCATACGCAGATGTTATTTACAGTCAGGTGGAACTTAATAATATACTTTATGAGGTCTGAAACGTTTTCTTCTCTGCGCTACACATATCCACTTTTACCACTTAATTGATATCACACTGTTAGAAGTTTATTTCAAAATTTCGGATTTTCACACACTTTGGCCTCAACAAAAGACGAAAATCTGTGGCATCCAAAATTTTAAAGATACGGGGTGTCGTAGAGAATGCACACATCTACCATACTGCCGAATCACGATCAGATCGGATTATTATTATAGCCAGAAATAAGAAATTCATTTTCAGTTGTTAGCCCACTTCCTTTATTCTCTCTCTCGCTCACATCTCTAGAAAACAGATGTAGGAAAAAAATGTAAACAGATAAAATATTTTCAAATGTGTTGTGTTGTTTTCGCCTAATGGCATGAGAGAGAAGAAGAAGAAGAAAAGTCACAGAAAATGAAACATCGTGCAGAATGCCACTGCTGTACTAATAACTACTTCTAATAACATTACACGGATGACAAAGTCATCAATGGTATTCATTTTTTTTTTGGTGCTATTAGCTATTTTTATTTTGTCATCCATTTCAGTATCAATGCAAAACTATGATGTGATTATAAGGCGCCGCAGTGATCAGAAGAATGGGTATGTGGGTTGTGTGAGCGAGAGAACCTTGGATTGGCACTTGATCGAAGCAAATGCGCAAGGAGCTTTCCTTCTAGTATATTTATATTTAATATTAGCATTTAGGATGCTGACGTGCGAAATATGACGCAAGCCAAAGCGAAGTCTTAATGCACTGATAATGGTCGGAGATTTGTATAAATAAAGCGTATCAGTTGGCGTTAATAGCCATATGACATTAGACTTAGACAATTTTGCTGCGTAGAGAGGGATAGCAGTAGAGACAAAAGGCAACATTCCGTCTCTAGACACGTCTAATGGCTTTTAGTAGAACAACTGAGACACTACTTGACCCACAATGATGTTTTCCAGCAGAACACAGACACCAAGCCAGCAAAATTGTATCCGCAAAGTAAAATTTTCGATAAATTCTGCCGCAGCGTTGCTCGCAGCTCAACTGGACAGCCAGCTTGACGCATATAGTTCTCTCGCTCTGACTGCAGGCATTTCCCATAAGGCCATCTTTATTTTTCCAGCTAGTCAGTTAGCAAAGTCTAATGTCATATGGCTGTAAGTAGAAAGGCCCAGCAGTAAGAAAAAAGCAATATATAAGGGCAGAAACTATTCAAAATGATCCAACATTTTTTTTATTCTTATTCGCCGTGGCGAGAGTCGTCTCCGCCGAGAGTGGCATGGTAGCGTGTGGGTCTTTGAGAGAGAGCAATAGAAGGAGGATAAAAAATAATTGATGACAGAGAGCAATGGCAGATGCAATAGCATATCAAGTATTGCGTGAGATAAGATCAGTTGGTACAGAAAATAGTTCTTTAGTTTGCTGGCAGAAACATCCTAATACAAAATATATAAGAAAAAAGGAGATAAGGTTATTATAGATGAATCTGAACCAAATTTAAACATTTTCATTAGTACCACTATTAAAATCACCTGGAAAAAATTTATTCACGATCAGATGTATTTTATTTTTTTATTAATCGTCAACTGGCTTACCCAAATGAAAGAGAGGTGCACGAAGACATAGCATCGTAAATGTGTCCCTGATCTATGTGAATTAGCAATTCTGAATCAGACCAACAATCGAATTTGCGAAACCGTTTTAAGGGGTGTCGTGTCGGTGCCATATTCAAGTGGCGGTGAGTGTATAATGGTATAAAGAACAAAAAGCAGTTGGATGAGTACCTCTAACGTATGATAAGTCAATAGATAAAATGTATCGATTTGCGTTATCGAAATGTAACAAGAAGAATTAAGCAAAAGTAATGTAAAGAAAAGTTTTTGTTTATAAGATGGGCGCAACAATGGTCAAGCCGTTGGTAAAGAATGGAAACTTGTTAGATGCATTGCCGTCCCAGGTAGTTTTTCTGAAAATATTAATGTTATCATTTAAAAAGGCTACATTATTTACATTTCAGGGAACGTTGCATGTTGTCATGTTAGGCTTAGACTCTGCTGGAAAAACAACGGCACTATACCGACTTAAATTTGATCAGTACTTAAATACAGTGCCCACTATAGGATTTAATTGTGAAAAGGTTATTAATGATTCATAAAAGTAGAGCATGTCTTTTAACTAAGACCTTGTTAACTTTAAGGTACAAGGTACGATTGGAAGAGCAAAGGGAATTCATTTTCTAGTTTGGGATGTTGGAGGACAAGAAAAACTGAGGCCTTTGTGGCGAAGTTACACACGGTATGATTGATTGATTAATACGTACTTAAAAATGAATGGTGGTTTAATTAAATTTTTTGATAACTTTCAGATGCACGGATGGCATTTTGTTTGTTATTGATTCCGTCGATACGGAACGCATGGAAGAGGCAAAAATGGAATTAATGCGTACGGCCAAATGTCCAGATAATCAGGTGAAAACCAAATTTATATTTTGTGTAAGCTATAAGATTTAATAATCCAACGATATAACCTTGGTCAAGGTTTCCGTAGTCAAAGCAACGCTTGTTAAACTTAATTTAAAACTGAATTTATTAATGGATTATAATTAATTATTTATTGCATAACAACGTTAATAAATTGTGATCTTTTTTTGTTTTGTTTGTTAAACAGGGCGTTCCTGTACTGATACTAGCCAATAAACAAGATCTTCCCAACGCATGCGGTGCTAAAGAGCTGGAAAAGCTTTTGGGACTCCACGAACTTCATAATCCAGTGCCAAACATGCCAACGATAAGTTCAAGCTCTTCTTCAACGGGCAACCTAATTGGTTATAGCTCTTCAAACCAAAGATACACAGAGAAAGCAGTGGATTCGCATCTACCAAGCCAGCTCTACTCTCCAATAGCTCCCAAAACGCCTCTCGATCAAACTTGCGAAAGCAATTCGTCAATGAGTGGCGCGTTGGCCTCATTTTCATATATGCCTTCTCACACTGATTCGGCTGAAGACAAGAAAATACATCACGAAACAAAACAAAACTGGCATACTACAATAAAGCATAACAATACTGAAGCTTCAAATGCCTTGCACATGAAAGGCTGGTATATACAACCGACGTGTGCTATAACTGGCGAAGGTCTCCAAGAAGGTTTGGACGCATTATATGAAATGATTTTAAAACGTCGAAAAATAAATAAGTCCCATAAAAAGCGACGGTAATAGTATAAACAGCGGGTCGTACCTCTGGGAAAGTGTTTAGAACGTAAACTCTATTTAGCACAATTAAATAAATGAAAATGCACAAAAAAAATATTAATTATATAATACGGCTATCCAATCTAAAAAAAACCGAAGCTGGCGTCAGCGCATTGGAACTACATATTATTATCACATACAAACAACATTTTGATGGGCGATTCTTTCGATTTTAAGATAATCGTATTTTTGGCAAGGCCTTGTATGCTGTTCATTTTTCCGACGCATCTGAATTTTTGGTTACCAGATCGCTTATGCTCTGGGGCGAGTATATTGCAACGTTTTTTTTTATATATCGGACCCACTGTGCACCTACTGCTCGCTTTGCAGCAAGAAATTCTCTGGTTGAACTAAGCGAATGTATGTATGTATATGTGAGTTTTAAATTTAAATTTTGTGAAAAGTTCTTCGTGAGAACGTTGATTATATACCAAATAGACAAAATGTGGACAGTGTGGAAGCTATCTTTGATGTGCACTCATATTCTTGAAATCGAGCGGCGTATGTATACTCTCGCTCATTCGAGGTCATTATTTTAGTCAGGACGGCATTTATTTTATTATCATCTTACAATAGTTCGATTGTACTGCCTTGTACAAAATTTAAATTATTTGCTCCGCTGGAATATCTGGTATTTAATAAGTATACATTTAAATATCAATTAAATTTTTTTAGAAAAATGGAAAATGGAATTATATATATACATTTGTATTAATAAATGTACATGCATGGGTACATATGTATGTATGTAAAGTTGTGGATACATATATGCTTATACGATGTGAATAATTGTTAATTGTGTAACGTGCAAGTTAAAGTGAATATCAAATGAGTTTTGTTTTATTCTAATCGGAAGAACTCACGTGGGATACAGATACATGTACATATGTGAATGTGTGTACATGTTACGAGCTCGAGATAAAAGTAGAAATACATTTTAGCACCTGTTGCATGTGGATCGGCGTTTTTTATTATGACAAACAGCAAAAGGTTGTGCGCGATGGCCGTTCCTTCTAATTATAGTTTCTATTACTTTTAGATACCTCATTAAGTACGGAATTAAAAACAAGAAATGGATTCAAATTCTGAAGTTGTGGTACGTAATTTTTGTGTAATATTTTTCTTTATATATATAGAATGGATTTTTAAAGCCCTCTGTTTCAAAAATGCAATTAATTATTGCAACAAACAAGCGACGAAGGCATAACATAACATAACCAATTGTGACATATGTACATACATCCATACATTCATAAATATTCTTAGATCTACTACCACTACTTAGTTTAACAGAGCCTTCAGATCTCCTTCCATCTCTTCACAAATTTGCAGAAACATTGTACTATTTTAATTTTTTTTACGACAACAGCCGCAGACTGAAGTTGTAGTGACGGATATGGCTCCCGAAGAAAACGCCGAACGACTCGTAACATCTGTAGAAACCAGTCAAAGTGTTAATAGTTCAATTGATGAAAGCAATGTCGATTCAAGCTCAGTCGTTATTGAGAAAGAATCTGATCAAGACGCTAAGGTCTCGGACGAAATTCCCAAAACTACTGTTGCTATAGTAGATTTGATTGTGGTAACGGATACGGAAACTCCGACTTCGGAAACAGCGGAGATGGAAATAGTGGAAACGGAAACAGCGGAATCGGAAACAGCGGAAACGGAAACAGCGGCAACGGAAACAGCGGCTATAGCAGTGGTGGAAACTGAGGTTGAAAATTTAGTTACCACTGAAATAGATGCAAGCAGTTTCGCAAATCATCAAGATGTTCCTACATATGAAACATCCAATAATGCCATCGATTTGGAAACAGAACCTCAAGTCAATGCCAAATCACAAGACAAGGAAGTGGAAGAAACTAAATATGCGGAAGAAACGGAGTCAGAAGATGAGACAGAATCTGTGACAGAAGAAGTATTTAATAACGCTTTATATTCACATTATCTGATTAAGCGCTTCCAAGCTTTTCGATTGCAGCAAAGCTATCTGATCTATCTATAGATCTATAAATTAAAAATGCATACTACGAGTGGATGGAAATACGAGCATACCAGTAAACCAAAGTATTTTTCAATCTAGAGCTATTTAATGCTGAGAAAAGCAGCATTCGATTTTTAAAATTTTCCATTAGATATCATTAAATCTCAATACATATACATACATACATCTGAGCTCTCCGCATAACAACAAAAACTGTTACTTAATGAAACTTAACCAATTGAAGTAGATTGCTTAAAGTACTGTAGAATTTATTTATAATGATAAATTTCTGTGGAAACTAATAAAATGAAATATTAACAACTTGACTAACAATCTCTAGTTTGATTAGAAAGCTAAATCTTTAAAACATTTCTAACAGGATATCGTCGAAAATGCTATCGACTTGCCAGAGAAATCTGAAGTACCATCTGAAGTAATCGAAAGCCAAACTGTTTTGGTTAAAGCATCTGCAAATGAAAAGGTAACTTACTAGTCAAGCAGGTATAATAGATACATATGCAAACTTTATTAAAATTGTTGTGTTCCTTTATGTTATTTTTAATTTTTGCACTAGGGCACAGAATTAAAGGAAAAATCAAACGAATTCTCTGATATATCGACTCAAAAAGCTAACGAAGTTGCGGATGTGAGATTATCAAATGATCAGGTAAGCGTTTGGTTAATTTTGGTTGAAATATGCAAATAATTGTATAAGATAACAAAGTTTAATGGGTATAATTAGATTCAAGACTAATTCGCAGCTGATGTAAAAAAGCTGCTGACTATACCACTCTTAAATCCAATTTAGATATTCCGTAAATTAATCATAAATTTCTATACTACTGCTTAAAAATTGTTTTACAGTGTTGTAATGTTGTGCGAGGGTGCGAAATTTAAACCATTTAATCTTTATAAGCCAATTCATTTTGTTTATTCTCTGCAGAAAAACTTTAACAATCAAATTCAGGACATTATATCTGATATAGATATTAATATAAAAACACAAGAAAAAATTACCAAGCTTAAGGAGCAAGAGCTGAAGCTAATTCAAAAACAGAACGAACTGACAAACCAGATTCAGCAGCAGCAGATTCTGGCTCAGCAGCTGACTGCCCAAAATCAATTCAAACAAAAACAGTGGGAACAACAGCAAATTGAGAAACAAGAGTTCTTAAGCTCAAAAATAAACCAGCAAGATGGGTTATGCTCTACGCAATCGCATTTACACACCGCCTACAATCAAAGTGATGATTCGCATAATAAAAAAGTACGTATAAACACAAATGCGGATTGCTTTTTTGACATAAGTTAGAAACAATTTCAAACACGTAAAAATATAGCAAGTCCAATCTTATCTACATATGTGACATACGCTCTAAAGCTTATGATATTTTATTCGATCGATTAATCGCCATGATTGGTAGCTGTAGGATAAAGCAATCTACTTAAAATAAAATTTTATTTAGCTCTGTATGTATAGAAGTAGTATGTGTATATTGTGGAGTCTAGTTGGAATACATATTTTAAAATTTACAAAATTGACCCACAATTTTCGCATTTCCTACGTCAGTTATATGAGAATAGGGTCATTATGGCTTTTTCAGTAATTTCAAAAGAAAATCAACTGTACATTTTTATAAAGATAAAGATCGAAAAGATTTTTCGATCAGGCGTTTTTATGGTTGGAGATTTCTTTATTGAGCGGCTGATGATGCTGACCGAGAATATATGTATGCACATACTTAAAGAGTTGGGTATTAGCTTTTTCGTATAACAACTATCTGGTGTAAGTCTTAATACTATACTCTATGTAAGGGATTACAAATTCAGGGCAGGCAAAGTAAGCTTACATCTATGGTTTTATAACTACATAAACATATTCATGGAACATATTTCTAAACAACTACTTTACTGTTGTTATTGTTGGTGCTACTGCTGGTGCTCTTCAAATGTAATGCCAAATGCAACCGCAATTGAACACGTGAATGGAAAACAACATGAATGATTTCCACTGTATACATACTGTATACATATGTGTTTATATATATGTACCGAACACTCAAAATGAGAGAATATTGCTTATGTATACGTCTATGCATGTGTTTGCCGAAAATCATATAGAATTTAAATTAATGTGCGTTTCGTTCCAACATTTGAAAAGGCATCTATAATTAGCCTTAAAGAGAACTTCGTATGTGGCCATATTTACATACGAGTCATGTGTGTGTGCATACACACATTTTTAATACATATGCAGATATGTTCGTATGTATGCATGTTTCTTCAACGACAAGTGTCTTTTTTAGAATTTTATTTGTGCCGCCCGCTAGTATCGAAAAAAAATCGTCATAATGCAATAGGTTAACGTTCGAAGTATTTCTTAATGCGCAAAAGCCACCACTTAATTTTTTGAAAATGAATTGCATAGAAAGAAAACGCGGGTTTCGGCCCAGTGATCTATACGATCAGAGCAAAAGAAAAGTTTTATTAGAGCTAAGCACGAAGCTGTGGCAAAGAAAAAATGTATGTATCATATGGATCCGAATAGCTAAAGAGCAGAAAACAATGATCGTCTTTCAAATTATTTTCCGTGGCTCAAGCATTTTTTACTTCACACAAAAAACCTTAAATAGATGCTTAAATGGTTTGCATAGAACAATAAAAAATCATATCAAGCTTAGTTAGAACAATCTCTCCTATGTATTGTAATTAAAATAGGAAACAACAAATTTATCGAAGTCAATTGATTTGCGAAAAATATTCACACCTGCGACCGATGCTGTTGAAATATTGCCAAAAAATCGTAAGTAAACAAAAAAAAAAAAATAGAAAAGGTGATACGTAAGCCTCGTACAACTTACAATTAATATATGTATATTCACATGTACATACATATATACGTAGGGCTACCCGTTATCAGTGCTTGAAATGTTTTCGCTTTGGTCAATTGCCATTGGACTAATCTCAGCTGAAATTTCCAGCTTTCACTCACGTTTTATATTGATCGCTTAAGCTGTTTCTAAACTAAAAACGTATCACTAATTACGTATCGCCTTTTAAACGTTATTTTACCAAATGTATACCGTCTAATTCTGTGCTACTTAAACTGATTTTCAATTTGTTTAAAATAGGAAAGCTATATGCATCATCCGCATTTTATTCTCCAAACTTACATCCAACTGTGGAAGACCAGGTTGAGCTAGCCCGAAGAATATCCCATTCATTGAGTGATATCAGTAACCAAACGTCTAAGGGTCAAACAATGTATGTCAATCGCAAGAAACGCTCAGTAAAATGGGTTCATGAAGGTAGTGATAAAGGTAATAGACACTTCGATGCATGCAAAAGTCATCATACTTAACCGTGTTTTACTACCCTGAGAGAGATTTAAATATAGAGTTCCCACGTCTAGTTAAACAACTAGTTAAAAAGAACCCAGCACTTGTTGAAAGACGGCAACCACCTAAGCTCAATAAGTTTAAGATTAATAGAATTTTAATTGGTTCTCCGTGTACATTCTAAGAATATTTTCCAAATGTGATAGAAAGGATGAGATTTGTGCTTTGCATTGCATTCCGAACGGTTTATACACAATGGTTTAAACTTTAAAGGATTAAAAATAAAAACAAACAACAATTTTCAGAAAAAATAGGAAGATAAAAAGATTAGATTTAGATAATATCCAAATACACAGGTACATAGTACATATTGAATCGACACAGGTACATAATCATATAGATTAGCTAGGTACATACAGATACAGTAAGCCCAACATTTATTCGTACACCCGTATCACTCTACTTTGAACACCTATAACTTGGCGTACGGTTAAGTCAAACAGTTGTTGAACTATAGTAGGCGTTTTTCTACTAATTTTCATATCTTCCCGTAAGTAAGGTAACTGGGAGTGGTGGGTTTGAGATGGTTTCAGTGGTAAATGAGACATATTTGATCTAAGTAAGATGCAATTTTGGGGAGGTTTTTTTTTGGCTGGAACATGATTGTCTTCGGATTATTCCCAAATTTACTGGCACATGGATGCAAATTATCACTCAAACTATCATTGTACATATCCTTGTCCATTTTCCCATTAATGAAGACCATTCGTCCAGGTCCAGCAGCACCTATACACGCCCAAACCACTATTTTCCATCCACCATGCCTTACAGTCGGGATCTACATTTTTTCATTAATGGCTTTACTTACTTTTCACAAGACTTTTGGAGGAACTAAAAGCCATATTTATTTATTTAGAATGTGATTTACATTTACATTTTATGAACAGATAGTAGAAAAGTTTATCTTTGATATCAAATTAATTGTTTCTGTGGAACTTAACCGTACCGCACGCCAATTTATACATAGGTGTTCATACTAGAGTGATAAGGGTGTACGAATAAATGTTGGGATTACTGTACATATTTATGTTTTTGAAAATATCTTAATGTTTAATAATTTGCACATACAGAGGAAGATTGCACAAGTGAAGTTAAGACGTTTTATAAAGAAAATACAGATGCAAATTCCATGCTGGAACTAACAAAGCTGGAAAAAATACCGCTAAAGCTCATAATGAATCCAAGAGGACAAGTCCGCGATTATAACTCGGTCAAAGAATCGATTAATGTTGAAACCGGACTGTTATCGCCTGACAATTGCGCTGAACTAATAACCGCTCTAAAACTTCATCAGGGAAGAGGTAACATGACAATTCCTTAGTATTATTGAAGTGTATTGAAATCATTATTTGGATTAACCATTATTTATGAGGAAACCTAAATATTTAAAAGTTTACAATTACAAATGTGTATTAAAAATGTTGCTGTACACGAGGTAATTTACAATGTTCTTTGTTCTTTGAACCAAAATCCAAATAATGTATCGAATCAATACACATTTAACCAGTTTAAATCACATAAATAACCGCAATTTTTTTCTCCCTTGGACTTAATGATTACAATCGCTTTACCTGCTTCGCTACTGCCACCGCTACCGCCACTGCCGTCTCTGGCACCACCGTCTGTGCCGCCGCCGCCTGCTCTACAATCTGCTCAACCATACATGCATATATATATACATGCTATATATGTATATAGGTGCCGAACTGTTTGCAAAACGTCGCAGAAAGGCTGATAATTGGGTAGTCGATGAAACAAATGCAGGGACTCAAAGTCATCCATCTGGTCTTCCAGATTATCAGCAGTATCAGCCAAAGCCGGCAACGTCGCCAAACATTTTGCCGGCGTATTCTGATGCTGGAAAACATCGCGTTCAATTAAATATTCACCAAGATCAATTAATAGAAAAGTATTCTAAGCCTGGACTTCAGGTTGTTAAATCGCCTTGGGAGGCCGCATTACAGACAGGTTCAGCGAGCTCTGCCTTTTTGGAGGAATCCAAACCTAGAAGTCTCACACCTTCGTCTGTACCAAAGACATATTTCCATAGTGGTGGAAACGATTTGACAGATGCAGGGGAACCAGTATCCTACGGCATACCATTGAGTAATCAGCAGGAATCATTTAAAAAGGTAATGAGCTGCACTTTATTTTAATAATATTGCATCTACATTTTGTTTTGTCTGCAGTCTCTAAACCATCAGCAATCATCCATTTTGCCCACGAACCCACAAAGAGAATTGGCCTATAAGCCAAGTGTTGCCCAGGGCTGGGGAGGACGTAATGTGGAACTACCAAGAGGTAAGTTAATCTTTAATGATTAAATAAATTACTGGTATTTCGCGAGTTTACTGTGATAAGAGAAGATGATTACTTTTACGCTATGAATAAACTGTTCCAGAGTATTTTGACTTCAATGAACCGTTGTCATCTTGGGAGGAAAATAACAATGAGCAATGCAACAACCAATACATCAGTGAAGAACATGACATACTTAGGGAAAATGTTCAAATGGGCCATGGCCAAAATCAGTCACTTGATTTCGAAGTTAATGTGCAAACCCGATTGCATCAACTCGAACAATTTCAAAAATATTTTTTGGAACAGCAACGACTTGAAATAGAAATATTGAAGCGAAGAGACGACTCTCGTTTATTCCGTTTAACCAAATTATATCACGAACAGTTCAAGCATGAGAGTCCCAATGAAGAAAGACTGCATAATGAAGATGTACTACAAACAGGTCGCAGTACCGATGAAGAAATAAACGAAAACGTAAATGTACAAGATTTAATATACTCGTTCGAACAGCAGTCATTAAGGGAGCACACAGAATCTGCAAGGCCCAGAAACCAAAACTGTTCGACATATCTATCAAGTGAAGCCACCAAAGCTGACAATGAAACTGGAGGCAAGACTTCTAGATCCCGGAAAATCCCGTGTTTTCTTGTTTAACAATCTCAATCTTATATTGGTATTTGTTCACAGTCCATAGAATACGACTATTTCCTTTATTTCCTTAATTAACCGATAAGTGTTATTATCGTGTGTATAGTAGCGTCTGTCTAAAGCGTTTTAAATTGCTTGAGTTTTTGTTCCCAACCTGTTTATTTTGAATGTACTCGTAGTGTCTATTCAAAGCTTATAATGTTCGTATCAATTTAATTTGAAATTCTTTTTTTCACAGGCTTATACGTTCCCAAGGAAATTTCCTTAGCCAGCTATGCACCCCCACCAAAGAATTTTACAGATCAGCAGCCGGCATATTCGGGTCACAACATTTCAAGTATCAACACAACCTACGAGTCGCATCGGCCTCTGCCCACAGCCTCTATTGCAAATGAAACATCGGTGGGAACTAGTTGGGGCTTTCCGGTGTCTAAGCCCATAGCTAGTGGTTTCAGCACAATACCTCCAAAGCAACAGTTGTCTGCTCCTGCTAGTTACCAGAAAATACCTCAGACCTCTGCACTAGGAGCGCCGCAGGTCAACTTTAACCCATCGCCGTTATCTTATGAGAAATTGTCCAAGTTTGAGCAGCCAAATTTGAGTTACCCGAATCAAAATTATCTAAATGTTCGGCAAACATCCCAAGTACGTAATGCATCGCCTACACCGTTTGCATTTGGATCTAATGAGGCTCGATTTTCCGGGTCACATGCTTCAAGATCTCCTAGTTCCATAGCCTCGATTTCACCGCAACCCCTTCGATCGCCTTGTATATCTACAAGATATGGTCAACCATCTAACAATGCGGTACCGCGGCTAACCTCCTCAAGCCAAGCTCAGACCTTCAACAATTGCGCCCGCGGTTGGGGCACGGAACCAGAAAGTCAATATATTTATCCAGGACCAAACGTTTTACCAGCACCAGGAAATATGCCATATTCTGATTTTTAGATGTGTGCAACTAATAAAGTATGCTTCTCAACGAAAAAACCACGATTTACGAACTATGTACATAGTACATATAGTGCATAGTACATATAGTGCATAGTACATATAGTTCATAGTACATAGATACTTATGTGCTCTATTAAATACATAAATTGCGTTTGTTTATTTGCGTCTATAAAATAATAATAATAATAAATCGTTTATTAAAACTATTTTTTAATTATAAGTACATAATTGATAAAAATTCCAAATGGGAAGCTACGTAAGTACAAACATATGTGCATTCTTAAATACATATATAACAACGAAAAACGGGGAAATATGAATACATAGTACATAGTAAAACCGGTGTTTAAAGATGACATAAGGTGAACACTTTTGGAATAAAATATTAATATTTTAATATTATTAATTAATAATAATATTAATATATTAATATATATATATATATATATATATTAATATATATTAATATTAAGCTATGCATCCCCACCAAAGAATTTTACAGATCAGCAGCCGGCATATTCGGGTCACAACATTTCAAATATCAACACAACCTACGAATCGCATCGGCCTCTGCCCACAGCCTCTATTGCAAATGAAACATCGTTGGGAACTAGTTGGGGCTTTCCGGTGTCTAAGCCCATAGCTAGTGGTTTCAGCACAATACCTCCAAAGCAACAGTTGTCTGCTCCTGCTAGTTACCAAAAAATACCTCAGACCTCTGCACTAGGAGCGCCGCAGGTCAACTTTAACCAACTTTAATAAAATATTAACCAATAGCCATTGCCATTAAACGAATAAATAAAAGGCGTGAAAGGAAAAATGGAATCGGAACTTACGATAACATGTGTGGCGTCAAGGCACATTCAGTCATCCTTGCTAGGAAAGGGAATTTGAGAGAGACGCTAGCATTGATAGAACTAGGTTACAATATTTGGTTTTAAAACTATATGGGAAAGGTGCCGGTTGTGGATATAGTTTTGTTTTTGCGTCATAACTTTTGACCAATTGCATATTATGGAAACATATGAGCACCAATTAAAGACTAGACATCTTAGGTAACTGTCAAGGAGGGCACTAAATTGATTCCTTCATATAAAAGCATATTAACAAATATGAAATCACCACACCTATAACAAGAAAATAAAACTTAATTTATTTTAAGAGCATTCACTGGTTAGGTATGTTGACTTGGCTAAAAACACGTAATATGTATAACAGCTGTGATAAAATACGTTAAGTTTACATCAACAACGATATTAAGCATATGGTCAAAATCGCGAAAAACAAAACCACGTGAAAAATTTTGTTTATACCCGTACTCAAAAAGAGTTAAAAGGTATATTGTATTTGTGGTAAAAGTGGATGTGTGTAACGCAGAGAAGGAATCGTTTCCGGCCTTATAAAGTATATATATTCTTGATCAGCATCAATAGCCGAGTCTATGTCTGTCTGTCTGTCTGTCCGTCTTGATGAGCGCCTAGATCTCAGAGACTATAAGAGCTAAAGAAACCAAATTTTGTTTCCAGACTCATGTGATATCACACTGCTAAAAGTGTATTTCAAAATTTCGCCCCGTCCCTTCCACCTCCACAAAGGACGAAAATCTGTGGCAGGCGCAATTTTAAAGATACGATTAAACTAAAAACGCAGTATCGTAGAGAATGACCATATCTACCAGATTGCCGAATCTTAATCAGATCTTCCCCCACCTCCTGTAGCAAGAAACCACGCTACTCATTATATTTCTTGCTTGCACACACTCTGACATGTGCAGTGCGGAGAAGATGTAGAATCTACATTGTGTATGTATAATTTACATTTTATATGTGAAATCGACATTATAGATGTATATGTAGATAACAGATGTAGCAAAAAAAGTAAAAAGTAAAATTTTTTAAAATTCTAAATAAATCATAAGCTCACAAATTGTATATACTGAATGAGTACGGGTACAAAAGTAGAGTCGCGTCCAAAAAAGCGACTCACGCGTTCCTTATCGTTTTTATTTGTTTTTCAGTCTAAATATAATTTTTCATGAAGTTTAATAAACGAAATTTAATTTTTTAGTTTAATTTAGTACTTCCATCCTTAAGCTTCAAAATATTTTAGTACTCATTAAAAATAGTCAACCAGAAGAGCAGTATTTTTTGAAAGTGTTGCGCAACTTGAAAGCCTACTTCCAAATTTGTGTAACGTTACAGTCAATTTGAGACGTTCATAATTCTTAAATAACAACGCGTACATAAAAAATCTGTATGGACATAAAGTCTCAATACAGGTTTCAAATTTTTGAATGCAAATACAATAAATTTTAAAACAGTTTCATGTGTTTTTGTGACAATTTTCGTCAAAATATGCGTGCGAATGTAACGTAACAGTCATCGATTTCGACCATATACATATGTATAAACAAATACACGCAATAAATAAATGAAAAGAAAAGAAAAAGGAACGTTGTGAGTCGCTCCTGTGGACGCGACTCTACTTTATACCCGTACTCAGTCAGTATATGAATATGTAAGCTTATGACATATGTGGAATTTTAAAATATTTTACATATTTTTGCTACATCTGTCATCTCTACATCTTAATGTAGATTCTACATATTCTCCACAAAAGGTCGTGCACTGAAAAAGGAAAGTGTGTGCGAGCGAGAAAGAAATCAAGTAGGTCTTCATCGCTGAGAGCGGCGGGTTACGAAACTGAAATTTAATTTCTTCATTGATAATTTCTATAATAATGATCCGACATGTACCAGATTCAGCAATTGCGAAATTTTGTTAAGTGTTAAATTTTTATTTTTTTAGCTTTTATATCGCAAAGAAACATCACGAATACATAGCTTACTGTGACTATAATAGCAACCTTAGTCCATAGTAACTAAGGAACAATCGACGGCTAGATTAGGGAACACAATGGTACATGCGTTTCCTCCTATAGCTTCCTGTTGGTCAGGTCGGTTAGGTGGACACGGGTCAGCTTTCGTAGAAGTCTGCATCTCATAGGTCTCCTTGCAAGGACATTTGGGTGCCTCCTTAGCTTGGCCATGTACCTTTCGGCCTGTTGGTTTATAAACCAATGAACAATAGTTCATTGCCTCCACTTTCCAACGCTCAAATGGCAGAAACTGTTAAATTCAAATCTGAGATACCAGGCGAACAGAAATCAGCAGACGGTCGCTGGTTTTTTTAATTTCTCGTTTTTTCTTGTTTCTCTTTGGATTTCGTTGCTTTTTTTTATATAATTTCTCTCATTTTCTGCCTCCACTTTCCACCGCTCAAATGGCAGAAAACTGTTAAATTCAAATTTGAGATACCAGGCGAACAGAAATCAGCAGAAGGTCGCTGGTTTTTTTTTGTAATTTCTCGTTTTTTCTTGTTTTTCTTCGGATTTCGTTGCTCTCTTTTTATACCCGTACTCAAAAAAGAGTTAAGGGGTATATTAGATTTGTGGTAAAAGTGGATGTGTGTAACGCAGAGAAGGAAACGTTTCCGACCCCATAAAGTATATATATTCTTGATCAGCATCAATAGCCGAGTCGATAGAGCCATGTCTGTCTGTCCGTCTGTCCGTTTGTCCGTCTTTTTTGACGCCTGGATCTCAGAGACTACAAGAGCTAGGGCAACCAAACTTGGTTTTCAGACTCATGTGATATCACACTGCTAAACGTTTACTTCAAAATTTCGCCCCGCCCCCTTCCGCCCCCACAAAGAACGAAAATCTGTGGCAGGCACAATTTAAAAGATACGATAAAACTAAAAACGCATTATCGTAGAGAATGACCATATCTACCAGATTGCCGAATCTGAATAAGATCGGATCATAATTATAGCCAGAATGAAGAATTTTCAGTTCGCTCCCCTGCCCCCTCCTGACAACAACCAAGCTACTCATTCGCTTTCTCGCTCGCACACTCTGCCGCGTTCAGTGCGCGAGCAACCCCTAGCGGAGGAGATGTAGAATATAAATGGTACATGTATAATCTACATGTTAGATGTAAAATATATATTGTAGATGTAGATAGAATGTAGAATGTTATACATTCCTACCTTTTACAGGATTTTACAGGATATAACTGAAGCGGTTTTTGGGGGTATATTGCAAATTTGAAGTATGAGGAAGTGTTTTACTCATCCAGGCCTACAAACTGATTTTTGTCCAAGTACACATTTTTTTGTGAAAACTATGATACATTCTCTGGCTATCATTAAAAAAAAAGCATGCAAATTGGTGCACGCGTTTCGGAGATAGCTGGCATGCACCGCCTAATAATACCACCCGACACGATTTTTCCTCAAGGAACCACACTTTTTCGGATAAGTTTGGAGCTTTGAAATTGTTTAATTAGATTTTTTTGAAAAATTTGTTAAAAACGCATTTTTTTTATTATTTATTTTAGAGTTAACAGTTTTTTATTGACATAAATTAAATATCTTACTGAAAGTTTGCCATTCTGAAAATATAATAAGCGTTCCAGCAACGTTTCAAGCGGTAAAATGTGATTTTCGGAGGGTGGGTCAGCCAATTTTAGCTCAGCCGTTTCTCCATGCATTTTAATCAACAATAACACTAGTCGACACGACATTTCCGCTGTGGCCCAAAATGACTTTTTCTGCTAGATTTCGTGATTTAATTTTTTTTAAAGAATTATGGTTTTTTTATTTATTTTTTGTTTTAAGAATTTTTTAAAATCTGGTATTTTTTTATGTTTTTTTTTCAGAGGTAGAGCTTCTATTTTTCAAATAACTTCAAATATCTGGTTGCATAGAACATAGAACAGTACTGAAAAGCTGACAAATGCAGCTATAAATCTAACCCAGTCATTTTGTAGCTGCAGCTTAACGCCTGGAAGATATTAAGCTGATATTTTTTTCCGTAATTTTCACTTTAAAAACTCAGGAAAAGTCGAACAAAAAATTCTTGGCATGTAGTTTTAGAAAGTTTTAGTTTTAGATAAACGCATTAATTAGGCGTCGTTTAAGGTATTGTTCATTAAAATCTATGGATAGACAGTGGAGATATAATTCGATAGCCAAACCTAAAAAATTAAAAAAACAAATACTACTTTTTGGAAGGTTGCGGGCCCAACTGCCGATTGGGAACAAAGCAAACGAATTGGGTTGAATTGTTGGTACCTGAAAGTGTTCCTTTGGCATTAAATGTTGTTGACAGTTCCTTTTTTCGTTTTGTTTTTCGTATTTTAT